AACGAACCCTCGTCATACAACCGCAAGTAAATCGTCTAGAACTATCGAACGCGTTACATTTGTAGCTCACAGGCAGAGTTCTTTATCCTCAACCGGTATTCAATACCATTTTTCGCATCAACACACGGTTCACGATCGATGAGCGAACTGGCCGCTAATGGGTTTTAAATTGAGGTCTAATTACCTTTCCCCGAATTTTGGGTTCTCCATCGACGAACTCGGAGCGGTTGTCCCGGCTACTGTATAAGTTCATTGATTCCGAACTTTATACAGGCCTTTCGGTGTCCGATCTTGATTTAATAGCAAAAGACGTTGGTATTCTATCCCCTCACTTGAGCGGATACCAAATGGCCCGGCCTTTGAATCAGATCTCGGATCTGATTTAAAACCGTGGCCGCCGCTTATTAACTCAAGTCGACGACTGTATGATACTTCCACCACGACACGCGCTCTATCAATGCGTGGACCTCCCCTCCCCGCCGTCTTGTTGCCCAGCACCCTCCAGCCGATTCTGCGTTGCACGGCACCCTTGCGCCTTTCTCTTTCGCTCTGGCCTGGCTGACCAGGTATCACACCCGCGCCGCGCCTCCGGATCCGGCCGGACTCCTGTTTCCTCTTCTTTTATGAATCTGAGAAAGAAAAAATCCTCCGTCTCCGCAATTCTCGTGCTTTTTTCGTACCGTTATGGTTTGTCACTGTGCAATGACTTTTTGGAAAGAATGAGAAATGATTTTGTTTTTTAAGATTAAGGCTCTAATGAGCCGAGGATTAAGGCACTGTTGGAAGCGCCAAGAAACATGGCTAATATAGGCGGTGAAACTTCCAAATCACGTATCCATCCCATTGGCGGTTTCAAAAATCTCCGCTCCTATTTCATTTTTTGAAGGAGAATAATTATTCAGAAGAATGACAACATTATTCCTTGAATTAGTCTAAGAATTCGCCTCGCACAAAGAAGGAAGATCACCGAAATATTTAAGAATCGATCGATGTTGGGTAGTTCTCTATTAAGAGAATAACGTATCGATGGTGAAACTCCCAAACCACGCATCTCGTTTTCAGAGTTTAAAAATCGCCGCTCCTATTTGACTGTTTCAAAGGAGAAGTCAATTCTTTCAAATTTTTACACAAATTTCCTCTCACAGGGAAGAAAAATCACGACAGTTTTTAAGTATTGCCGAGTAGTTTTCCAAATAAATAATAAAGTATGACGGAAAGTCTGCGGCGTCGCAAACTGATACATGTGGTTTGGAAGTTTTGCCAAGTATTTATTATATTCACTGCTCCCCCCATAAATTGCTGCTCCCCCGCGCGGCGCGGTTGTGATACCTGGTCAGCCAGAGCGAAAGAGAAAGGTGCAAGCTGCAAGGATGCCGTGCAACGTGCAACGCAGAATCGGCGGAAGGGTGCAGGGCAACAAGACGGCGGGGCCGAGGAGGGGAGGTCCACGCACTGAAAGAGCGCATGTCGTGGTGGAAGTATCATACAGGCGTCGACTTGAGTTAATAAGCGGCGGCCACGGTTTTAGATCAGATCCGAGATCTGATTCAAAGGCCGGGCCATTTGGTATCCACTCATATGAGGAGATTGAATACCAGCATCTTTTTCTGTAAGTTCGAATACTTCGAACCCGAAGCAGCGGCTTTGCTAATGAGTTTCGGGGGGGAAATCTAACCGCTGCGGGACAAGTTCTCGGATCTTGAGCGAAAACGCGCTACCTGCCGTCCGAGTTCTGGATGAGTATTTGTAACCCGAACTAATTGCCGCTTCATTGGAATACTGATCGATGAGTTGATTAAATACGAGATTTTGAGGATAAAGAACTCTGCTCACAGGTGGGTCTTGTACCTCTTCCTCCGGCCCTGATCACCGCCCTGAAGGACCTCTCTGCGGACTGGACTTTCATCAAACTCGGAAACATAATTTTAAGGATTACCCAGGAATTACCCAAGCCCCTATCAGAGTGTGGAATAGGGGATATCACAGCGATTATCAAAAAAGGTACGTGCTGCACGACATTTATAGATTACGTCCTATCCGAGAAGTTGAAGAAGATATCGACAGCGTCCTGTTAGTCCTGAAACTAGTTAAATAGACGAGCGCAGTAGTTGTTTCTTGTGTTTTATGATAAAACGTGAAGCTATCTTCTTGCCAAACGTCCCGCATACATGTTCTCTTGCAATACCACAAGGAGTAGAGATGATGGATGACGGCATTATTGAGGATACTCTATCTCATCAACCAGCAAAGCTACTTTCAGTTGTGATGGCAGAGAAGCCCCCGACCAACGCATTACAATAAAGCAAAGTTAACATACCACCTTAGAGTGGAGCTTCACTTAGTCGCGGAGAACTCCAAAGACTCATACTTAGTGAGCGGAGCCTATCAGTTAATGGCTGTGGCGGAATAAGAGAGAATCAGCAGCACATCGCAGAGGCATTTTTGCGTTTTGATCACCAGAACATCGCGCACAATCACAAAAGACGTAATTATGTCAAAAAGATAGAGCCTAAAAACAGCGACTCGCCAAAAAGAAACGCCGTAATGTATGCACCACCGGGTTCAGGAAAATCGGATCTACTGCTTCAATTGCAGAGGCCGCCACTGGAAAGGCTCTTGAACTGTACCCGAATGCCACTGCTGAGATTGTTATGGACGAGGTGCTTAAAAGTTCTGCAGGAAGTGCTGTTGAGATTCTAGTCACTGCAACGGAAGCTTTCAGAGTGCTGGAGCCAAAATATGCAGAGATGCTCCTGATGCACACAGTCCTTGCTGTCGTCAAGAATATAGCACGATTTCAGACGATTTCGCCAAGAAAATTAAAGAAGTCGCAGCTCAATTTCAGTTGGACGTAATGGTCGATAAGCAGCTGGTGAAAACAATATTTGACGCTTACCACCGTGCGATTGATGCCGATATTGTGCGAGCCATGGTTGCATACTGGTTAAGTATCTGCCCCCCAGAGTGTCTGAGAGTCAGTTTGGCACTCGCTCAATGTGATTGGGAAGGATTGACAACGTATCGTGCCATCGTCGAAGCCATGCAACTCATTCTCTCGTTGGAGACTACGTGGTCCGAGTGAGCGTGATGAAGATGCGGGATCTAAACGCAGTGGCGCCGAAGAATTATTGGAAACATACCGCCTACCGCGCCACGATGCTCATTCCGGCCGCCCTACGTATCCTCAAACGATGTGACCCCGACACCTACACCCGTGCCAAGCAATACGACGACTCCCGACTGGAGTGTCTGATACCGCGTAGTCAACCTCTTGTCGGGCTTTTTATTGGGTGTGCGTCAGGGCAAGTTTAATGACGCGTTAGATTGTACTTCGGAAAGAGAAGATTTCGCGGACCCCTCAGAAGTGGCATTTGTAATCGACGACTCGCTTAGAAATTCAGGGCGTTTTAGTCGAACACCATCAGAGGCTATACAGGAAGCATTGACTAAGATGTATCTTGGCTACAGCGACTGGGAGGGTAACAACTTCATGATCTACAAGCAAGAAGACCCTATCCCGATGTTCGATGGAGAGAGGATAGACTTGAGACCTCTTGAACAGCATGAAATCAAGCCGCTGAGTAGAGTCGATTTGACGGAAGAACATCAGACCGTCTTTCCCTCGACTAAATCCTCGCACTCTAACGAGATTATCAGGGAAGCTATCGGGCTGGTGGAAAAATACGCTATATCGACATCCTAAGTCAGCCCATTGAAGAGCAGGTAGTGGCATTATACGGTTCCCCTACTGGAAAACGAATCTTTAATGATTACTCCAAGACATTTAAGAGCAATTAGTTGGCTGATTCCCTGGGAGAAGACTGTCTCACGGGGCTTATTTTCGGCCTCCCCTGGTGTAGTGGTTGTAGCGCTGGCCCTATGACCAAGAGGTCCCGGGTTCGATTCCTGGCCAGGTGATCTGAGTTTGATGATTTTAGGCAATGGTCACCTGGGGCTGGGGTAATTAGCGTGGGTTTAGCCGATGGACTATTTGAAATTGGTGGGGGGGAAAAAAAATCCGCATCGAGAATTTTTAAATTACAGAGAATCTGTGCAGCTATTAAAATTTATATTATTGCACCAATGCGGAAAAGAATATCCTTTAAAAAGATTTCATTGGATATTCTTGATTGTGAATAAATATTGGGTGTAATATATATATTTATTGTTCATTGTTTGAAAGTGATTCAAACGGTGGTAGTTTTTTTTTATTTTCGCTGCTGGAACGAAATTCATGTTAAATCCCGGTCATGCAGGCAATTCAAATAAGCATCATATTTTTCCATAAATGGAATGCGTCAAATTCAGAATTATGAATTGGAATGAGTCATCTTAAGAATCTAGATTTTTTGAAGACGTTAAACAAATTATTTGCAGGTAACCCTTTAAATGGGAAAGTAAAATATAAAAATGATCGTTCTCTACGTGGAATTATTCCGTAAATAAAGAGGCATTACATAACTCCTCACCTCTTAGACTGAAAGAGGTTGTTCCATCCCCCATTAGATTTGGCCCCCTATCAGATATGATCCATCTTTTCAGGAGTGATACAGTAGCATGCGAGACGTTCAAATATGGCGGTCATTTTGACTTAGGCCCCCCCAGAGAGGGGGGGCGGGGGGTCAAAGTCAAAACCTTCAACTGCCTATAACTTTTGAGCGAAAAATCGGATTGAGTTGAACTTTTTTTTAAATGAANAGACTGAAATTCATGGTGAAGTACCGAAGCAGGGGTACCGCTCCATAAAACGAAGTACGGTTCTAGCAATAAAAGTAGTGTAGTATCCAGTTCTGATCATGGGAACTTATGCAGAGTCCCTTACAGCTACCCCAGCTGAAGAAATTTCATGTCAAGCAGAACGAGTGTAACAGGTTGATTGACGTTAGTAACAGCTTGCAATTATTCATGTTATCTGGTGTGATTCGCAACAGCTGTTGTGGCGCCAAGCCAGTAAGACTGGAAGACTCGAGATGTAACCCTTGTTCAGAGTAGTTGGTGCAGTTTTAGAAGTGTTGGCAGAGTAGAGGAAAACAAGTGGCGTTGGTACATGGTGCCTACAGAGAAAAAAACAAAATCGGATGAATTAGTGCAGGGGACTGAGACCAGTTATATGATAAATAAAATGAACGAGACAGTTTTAAGGGAGGATGAGAGATAGGTGAGTGTTTGAGACAGAGGGGTAGAAAGTGGGGCCAGTAGGGCTAGTCAGGCATGTGTTATCGATGAAACGGAAAGAAAAGCTGGGGATTGGCACATCTCTGACAAGGACTTACAGTGGAGATTTAAATGTTGGCACAAATGCTGTAGATTTCGGTGATTACTCTTGAGAACGGTGTCTCGATAAAGATTTCCACCAGCTCCACAAGTTTTCATCCAAGGACTGGCGTTTGCTCATTGTAAGCGAAAAATTTCCTAAAACAAACAAAAAAAATCAAGGGGTAAAGGACTACGTGCAAAATGGGCCATTTGGGGCTCGGGGCGGATACCTTTGAGACTTGTCCTATTCATTCACCTAACAATGCCCCATCTTTTCCCAAAGTTTCAAGCCCCCCAAAAGTTTTGGGGAGACGCGGCGGGGGGTCAAAGTTAAAAACCGGCAAAATTTTCACAAATTTATTAATCGAAAACCAAGAAGTTTTGGAAAACGCGGTTTAAACGAGCGTATTCAGCGTGACGAGAGCTTTCAGAAAATGAATAACATCATAGGGTTTTGTCAACTTCAGCTCGAGTTATCGCCTCCGAAACGCCGGAACGCTCAAAAAAGACCCCTTATTTTTTCACGTTGTGGCCGATTTAAAAAAAAGCCATTTTTTTATTTTGATGAAAAACTGATAAGTTGTTCCTGACTCTCTGTAGCCTCTCTGGCTCTTTACCGCATGCTGGGGAAATGTTTTGGCCGCGAGTTATAAGAGCGGAAAGGAGCGGAGGTCGGAAAAATCGGCTATTTTAAACTGCGCGCGGCGACGGATCAGGAGACATGTGGCAACAATGCGAGGTCGGCAGAGGAGTGTGATTCGCCGAACTGAGTGGGAGGGGACGTTTTCCCTCCGATCAACGCTGCGCGCGCAGTTTAAAATAGCCGATTTTTCCGACCTCCGCTCCTTTCCGCTCTTATAACTCGCGGCCAAAACATTTCCCCAGCATGCGGTAAAGAGCCAGAGAGGCTACAGAGAGTCAGGAACAACATATCAGTTTTTCATCAAAATAAAAAAATGGCTTTTTTTTAAATCGGCCACAACGTGAAAAAATAAGGGGTCTTTTTTGAGCGTTCCGGCGTTTCGGAGGCGATAACTCGAGCTGAAGTTGACAAAACCCTATGATGTTATACATTTTCTGAAAGCTCTCGTCACGCTGAATACGCTCGTTTAAACCGCGTTTTCCAAAACTTCTTGGTTTTCGATTAATAAATTTGCGAAAATTTTGCCGGTTTTTAACTTTGACCCCCCGCCGCGTCTCCCCAAAACTTTTGGGGGGCTTGAAACTTTGGGAAAATATGGGGCATTGTTAGGTGAATGAATAGGACAAGTCTCAAAGGTATCCGCCCCGAGCCCCAAATGGCCCATTTTGCACGTAGTCCTTTGGGATTTCAGTTGCATTTTAATTGGATTCGATGAGAGGTAATGAGCCTGAGTAAAAGAAAGGTTAATTGCACAGTTAGTTCACTAGAACCCCTGCAACGAAAATGACCTGAAATTCAAAATTTACATTCTGTAATGCTTGCTCTCCAAGGAGTTTTTAATCATTTTCTCTACTCCTAATTATATTAAGAATTCTGCAACAATTGTACAATGGGCCTGTTGCAAACTTTTGCTAGAGCACTCTTTAACCAATATAGATAATGTCTCGAAAATCACGATGAGCGCATCGGCAAACCATGAAATGCACTCCTAACTGCACAATTTGCGTAAGACATTTGCGTTCCCGCTTCAAAAAGGATACTGCGGCACAGGTGAGCATTTCGTTAGAGGAGTCGCTCCATTTAATCCTTGCTCAACGTGGTCGACACTTCCGCGCGCAAGTTGAGGAGAGCACGAGGTTCATCAAGGCGGATATTTACTTACCGACGTGAGAAAAACGTCCATTGTTATCAGGTGGTTAGAATCGTCACATTAGTTTTGGCGGATTGGCTTTGGCTATGTTGAATATTGCGTGGTATCTTAGTGATCAGCGGTTGGATGGAATGACTCCTCTAACAAAATGTTCACCTGTGCTGTGGTATCATTTTTGAGGCGGGAAACTAAAAAAAAACGCAAATTCCTTATGCTAATTGTGAAGTAAGGAGTGCATTTCAGACTTTTCCGATGCGCTCATCGTGAATTTTGAGACATTTTCTTAGAGAAACAACTTTTATTTTTCCTTTTATAACTGTTACATGATGTGAGATAAGGATAAAAATATTCTATGAGTATCTTGCACATAGAAATGACAAAAAAAAGGTATTAAAATTAAAAAATGGCTACAATTATAACTCAGTTAATCAGTTAACAAGTGGGAAATTTAACTTTCTTGCCAGAAAATCTTACTTTGAGATGAGGTACCGATACGAGGAAGAATACAATTTAACAAATATTTTCGGGTGCAAAACATCAAAACGTTTGAAACTGAACTAGAGAGAGGTTAGAGCTTGCCGTATTTATGGGGGAAAGCTGTTTAAAGTTACAATCTGCCATAATCATACCTTAGGTGATATAATTGGCTTAAAATGCTACTGCACATCCTTCATTGCGCGCGATAAAAATTGATGAAATCACTCAAAATTTACTCATTAAGAGGCATGACCCATGCACTGGGATTCACTATGACGTGCCTTGCACCGGTCTTTTGGCCTCAGGCACTTAGCTGTTCGATCTAAGCCAATCATACTGCTCCAACCTAACTCTTTTTCTCTCTGGAGAATATGACGTCTTTCCTCTCCACTGCCACGACGGCTGTTCATCTTCGTGGTGCAGACGACAACCCCCCCCCCCCCCCCCCCCNGGGTATCACTCTGATTCTTCACCGCGCCAGCTTAAGAGAAGAGTCTACTTTAAGACAGGCTGGGCTGTCCACGCTCTGGCCTCTTCTACTTGCTCTACCGACCAAGTAATATTACTGCTTGTCGCGACTTTAAATATTTCTGAAGCTGTAGCACGGTGGCCACCCGCACACCACTCAGCGCCCTCGGAAAGTCGTAGGAAATTCACCGATCATCTCCCATTTATTGGGACCCCGGCGGGTCATAAAATCCATTGGCGACTACGAGTGCTCCTGATATTCGACGAATCCTACTTAGAGCAAGACTTTATTGCCTTTTGTTACGGATCTAGATACTAGAGCAAGCGCTTCCAACGCAGCAAGTTGGTACTTCCCACTTGTTATTCTTTTACAAGAACTCAAGTTTTCTTATTTTCACCGATTTTGGCATGAACCGCTCCCTTGAAAAACATTTAAGTGCACGAGGACCTTTTTCCAAAAACGATCAAAAATAGTAAAATAAAATTTTGTCCTCTACTTTTTAAAGGTCTGATGTGATTCAAAAGGAAGCTTATACTTACTTAGTAGCTCTCTGGAGATTTAACTTTCTTTTGTAGGTAGAAAACTTTTTCTCATGGCTTAAAAATATATTCATAAAGGGCACGTTTTCTCATATTACGAGTATTTCACTCACCATTGTCATCACAGATGAAACTCTTGCATCCCTGTTTCATTGAAAATATACAAAATTCTCCTTCTATGCTCTTCTTCAAATATAAATGCATTTTTGATATGTGTGAATGTCTAGATAGACATTCACACATATTTCAATACAACAAGCCGCCAACAGACTGTAAATGCTTACTGATAGAACTCCTACATAACTCGTGGTTGAGTCTTTATTTGAATTTGACTTGGATTATTTGAAAGGAATCTGATCTTTTGTTTATTCCTCCTTACCTGAAGCCGACTTTGTAACTGCACTCCATCATTTTCATTCTGCACCAACGATATTGAACTATTGCATTCTACATGCACCATTTCAGCTTGTACCTCCATTTCCTAATAATTAGAAACAAAATTATTTAATGGCTAATTAGAAGAGCTCAAGTACTTTTGATGGTTCAATTTCCGGGTGAAGTCGACAATCACGATATCGTGTTGAATCAGACTGATATCATGCCTAATCTATACGCCGAATTAGTATGATAGCAATATATCATGCTGAGCAAACGTAATAATCGGAATTGTTCGTTTTTAAAATGATTTCCTCTTTGGTTGGGTAGGTATTGACACCGTCATGCGCACGATTCTCATTCGCTCATCTCATTCTTTGTTGCACTTTATTGCGGACCAAGCTTCTCGCACAGGGCGGATTAAGGGGGTGGCCACATGGGCCGCGGCCCATGGCGGCAAAATTAGGGGGCGGCAAATTTTGCCCTTTTTTTTAAATGCAGATACAAAAAAATCGGATTCAGAATAAAATTACAAACAAGAAAAGGTGACAAAATCTCTCATTTCCTAATGAGTTCATTAATTTCTAATTTTGTCGTATTTCGGTGATACAAAATACTGCGCACCTTTAATTAGTTGAGTTAAGAGAGAAACCAAACACGTAAATTGGCCTGGGGCGGCGCGGCGCAGAGAGAAATGATGACGAGGACTTGAGATGAAAAGGAGAAGCCCTCGGGCGCGGCGGCCGGCATGTGACACATATTAGCGCCTACGAGACTACATGAATACTTCACGCGTTGCGTCAAACACAGGACGGTCAACAGCTACAGCGGTCGGCGCGGCGTGAAACGCACATAGTGCCTACAAGGCTACAGGAATACTTCACGCATTGCGCCAAACACAGTGTGGTCAGCGCGGCACGGCGGCGGAAATTAAAATTATTAAACCACATGTATGTTTGTTCTTTCTTAATTTTTTAGTTCATTTCTTACAAATGAAAGACCTTGTCCACACAGAGGTAGGTTTACGGAACTGAACTTTCGCGAGAAGTTCCGTAAACTTTTGCTAGTAGTGTTGACAGGGCTTAAGCAAAAAACGTATCCAACACGAGTGAACGCGTCTTATGCACCTTACTCCCTCCGGCACGTTCACTTGATGGTTTTTATTGATGTTTCAAAATAAGTGAGAAGAGGGCGGCAAAATACAGGCGGCCCATGGGCGGCAAGTAGGTAAATCCGGCCATGTTCTCGCACAAGATTTCTCTCGTCAATAAAAAACTAGGCAAGTTTGTTATTAAGATGCGTTCGCCGATTATTGTAAGTAATTTTGACTTCAGTGTCTCCTCTGAAATATTTATGCTGGCTTTAGGCAATTCTTCCAATGAAAACTGATAATTATTGGATGCAGGTGCGTTAAAACCATCTCTAATTCTATCCATTTAAATTTACATTATCCGTTTCAGTATGTGGTAAATCAGTATAAAAAACATGATATAACTTATCAATGCATTCTGAATGGTGCGTTGCTGCGTCAGCGACTAGATTAAAGCTATTAACAACTCGTGTTTGTACCTGTCTTTAGTGTATTCTTCCACAAGATTTTCAATTTTTTTAAGAAGTGCAGTTTTACATTCTTAGATGAGATATTAAGCACTTTTTTTGCGCAAATCTGCCCTTATTTCCTTCTAAAACTCTTCAATGCAATTATTTACTGGCAAAATTAACGCCGTCTACGTCAACTTTTTCTTCCGATGTAAGTCTCTTTTTCACGGGTGAAAAGTTACTCGCATTAACTTGTACGGCTTAATGTTCCCATTTAATTTTCGATAGACTGTCCATTCGAATATTTTTATCTGCATTTTGCATGAACCGTTTTATTAATTTTACCCAGCCACTTTTCAAACGCATTATCTCTCCTCTATTTCTACAGTTTCTTTCAAATCTAATGCAGTATCATCGTTTCTATTCTCGCCAAAGAAGTGCGGCCGCATTAAGTCGGCGCGAAACGCACATAAGGTAGCGCCTACAAGACTACAAGAACACTTCACGCATTGCGCTAAACACAATGCGGTCGCCGCGTACTCGACACTATGGTCTCATAGCCCGATTTAAGCGGCAATAAATCGAAAAAATGAAGGTCGGGGGAAAGTCCGATTTTAAAATGAGGAGTCCCATTGATTTTCCCAGATTGACCTGTTTAGAGCTAATTTGACTGGGCTTTAAAGAGGCGGACTTTTTGAGTGAATAAATACATTTTAGGTTTCTCACTGTCGGTTAGTTTTCCATGGGGAAAAAAAACATGAGTGCTTGGAGCATTTCCGCAATTAGATACTCATTTTTTACTAGACCGTACATAAAAATCTACTACGTAAAAAGTTTCATGAAATTTAACCAAAATTCAGGGCAAAGCTTCTGCCTCCCCAAAAAACAGAGTTTTGTCCATACTTCTCATTTTTAATCTAAAAAAACGGTATTATTCTTGTGAGTAAATGCATCTCATTAATTCAAAACCACCCAGAACTCAATTTCCATGACAATAACGCTTGTGATGGTCCAGCCGGGAAGTGACCAATTGCTACAGGTCATTTCAAGTGTTGTTGACACCGAAATTGTAAAAACAATCCCAAAGATGAGCGCTTACCTAACTTTGTGCTTGAGATACTTTGCTCTAATATGGCGCTTGTGATGCAAAAGTTCATCGACTTCGGCAAAGCATTTTCCATTTTCATTTATTTATACTAATTCTAAAAAAAAATGAGTATTATGTTTGAAATAACAAGATGCGTTTACATACGAAAACAATTCAGCTGCAAGACATTCTGAGGGTTGCTGTAACGAACATTGTAAACAATCAAAAAGGAGAGCAGTTGCCGAACTTGGCGCTTGGGATACATCTCTCCCAAATGGCGCTTGTGATACAAAAGTACATCAACTTCGGAATTCGAAGTAAAACGACCGTAAGGAATACAAAAAATACTAATAGGAAATGTCAAAATTACTCTTTGGGGCCGTCCATAAATTACGAAAGGCAATTTTTCCGATTTTTATGACCCCCCCCCCTCTTCTATCGTTTAAATGCATACATAATTTAATAAAAAATGGTGCTGAAACAAATCGGTATAGTTTAAACATTACTTATCGCTGGTAGGAGATCATGAAAAATAACAGTTTTTAAATTCAGAAAGTTCAGAAAAATTACATTTTAGCCAAAAAACATTGAACATCTAAAAAACGAAATTTGGACTGGTACTTAAGTCTTTAAATTAACGGAATTTGGAAGAAACAAAATCGTAGCGTTTGGCTTACGTAAGGCACCTCTGGATTCCCCCCCTCCCCCCGCCCCGGTGAGTGCCTTATGTAATTTGAGGACGGCCCCTTTGAAAAGGTTCCTACTTATATATTTACTGCCCACTAACGTTACATTTATTTCTGGCTTCGGAGTCTGCTTTTTCCTCTAAAAAAAGAAAGAAGATTATTGGACGGTCCACATAAGATTAGGGCCCACACCCTAGGTCCTGAGGTTTCTCTGCAAGAGGAGCCTTTTACAATTGCGTGCGCGAAAATGCACGCCTTGCTCTTATTAAAAGGAAAAAAGTATTTCTTTATGGCCACTCGCAGCATTTATGACTCAATTCGTAGTGTATAGACGGCAAAAATTGTCCACCACCGGGTCGCGATACAGGCTTCACCTAACCCAGGGGCAAGCGCATTACCACCTGGCCACTGCAGATGTTTGTCGAAACTAAGTAAATTGCTAATACATGAGGGCAATTGGAGTTCTCTCTTTCTCCACCAGAGCTGAGAGCATATACGCATCGGTGACACGCTCCTGCTTACTGATGATCTGCGGCAGGATTTTCTGTAGGTCCTAGTCTTCCGGGCCAAGACTAAATCTCTGCTAAACTCAAACGCCAAAAAATATCTGTTGAATGGTGCGATTTTAGGATGTGACATTTGTCTCTTCTTTTCTTTCCCCAGTTCTATTTCGAAAGTATCATAACTCAACTTCGGTGAAAGTGGCGCTTGTGATATGTACTTTGGCTGGAAGCTGACGATGTGACAGAGGATCACAAAAGGGGGCCATTGACTAATTCTTTAACTATGAATTTTAAGGAATTAGAAAAATTGAGTTACTTCATGACACTTACCTGAAGGTACAAGCTTTGGTCCTTGGTCTTACAAACGTTGCGCTCTTGTTAGATGAATCCAAGAGAAGAATACGAGTTCCAGGGGCCATATCTGCGGACATACACGTACACAATTTGCCGAAATCGCTGAAGTGGCTGCTGAAGTGAAGCGAATCAAAAAAATTAGGTCGGAAGGCCGGCGAAAGTTGACAGACAGTGGCTGGCCTTCAAAATTCTGCTTCTTGCTTGTTGTCAGATATAAGGTAAATATTTCTTATCACTCATGAAACTTATCACTTGGCACTTGGCACACTTGGCATCACTGAATTCCATCCAAGCACATTCACCATTCATCAGCTATGTATCGATCGCTGCAGTCCATCTATCATCAAGTCAGCTGTTCGTTATCCATTACACTAGTAACAACAACAACTAATGCAAGTGATAACTGGTCAAACCCTGATTTTTGTGTTCTGCTACTTAGTTTTAATCTTACTCATTATTAATTTTAGTGCTTACAATTAATTTATACTGTTTCTTTGGTGATGTTCTATCCCATAATTTCTTTACCGTTTTGATACTCTCGCTGTCACAACAGATATGGCTCAAGAAACCTCAAGTAAATTTGATACCATAGAATCTCTGACGAAGGAGGCTGATGCTCTAAAACTAAGATTAGAGGAAGAAAGACAAAAACTTAATGATGTAACGAGTAAGTTCCACTACAAGTCAATGTCAGTTGTTTCATCAGTGTAGCTCTACTTTTTAAAGATTGATTAAATGTGCGAATTGAACTTAAGTTGAGAACCATTGAGAGGCTTGGAGGACAAGGCGTATAAGTGCAGTTTTTTAAAAAATTAGGATATCAATAGTTTCAAGTAAAACTAGTCTTAAAGCATATACTGCTAAAAATTCGCTCCTAAATTCCAATTTTCAAGTTTCCAAAAGTCGGTTTGTACTTTCTTTCCGCCATAAGGATCCATGTAATTTCGAAACCTCAAACAAGTACTTCTCGAAATATTTAGAACTACACGACTCTTGTGCCTTGTCCTCCAAATCCCTCTATTAATGATGCTCCTCACTTTATGTCAACAAAGAGGACAGGCAGCTAAGTTTGATCAATTATTGGTTTCACACTACTTTTTTCACACCTTTTAAGAAGATTCTTGGTTTTTTTTTTTGAGAAATTTTATTAAACCTTGCGAATGGAAAACAGTTGGTCCTCCTCTATCAATTGAAAATGTGGTCAAAAGGTTACACTATCTCTGAAATAGAGATCTTTTTGCTAATTTCGATTTTTAGTCTCTTTGTAAGTAAGTATCAAGGAATGTTACTAGTATCTGTGGAGTTGATAAATTTATCGAATAAATTCCTGCAAAATAATAGGTCTTAAGTCTCTACGACATGCCATAAAGTTAATAATCCATAAATCTCCTAAACTTGTTTTTTCATCATATGCCTCTTACATACTTCCTTTCTTCCCCCATAGTTGCAACTGTTGCCGACCGCTTGGATGTCATCAATTTTCTCACCATTAAAGTGAAGCGTCATCTAAAGGGCCATCAAGCAAAAGTTCTCTGCTCAGATTGGTCTCCGGACAAACGACATATTGTTTCGTCCTCCCAAGTAAGTGATGTTTGGGGCTTCAAACTTCAGTTTTCAAAATCAACAGTGAAACTGCAGGAAAATGCATCTTGTTTGCAGTGTTTCAAAAACTCCACTGTCATTATATTTTATCCAAGGAGAACAATCCAATGCTATTGCTTGAAATATTCATTCAGTACTTTTCACACTGGGAGGATTTTAGGACTCACTATGTTGAGTATTTTTCCATTTAAAAATAAATGCACGACAGGAAGTCAGTAGGTAGTGTTGCAAATTGAGTCATGTGTCACTGCAGTTTCGCCATCAAAATATCAGACAAAATGTGAGCTCACATATCAAAAATAATTTGAATTGGTTGTGCCTTGGATAAAATATTCCTCAGATAACAGAGATAACCCAGAGAAGATTCTGAGAAAATTTCATTTCATCAAAGATTATTTATGAAGAGAAATATTTTTCTAACCCTCGAAAATTATCAGCATGAAAAACTGGAGTCAAGGAGGAAACTTAAGGATTCTTTATTTTCTTTAATTTTTTGTATTTTGCTGTGAAGAACTAATTCTAGCTTTACACATAAAAGCATCTATTTGCGTGGTGAGGGAATTAATGGCACAGATGTTGTCTCTGAAATGAGAAATAAAAGTGATTTATTTCCTTTCATAGCCACGAGTTCAATTTTTAAGAATTTATGTATGACTTTTTTCCTCGTTTTTGAGATAGTAGGCATTTTTTAAAAAATTGGATCCATAGGTAATTGATGTCTATTTCTAGACTGTATTATCAGTATTTGAAATGTGAGCACTCAGAAATCCTATAAAAAAATTGGCAGATTAGAATTCCACTTACCAATCAATATTAGTAATCAATGAAATCACTTTTACCGCAAGTTTCAAGTACTTTGACTTCAAAATATAATCACATACCTTTGAGACGAACAGCCAGCGTTTTTGGTTTACTAGCCAAGGCAGTATATAGCCATCACTGAGGCCCTACATCGGTTTCCCAATAGCTCCGGAACACTTGGTAATCTATCATCATGGCCATGGATGATCATGCCACTCCAACCCGTCTGTCCCCAAAAGTTGTCTGGGTAGGTGGGACCATGGCTATCAAGGACTATTCAGTTTGCACCATTTGACTGTATTATTTGTAAATCATTAATCCTTGGTAGAGGGCACAGCTGCCGGTGTTACTTTGAGTGGGAGATTGAAACAATAGAGTTCAACTTAATGGGAGCCTTACTGTGCTCAGTTGCACTTGCCACTCTGTTATGGCCTGGTGCTGCTTGTTAATCAAACAGCCATTAATCCTTGCGGTAAAATGTGATGAGTATCATGGCATCGAGTTCAGGAGTGTGGATCAACCTTGGGGTACATAACGGCAGAATTACCAGCACCTAGACCCTTACAGGGCAACTTGTAGGTCAATCGGGTCAATCACTGTTTTATTACTATTATTGTACCCTTGAGGCCAGCAGCAAGTTCCTATGGATCAGATTTTTTCAAAATAGTTAAAATAGGATACTGAAAATGCCCCCCATGGGTCAGTGGCATAAAATTTCTGAAGAGTAACTGACACCTCGATCCAGAGGGAAAATTCATGTAAAAAACCAAAAATTCCATTTGAAAGTTTAAGAAAGTACTTCTAAGGGGAGAAAAAGCTAACTAAAATCTGACCAAATGGAGCTGATGGTTGTGATGGCATAACTAGGCCATCTCTTTGGCTAGGCCCTAGCCAATTAGGAAAGGCCCACTCGCTCGTCCGCCTACATCATAACAGAGCGCCTAAAATATTATTTCAAGTGGGTACAGATTTTGGCAACCTCGAAAGCTATCTTTTCCATCATTTTGAGATAAAAAATCCGAGAAAATTACTGGGAACTCTACTTACTCAGTAATTTAAGAGAATGAATTAAAAATAAAAAGGCTCCTTTGACCCATTGAATCAAGTATGATATAAGTTTTGAAAGATTGATCTAGATTCATTTTTAAAATTAAAATTCATCTTATTTGAAACCTTGCTTTTAGTGCAAATACTATTCTTTGTTTTTGCCCTTTATACTTGCGAGGGAAAAACTGAGTTTCTTGTGACTGTATTAATGTTGTTTTATTTAATGACTGGTAATCAGGATGGTAAAATGATAATTTGGGATGCATTTACCACCAATAAAGAGCATGCTGTAACTATGCCGACAACTTGGGTCATGGCTTGTGCCTATGCACCGTCTGGCAACCTCGTTGCCTGCGGGTAAGAGTCAATGTAACCTCCTCGGAGTATCTCGTCTGCTCGATGCTGCATTTATAATTTTGTTCTGTTTTATGCCAAGCTTACCCAATTTTACCTCTCAAAACCAAGCAGATACTTCCTTCCAATGTCATTGTTTGCTTCATTGTTTTCTTTATTGTTCGTATCGTTCATCATCTGTTTCTCACTTTTTCTGTGATGTACAGTTTAACCAACATTTTTTTTCGTTTTTGTCTCCTCTTTGCTTGTACCATTTAATCAAAGTTTGCAAAGAATCCCAAGTGTTGAGCTTAAGATTTTTGTTTTATGGATAAATATCAGAGATTTCTAAAGCATGTGTTGTTCCATTAGTGCATTACGTTTAAAATTGCCAAGTCCCAAATTAGAAAAGAAAATTCCATTTGGTAATAGTATTCAATAGCAGTCATCATAAAATTATCAGCTCAGATAAGTGAGGAAATAGTTTTTCTGCACTCCTCAAACTCCTGCAAGCCCCTTAACAATCAAACTTTCTCTAAAGTGAATTTTTTTACTATACAACCATGTCTGACTGCAGGAGCAGATATTCCGGGTCACAGAGGCAAAATTTCTAGAAGTGAGACTGTTACAAGGAAAGTTAGCAAATTCAAAGATAAAGTCAGGGAATACTGAGAGTAACATGTTGACCCAGCAATTTCAGTCGGTGCCATCCGAAAGATTTTGAACACCTTCTGAGTACCTTTTCTCCTAATATGAATCTTTGTAATAGTAAATTTGTCCAGAGTTTGGCAAAATTTGGCGTGAGTAAAAGGAAAATTATTTAAGCAGACATTTTATCGAAAGTTAGAAAAAACTGGAAATTTTGGAATCACAGAATAGCAGAATACGTCAGAAAAAAGTCAGGGAATCAAGAAACAAAGAAGTGATGTTTTTAGCAAAGGTTTCTTTTGTATATGTGTGTGTCGCATGAGATAGTTTCCAAATGTCTAAGAAAATACTGAGATCTGTTACTAGCTTTTTATGGGTCACAATTTTAAGTGTCCAGCCAAGAACATTCAGTAGTGTCGTAAACAAGAAGTTGCCAGCAGTTCAGATTATTGTTTTGCTAAAAGGAGACCTCAATTGAATTATAATTTGACAATTTTATTTCTAATGTCCATTTTTCCAGTCCTAAGTTCTTTTGAGTTGATAATACTTTTTGGAGTTGGTTGCAAACACGAAAGTGACATTAAAACTTGTCTTTGGGTTTCCTTAATCCCAAAACGAGTCTTTTCATCCTTTTTATGGTTGTATCAACTCTTCAAAAGCATTATGAACCCAAAAAAACTTTGGACTGGAAAAATGGACATTAGCGGTTTTCGCACGTCCCGATTCAATTGCAATCGCAATTTTCTAGAGCATTCTCTACAAGTTTAATTAGACCTGCTGTAAATAATAATGAAGCTCTTTTTTTCTAACATTCCTTATTATGAGTCTCTTACAAAGAGAGTCTACGGAGGCACTGCCCCAAATTGGGCTAATTCTCCAATCTGAGTCTTTGAACCAATTCATTGCATGTTTTTTCCTTTTTTCCTAATGTGCCTTGAGAACAGCGTAGTACTTTCCCAAAATTTGCATTTTTAGTGGCACTTTGCTCCTTGACGGGTGCCTCAGCTCAAATGTCTGATTATATTGCTCCGGCACAGTCTCAATCCTTTTCTCCATTCAGTTCCAAACTGCTTTATCTTCGGATCTACATTTTCACTCGATTGCTTTGCTCAATTTACAGCTAATAATTAGCTTGTTTTTTCTATCTAGTTTCGAACTTGAATTTCCTGTTGCAGCTTCCATTTCAAAAATTACAAAATCAGAAGGAAGCATAATTAATTCAGCTCTTGCAAGAACGTCTGACATTCAACGTAGTGTCACAGACTCTCAAGGAGACGGTTTCATTTCTATTTACGAAATTAAGTCCATCTAACCAAACTTTCCATAATTAAAATTAATTTTAATTTGATGCTTCTAATGAATTTTTTCATGTTAACAGTGGCCTTGACAACAAAGTAACAGTGTACAGCCTCAACACAGATGACGATGTGTCCACCAAGAAAAAAACCGTTGGAACTCACACTAGCTTCATGTCTTGTTGCACTTTTCCTAACTCGGATCAGCAGGTGAGACCATTTGAAAAATCTAGGACTTGTGAGCCATCTTGACGACACCTGTCTGTGATTTCATCATGTTGATGATAACTTTAATACAAATTATCATGTGAAACAACTGCATGACAAGGAAGCTTGCGGGGATGAAACCCTTCATAAAGGACCATCGCGGGAAGAGGCATATATCGATAGCAAACGTGTGAAACCACATATCTCATCAATGAATCATAAATCAATTAATGACCCATTAAACATGAGAACATTTTGGTTGCCAGAAACACTCATAGGTACTCCAACAACCTGGCTTGAGTACATTCTACAGCAATGTATATTGAATGATGTAGCCACTAAATTAGTCTAAGGCCTTGTCCACACGAGCGTGGTTTGAGGAACTTATTCGACAAACTGCTCAGTTCCCGGAACTTGTTCCTTGAAAGGAGGGATGCTGTCCACACGAGCTCGCCCAAACTAGAACCGGAACTTCAATAAAACTATACAATTATTGCAAAATAATAGATTATTACGGCCGCCAAAGTAACAAAAATAAATGTCAAGACATGTAAAGGATGTAAAAAACAAAAACAAACAAATTCACATCCAAAGAAACATATGTAGAAGCTCGGAGTACGGAGGAAGTTCCGGGTTTAGAAGGAATAAGTTTTCAGCTCAGCTAAAACTTATTCCAGGAACAAGTTCGTCGAAATAATTTTCGCGAACCGCGCTAGTGTGGACAAGGCCTATAACTAACCCCCAAGCCTAGAAAACCAATCTGTATTGTTTCAAACAGTATTACCTGCTCAGCAACGCTGCTCCAATTACTACTTGGCTTAAAAGTTTCAGCCTTAATTTTACCGATGGCTGAAGTCATAAAATGCAAATCTCTGCTCATGTGTTATTATTTTAAAGGAGATGAACTTTAACACAAAATTTTTGGTGAATTTTTGTCACCTACCCAAAGAAATTGCCTGCAAATTCCAAGAGACATTTTGGTTAGTTTTTATGTTACTAATAACATAATTGACGATTCATAAATTCTAAAATGGAAGTACGAATTTCAGGCGTAAACCTCAGAATATACCACCAATTTCATATTTTTTCACAAGCAAGGTGGAATCGTGTTTTTATAATTTCTTTTTTCCTAAGAAAAGTTACAAAAAAGTACCACTTTTTTCGATGTTATAATAAAAAAAAATATTATAATCTAACTGTGGTAATTTTGATTGGTTCTCTCTTTAAAAAATGAAACGCAATAGGAGATGTTTAAATTTTGCAATGGAAGCACTCATTTCTCGACCTTAGCCATTGATATGCACCTGACTAATTTTTCTTCTTTTTTGGGGCTGTCATATCAGATTTTAACTGGAAGCGGAGACTCTACTTGCGCTCTCTGGGATGTTGAATCAGGACAATTGCTGCAGAGTTTTCACGGACATTCCAAAGACGTCATGTCCTTAGATCTTGCTCCTTCAGAAACAGGCAACACATTTGTATCTGGAGTGAGTATTTCTTTGTGTCAGGTTTTTAAAGCCCAACATTCAAGGAGGCCGTTCCGTCATTCAGGAATGGTTAAATCAGGTTCTAAGCATCAAAGACAATGAGCTGTATAACGAACCAAGCGGTGCACATAAAGCCCGGCAGGTAGCATCCGTGGTATGTTTTGAAGCAATTTTCAGAATGAAACTTGGAATTATCCGAAATCAACCCTTACAGCAAGGTTTACCTTTACAGCAACCTTTTCTCGAGCAGCAGCAAGATTTAGCTTTCTTTTACAAACATGAACTCACGAATAAAAGAATATATTAGAGAACTCATTATCTCTATAAGTAAGCAGATTGCGTGCAAGAAATTTGAGTCCAATAATTCCCCTCTGACGCAGTGCGATGCACGGGCCCACTGACTGCTCCCTGCGGCAGCCTCCCCCCCCCATGTTGATAAAATTTCCGCCTATCCATAATCGCATAAACATCCATCCATGTGCATATGTTCTGTTTTTAATTCCATGACAACTAGGAACTATCAGCTGTTTGGAGTAATCGTCCACTTTTCTTGTATTTTTACAGAGCTGTGATAAAATGGTCCTGATGTGGGATATGCGAACAGGAAATTGTGTTCAAGCTTTCGAAGGCCATGAGTCTGATGTAAATAGTGTCAAATTTCATCCTAGCGGTGATGCTGTTGCAACAGGATCTGATGATTCGACGGTAAGGACTGAGTCCATGATGCCTTTATTAGTGTCTGAATTCCCTTGAATCTAGGGAATGCATTAAAAGTCCTTGAATTCTGTCTTATCTTGTTACTTTGTTCAGGACTGTGTGGAAGATCTTTTTCTTTTTTTTTTTGTCATGAAGACCCCTGAAGTGTTGAACGACATCTCCCATACATCATACTTTTACTTTTACACATTTAAGTAGCAAAATAAACTTTACTTAGTTGCAATAACCGTTTCGAAAAGGTGAAATAACTCACAAATTTCAAAGAGAAAACTTCTAAAAGTGTTGAAATCAAAGTTGAGAAACCCATTTTTGTTCTTTTTTATGCGGGAATGCCTCATTGTCATTTTACTTGTTATACCTCTCTTTCTCTAGTAAATTCAATAAAAAAAATGTACTTACCTAAATTTTACATAATATTCTATTTTCTCTTGTTGCATGTTTTGCTGCTTATAATGAGAAATTTCTAGAACTCAACAAAATTTTGATGCCAATTTTTTTCAAAAAAATTTCTTTAACGTTAATATGTACCTACTGCATTAATTATAATTTAAAAAGAATAAAAATGGTTTGCTAACTCATACATTTCAACAGTTGCTTTACCTATTTTTTTTAAAGGCAATGCTATTAGAGTGCTCTTCAAGGTCTTTACATTTTTTCTTGTGTCCTAGAACTTTAAAAAAAAATTGATTTTGGATTTTGATTGGCTTTTCTCCCCTGAGAAATGATTTTTTTTCTAACATTTTACCTATCAACATCAAAACCAGTTCAACATTCGAAGATTTTGCCTAACTGTCCCTTTGATTTAATGCCTTTTCATGGGGTGTCTTTTTTCTCTCTTTACCATTTTAGTCTTTTCTACAGGAATATTGTCTTTAATTAAAGTACTCATTTCTTTGATTTTCCATTACAGTGTCGTTTATTTGATCTAAGAGCTGACAAAGAAGTAGCGGTTTATACAAAACAGAGTATAATGTTTGCTGCAAATGCTGTCGATTTCTCTGTCAGTGGTGAGTAAATAAAATGTTGATGGTAAAACCATCCACATATATGTATTCGATATGCGAACCAAACCATGTACTTGATTAGCACTCTTACAGCTTTCCTGAAGAATTTTACTTTTTTAAAGGCCAAACAATTAGTCAGCTGTGATGGTCTCAGAATCGTGTTTTGATGCTTGATTCTTGTCGATCAGCTAAAAATATTGATCTGCCAAAACAGCAATTCTATGTTCTATGCTCTATGCTCTATGTTTAATATTAACCGAGATATCGCGCTTTGAAAAATTTGGTTAATGACGTCATACACTGCATTAGTGACATTCTTGGTTTCTTCCACCCTGCTTTGATCCGAGTCTCTCGTTGAGTAACCAGTGCAAATGTGTGTTTCCCTGAATGATGAAATCAATGAGTCACTACTGCAGTGGATGATGTCATAAACCGAATTTTTCAAAGCACGATATCTCGGCTACTATTCATCGTAGAAAGTTGCTGTTTGGATACTCGTGGAATTTCATATCAGAATGTTGCTTATTTTGACTGTAAGAAAAGTGAAACACGAGAGGAAATTATACACCATCCTATGTAGTTTGGCAGATTCTGGTTGAATCCTTCCAATTGTTCTAACTTCACTTCTTCAAAAAATGAGAGGATGAGTTTGAATTAAAACAGAAATCTCATTCAGTTTGCTCTAGCCTCTCATAAATTTTGCTTACCTTGCGGAAAGTGTATTTTTAAATAACAAAATTATCAGAAAAATTTATTTTACTTAAAAGTGCATTAAAAGAACAACTAACTTGTCATTACAGGTAGGCTTTTATTTGCTGGTTATAATGATTTCACTGTGAATGTGTGGGACTCGTTGAAATGTGTGCGAGTAAGTCTGCTGTATGGACATGAAAACCGAGTATCATGTTTGCAAGTTTCACCTGATGGCACTGCTTTTTCAACTGGCAGTTGGGACTACTCATTGAAGGTAAGTCATGAATATATTTCTCTCAATATGTACATAAACTGTGAATGAATGGGTTATTTGAAGAAAGGCCCAGTGGCGTGGCATGAATTGCGATAAATCGATTGTTATGCCATTTGAACCAATGGTAAAGAATCGATTATTAAGGTGTTCGCTGCGAACACCCTGTTTATCGATACTTTTCCATAGGTCTAAATGGCATAACAATCGATATATCGCAAAGCACGCCATGCCACTGGAAAGGCCCGACTGCTAGAAGTCAAGTTTCCAAGAAATATGAAAAAACTCGATTCTTTTGACAATTCTTCTTATTTCTATTTGAAAAAAGTAACCAATGTTCAACGCGCCATCTGTAGTGAAATACCAGTCACTCGAAGTGGGTCGGCAAAATAGGACAAGAAATAAATATTTTGATGAATACACCTCTCTTCCGCAAAACCTCTCAGCACTGCCATTTTTAGCAGCTTTATGACAATGAAATAATTTGATGACAGTGTTAAAAATCATAAATTGTGCCTTTGCTCCTAGTGCTTCTTATAAAAATCAGTAGGAAGCACCCTGCGCTGGAGAGGTGGCTCAGAAATCTGGTCAATTTTGACAGTCTGATGTGTCCTCTCAAGACTAATAATATTCAAACTCATCTTCTGAAAATTTGGCGGCTATACCCTGTTTTAAATGACCTGTTCAAAAATGCTTCCTCACTTCTCTTGTAAGCATAGGTAGTGATCATATAGCACAGCTGTTCTTGCTCTTCCTTGCTTCTTATGTAGGTTGAGGTTGAACTTATTGAGATAATTTTGAAGTTTTTTAGCGCGGATCATCTGTGTTTAATAGTTGAATTTCAACCTAGTGAGGTTTCATAAAATAAATTGCTATTGGAAGAATAATTGAATGCACTAAGCACTTGAAGCAAATTTTTTCAAAGTGTGTGTCGATGTCTAGAAAATCAGGAGTAAAAAGTGAATTTTTTTTGGCACTCTTACATGGGGTTTTTAACAATGGAAATGTGGTATTGTTGCTAATTTTGGTAAAGCTTGAGCTACATTCTGTCACCTTTTGGAAGAATTTATTTATTTTCTTGTGTCCAATCTTCCTTGATAAACAAAAGCTCTCCTCTATCGCTAATCAGATATCGCAACGTATCTACTAGATAATCCAAAAAATAATTCACTTTTCAGCCCATGCTTTTCTTAGAATTGACACATTAAAAGTTTGATTTTAACAGTTCATAATGCTCAGAAGGTTGTAAAGAACATTATATCAAGGAATAAAAAAATTTAGCCAGTGCAGAATTCATTAGTTTTCCATGCAGAGTCCTTTGAGTTTTATTCCTTGAAATCAACTTCTAAGAATTCCAAACAATCATACAACAGTTGACTGTAGACACTTAACCACACCACAGTTGACCGTGGACCTTTGACTGCACGCCAGCGCGAATCTCATAGACGGAAGATAATAGTCTAAAGCTTTTTCCCTCACACTTCGAATCCAGGCTTAGGGCTGGCCGAAATTTTAATTTTTGTATTAAAAATAATGTATGTGGATCGTAAAATTTTGGGCTTGTTTAAAAATGTGGCTTTTAGTGCCTTAACCGTTGGACATAGAGCCCTTTGAAACACTTTCCTTTGATTGCAGCCCCTACTTGCACAATGATAAACTGAAAACATGATTTCTTTTTGGGTTGAAAAACTAATTTTATTGTTTCAAATTAATACCAGAAGAATAGCTCCCTTGAAAAATTAACCTCTATGTACTGAAATCACTTTTCCTTTTAGCAATCAAACTTCTGTAAGCCCTGTTTTTCATTTTTTTCCTGTTTTTTATTTCAGATCTGGGCTTAAGGTAATTTCCAGAAAACTGTGTCAAATAGTCACCCACCAATTCTATGTGATTCCTGACCTTCAATCCTACATCAACCGTGTATTGCGTTAACGTGTATAACCGTAGTTAGTGTTTAAACTGTTTCCCACCTCTCGAAGTCTCTGAAAATAAGACCATTTTGTTATGTATTTTGTACCTCATTATTTTTTCAGGTTTCTTTCAATTGTTAAATTTTCCCCCTTCTTTGAATTCTTCATTTTTTATAATTGTAACAGTGCAACTCTTAGCCACAACTAATTCCGAATTACTCAGAAAGACCTAATGAAATGTGATAGCAATGGAAGATGATCACTGCTTTAGAAGACCATCATATTTTTCTTTAAAAGCTCAAAAATTAATAAAATGAGGCGTTATAAATTTAGAATGGCAGAAAATGGTAGTTGTGAAAAACAGTATGATGAAGAGCTAGTCTTCTTTTTCATATTGAACTTTGCATGGTTCTGTGACCTAGCAGTATCGAGCGGAGACGTAACCCTCTCATTACCAGATACCATAAACGCAGCATCTGTGATCAGCAAAATGGTATCCTTCCCATGCAATTCCGCCATTACTCGACAATCTCTCTTCAAGAACATTCATGTTTGTAGCTCCATCTATTGAGAAGAATCTGAAGTACCTACAACTTTAGGTACCTCCCAACAGAGTGCGCTATGATTTGTTTGTGTGACAACCAGTCCTAATCATGGGATATGCACCTGCAAAGTATAGCTTGATAATGAAAGTGAAAGGGTTAATATTTCCCTGGTAGCAGTGGCTGTTGAAAAATGGTTAAAAATTTCGTAAATTTCAAGGAGAAAAGTCTTAATAAAACTATTGAAATATCTGAGTTGGGAAAACTTGTTGTCCTTTTTTATGTAAAACTGCCACCTCGCTTTTTTAAAAGCTTTTTTTTATAATTCTACTGCAGTCAAGTTTTGCAAAAGTTTCACATGAACTCCACGTAAAAATTACTTTTTTATATCGCATAACCAACAGTTTATTTTGTGTTCTTCATCTATGTGAGCAATTTTTAGAATTTTGCAAAAGTTTGATGCTGTTTTTTGTCATGTCTTTTTTTAAAACTGATTTTGCATAACTTTTAAAAGAACAGAAGGGATTTTCTAAACTCATACATTTTGGGAAAAAAAAACTGCATGTTTTTTAAAGTCCACGAATAGTCAATGCTACCAGGGTAGCTATCGTTCATTGATTTGTTCACCATCGTGGCGGATATTGTGCTAGAGTATGATTTATTTAGTGATTTTTTTTATGTTTAACGATGATGCCTACAAAGTCCTTACCACTTTCAAAGAAAGGTAACATCTCGTGTTAATCAATTTGTGTTTTCAATTCTCCAGTGTACCACTAGACAAGGTGCGACTTTAAACATTACCGTGTATGTTTTCTCATCAACATTTCACATTTAACTTGATTTGTAGAACAAAAATGTCCATAAGTAACTCCTAACAAAGATATTTACGATTATTTATTTTGATGCATCAATTGGAACTTCCTGCTCATTAGAAACTGTAATCTGCTTGACTCAAACTCCAATCTAGACGTTAATTGGGACAGTCTTAGCAGTATGAAAATATGACAACCTCAATCTCAGGGCTTTGGCTCAGCTGTTGCACATTATTTATCCTTTATAAAACACAGGAAAGGAACACTGCCTATTGAGAAGCGTGTCATAACCATTGTATTGTGCAATTTGATTCAAGAACACTATGGGTTTTTGTGTAAGCAGAAAATTCAAGTTTTGCATAATTAGTGGTAAACAGAAACAATAATATCTTAGTTAGGAGTTAATTTTAGTGATTTTTGCTGCGCAAATCATGTTCTATGTGAAATTTTGAAGATATGGCACATCTATGATCATATGATGGCATACAATGCTCAAATTCTTATCTTGTCTGGTGATTTATAGAATTTCAGCTTCTTCCTTTTGGTTAGCTAATATCTGTGTACAATTGTTCCAATGCATTTACAACCATTTCCTCTATCTATGTCATTGTTAATAATTCATCATCATATATTTTTCTCCTGGCACTCATTCATTGTATAATATGTTATTTTAATGTGTAATCTGTTATTTTAGCATTTGATCAAATTGTTTGTCCAAACATTATGTAGCCTGTAGGAGCCATTCTCTTGAAGTTATTATTTTAAATTGTGCGCAAGAAATATCCAGTGCTGATAATTATTAACGCCCACCTGTATCTTTGTAATGCAATGCAAGTTGTAATAATGGTAATGTTAAAATTGTATATTCATTGAAGAGAGATGATATATGGATATCATTAAGAAAACTAGTCTTATTTATGTTAAGAGTTTTGAAGAAAGACTTGCTAGATAGGGATGTCAATGTAATTAAAAAGATTACTGCAAAGGCATTCTCAAGCAGTGCCCAAGGCTCCATTAGACTTTATAGTTCCTTAAAAATTTTTGATTTTTCGACAGATAAGACCCGTTCGCTTAGTGCAATTCCCGCTTGAACACAGTTTAGCAGTATGGTTACATTTGCAGAAAATGTCAAATAAACAACTAGTGCCCAACGCCATCCAGAAGGCTATTTTAATTTTAATGGTATGTTATGCAGAGTTTTTTATATAGAATTATTGCATTTCTGCCTCCATACGACTGAACCCAAATTTTTCCGCCTAATAAGTAGGCTTTTTTTAAAAAGGTCCTATGTATATATGACTGGTTATCTAATGCTATCCATCTGATATTGTGCGTTAAGCAGCTTTATAGGTGAAGTGGTGAAAAGAGGGTTATTGAAGAAGGTTTAGGCCAGAAAAAATTTTCCACAAATGAAAAACTTCGAACTTTTACTGCACCAATACCTGGTGAATCTGTTGTATCCATCTTTATTCACCATAACCAATAATAAAATAAGAAAGCAATTTAGGGATTTGAAAGTTCAAATTTTTCAATAATTGGGGTATTCGCTGAGAGATTACTGTCTTGAATGTTGAGCCTGTTGAAAGAGAGATTGTTTTCAATCATTTTCTGATCGTATCCTTTTTTCATTTGATGTTCATTCAAGACTCCATTAAGTGTAAATAATCCCACAAAACTGCTGTGTTCATTCTAAACAGAATGACTTGAATAATCAAATGTCTAAGTCCAGTTGGTATGTGTATATTAAATCTTAAGAGAACTTTGCACTGCTTTTCGATATAACAGGCAAACTTATATCTGTTTTAATCTTGTGGATTTACTTCATATCTCCATTATAATACACACCCACCGAGATTTCAATCAATATTTGCCACTGATCAGGGAAACTTTTTAAGAGCATAAAAAATTCATAGATCATCTCAAAATTAGCTGATCAATTTACGGACTAATTAATATCTGCTTTGAACATTTGAACGCCTCAGTTTTTACTCTTCCGTTTGTTTTTTCTGTTGTTAAATTTTTCTTGTTCTTTTCTAATGTTGCTAAATAGAATCGACCACCAGACAGGATACAAAATTAAGAGCCCTAATGTACGTTTCCTCATCAAAATTTTATCTAGAGCATGATGGATTCGTTAAGACCTCCTAAAGTCAACCCTTAAGTTTATATTAATTCACACCTCTTGCTCACAGAAAAACCCAAGTCCACTGAAGTAATTTCGATGTATTTTACAATGGAAGAAGTTACCTGGGCACTAAATTTTTTTTACATAATTTAAGGTACATAGCTTGTATTAGAAAGAAAAGGAAGCTTGTGTGAAACCAAGCTCTACTCACTTGCCTAACGTCCAAGTGGATTTTGTTGCCGAATTTGGCTTGCGTTGATTCTAGTATTTTCTCTTGAGCAGAAAGTTTGAATTGTCTGTTTATAATGTTTACTGCAAACGTTCATTTCTCACATATGAGTTAATTTTGGTAGTTTTTGATATGCTTTCAACATGTTCTGCGTTAAATTTTGTTAAGAAACTGTGTACTGTAGTGCCGAGTTTTTTACCCTGTTTAGTGGTTGATTGTTTTTAAAATTTAAATCTATTTCTAAAAATTATTTTTCAATGGAGAGTCCGGAAAATCTTGGTGGGTCCCAAGCCTGAAGAATGATCTCAGTAAAAAAGTGTTAAAATGCCTGTAAAAGTAATTTCAGGATTTCTTCATTCAAATGGAGCTCTACTCTCACAAAACTGAGGAGAAAAATTCTTACCTAGAAAGTTTCCAAGAATGACGAAATTGCTCAAAACAGCAGCACCTCCTCCATGTATATTTTTAAATACGATTGTACTTGCATTTCTTCATAGGCACCTTTTAATTTTATTCTTTTACTCTTATATCTTTGTTACATACATTTTTTGTTGAATTTTACACGATGTAAAATGTTAAGTTAAATTTCTTGGAAGCATGACTGATGAACCAATATCTTACCAAAAATATGAACCAATAAATTGTTAGTCCTCAACAGATTAAGAAATTTTTTTATTTAATTGGTAAAAGTTCCATGATCAAATTACTCCAGATGAATCTTGTTTAAGGAGATGTGAAACAGATCAGGTCAATTTTTCAAAATTTACATCTCTCCGCAACAAAATATAATCTTTACTTTATGTTTCTAAGCTTCAAACCCATGACTATCCATCCCGCATGCATTCAAGTGAAATGAACATCTCGTCATGATCAGGCCAAAGTATCACAAGCGCCATTTTTGCTTAAGCACTGTGTTGCCAAACTTCTCAAATGTGTCCAACCTCTCCAGTAAAAGTAATGAACAGAATCACTTGCAAATTTTACTTAATACTTCTTCTGTCTTCAAGATTAATCCCTGAAATTTTCAAGATATTTTGTGCTAAAGTTTTCAAGAAAATTAAAGCAATATTAAGGTGTCTGTCAACATAAAGTCTAAGCTTAAATGGCGCCTTAATCAGGAAAATTATTGGTTCATAATACACAACTAACCTAAATTTGATTTAGGGACTCTGGTGCTGCGATAACACGAACTGGTCCACCAGTTCCATACGTCAATTTCATTGGCAAAACTATTAAATAAAATCCTTTGGATGGCAAATTTTTACCAGCAAGTGCAACATTTTCGAGATTGTAAATATTTTTAAGGGCTAGTATTCGGTGAGTAACAGCGCTCGCAGCATTTCCACTGTCCACAGACGCAGTATCGACTCCCACGCCAACGATGCTTCCTTTGCTGGCAATCCAGTTAGCTGCAGATTCCCCAATTCCGGGGAAATTGCGCTGATTTGGGTTTGAACTGTTTAAACCAATGCCAAAATAGTCAGTCCTGTGTGTAAAATAGATATTGAGATTAATATAGGGCCTTTAAAATATATGGTTGAAAACAAAGTTCATGCCAATCAAATTGAAACTGCTATAAAGAGCTGCTAGATCAACCAATTCGATCCCTGTGATCTGTTGCAGCAAAAGTCTGCGATTAATATTTGTACCTCAAGATGATGGACTTCTTGACAAATACCAGAAAAAAGCCTATAACATTTTCTATTTCTCATTTTTTTTGTCGTATGGTACTTATGATTCAAACACAAGTTATCTACTAAGGCTGTTCCAAAAAAACTAAGAGTTGCAGTCTGTTTCAAGAAATCAATTGTGACCTGCAGCTTATATCATTACTTTTCTATCAAACGCTTATTCAGCTCATTTGATCAAAAATTTGTTCTTCTACGGTGATTTTTTGGCGGCGAGTAAGGAGACCCCTAGAATTTTCGAGCTCTTTTTCATTCTTCAACTCTACCGAGGCACAGGGTTTCTTTAACCTGTCACCTACCAAAAAATCTCTGTAGAAGAGAGAATTTCTAACGGGATGAGCTCAACAAGCGCTCGTTAGAAAGCTTGTGATGTGAGCTACAAGCTCTTATCAATCATACTTCAATATCTTCCATAATTTTCTCAGAACAGGCCAACTTTCAGTTTCTTTGGGGACAGTCTTCGTATTTTCATGAAGGAGTAAATCCTGATAAACAGAAGAACTCCAATATCTGCCGAGGTGAAAACGGCTTAGAAAAAGTATGAATGTGAAGTGAATTATTTAATATTTAAGTTAAAAATAACGTATTTCCATTAAATTTTAAATTTTCAAATTCAGTTCTCTATCAAGGGCAAATCACATGAAACTTCTAGTTACCGATCGTTCTTACCGATTAACGTATCTGTCACCCCACCCAAACTTGATAAGCAATATGTATTTTTTGTCTCGATCTAAAGCACCGTTTTCCCTCTCCCAATCCGATAAGTTTTCACTTGTCAACAAAAAATCTCGGTTATCGCCAACTTTCTGACTCACATCGATCAGCACACCTGAAATCAATCAGTAAGACAATAAAGCAATCTAGTCGCGTATGCAGATAAGCACAGTCAATGAATTTCAATGCATTATGAAAAATTAAACGCAACTAAAAATCAAAGCCATTTTGATGATTAAAGTATAAAGTTTTGGAGCGTTTCGGCAATGACTAAAATTTTAATAATGGGGCTAAAGTCATTAAATTTTACTATTATTGCAAATCATTTTAACAACCTCACAAAAAGTAAACTCAACAAACGAGGTGCGGGTAGTGCACAAGACAAACAATCAATCACAAAATGTAACCGTTAATAGTATTTTGTTTTTAAATTTCTTTATTTTATTATGTTTTTTTTTTTTTTTTAATGCTTTTGAAACCAGCAGGTATGACAGCCAGTTGGAAGGTATCAGCTTTGTTTTAGAAGTGTCTTGACAAATGTCGACATTGCATCCTTCCAGAGTGATTGGTGTGGTTTAAACAAACTTTGATCAAATATATCAAGTTTATTAAATATGCATCAAGCAGTTGCATCAAGTTGAAATTGAGGAGAGGAGGTTGGAAGTTTAATTCCTCTGTAACGCTTATTTACACGTTCAAAATATTTTTTCTCTACTTCAAATTTTTGACAGGAGCAAATCCTCCACAAGGTGGCTTAGAGGACAGGGAGCATAAGCAGAGTTTTTGAAAATATGGAGATATTAATGATTTCAAGTAAAACTTAAGTCTTAATAATACATATTCTGCCACAATCACTCCCAAATTCCAATTTTTACAGCATCAAAAAGTTACTTTGAACTTCCTTTCCGCCGTACTGCCGTGCTAAAGAAATACGCTGTATGAACATTCAAGAGTTGCCTGATTTCTTTCGATAAAATGCCCATTTTTGAAGAAAACTTTGCATATTTTCCCCTGACATTCTCAGGAACTGTAGGTGAAATTGCGAACAAAATTATCTGAAAAATTGGAGGAAATTTTTCTACCAATTTTCCCGAAAATTCGTGATTAACTTTAGGAAATTTGGCAACGTCTGAAGGCTCATGCAGCGTTTTACCTCAGCACAATGGCATAGGGATCCATGTAATTTCAAAACTTCGTACACTATTACTTTCTCGCAATAGCAAAAACTGCACTTATGCGCCTTGCTTGTCCTTTAAGCCTCTCAATCCAAATTGACCTCCAAATAATTTTTTTCAAAATGCAGCTCGGTGTGTTTCCGCCCATAGGTGGATCCAGCAAATTGGCAACATTGTCTTTTCTTCATTTAAACCTACGGAAATATGTAGATTCTTAGAGGGGCCAGGTGCGCCGACAAGAATCGATAATTTAGTATAGGTTCAAACGGAGGAAATCCGGTGTTGCCAAGTTGCTAGATCTACCTCTGTTTCCGTCAAACTCGGTCTAAATTAGTCAGAAATTCTGTCATTTTCAGATAAAAAAAGAAAAGCCAGAGGCAGAGCTGAGACCAACCTGCACTCCCCAAGTCCCCACACCCCGAAATCGTTTCAACCAAAATTTGCAAAGTTTAGGGTTATTTTTTTTTTGTGGGGACTCCCTCCTCCTTCCCGTCCTAACAACAAATTGCTAAGGAAATAAATAGTAACATAGTCTTTAACAGTAAGTTCACTCCTCAGTTTGTCGGTACTCATCAGAAGAATATATTGCATTTTTTTAATCAACATGAACAGCATAACATACCTACTTATAGGTACGATTTTTAAGTACTTTTAAGTGAGAATATTAAAAATTAGTCGGATTACATTTTGCAATAAGGAGCCATGATCTCTGGCTCTCCCATAATATCACATATCTGCAGAGGGAAGCCAATGGCATGTATGTTGTTTCTATAATGGGCCACAGAGAGTGGTTCCTTTATTGCAAAATGTAATCCAGTCTCAGTCTTCATACTTACCTGGTAGAATCAAATGCTTCAAAGGGATCTGTCCAAGTCTCCAGCCGTCTTTCCAAAAGTGAAATGGTGCGTCTAAGTGAGTGCCAACGTGCTCAGGTGTCGAGAACTCTCCCATCGCATAGTGAAATGGCTCCGAAAACAGACTTACATTAGATTCAAATGTTCTTTTATCATCCCACGATACAGTAGAATTGTCGAGTCTGAAAAATGAAAATTCAAAATTACTCACTTAGTTAGGAACATCAGGACTCACTAAAAAACTGAAAGAAGTACATTCATATAGGGTAAGTAGGTAGGTAGTATTGGGGGGGGGGGGGTCAGGGGATTTTTTATGCGAGTAACCGGTCTTTTTAAAGGACTTAATCATTTGTACATACCTTTACATCCGGGTAAATGTATACCTACACTAGTGGTTATAATTTCTGGAAAACCTAAGGTAAGTAAGTTATTGCTTACCCGTGGCCCAAATCAATAAACTCCTTCAGCTCACCACAAACAGACAATGCACCTGATAAGATCAGACTTAATTTTAACAACCAAGCTCTCCTGATAAAATTCATTTTGTTCAAGTCACTGTAACTTATTGAATATTGTTTTCCTCGACGACTCTTTCATAAATTATGAAAAAAATGCAAGGCAACCAACTTCAAGAGCTACGAATAAGTCAATATTGTTCTTATCGTTCTATACATATACATACTCTCCAGGCACAAATTTATATCATGGTGTGGTTGATTACATTATCTTAGTCTACTTATCTTGAACAAGCTATGAGGGGTGAAAGTTCAAAGACGATCGATTTAAGCCGTCACGGGTGGAGGAGGAGGAGGCTGCAAGCTGATGTGCCAATTACGGACAGTCGGAAAATGCTGAGAATAATAATTGCCAAACAGTTCTTATTGCGATAGGCCTTATTTCTTAATTATTTGTCATACCCAAGTACATGCGCTCTTTGTAAAACTGAAAGTAATCTCATTTAAGTATGTACGTATACAGGAAAATATTGTCGTGCCGCGTGCCACCCCCCTCCCCTCTCAATTTCCGGCGCACTCAGTCGTTTCCGCTTCGAAGTCGGCCCCGTTTCCGGTTTTGCGGTTCACGATTTTCAAACGTTCCGCTCACAGCGATCTGATTCTCTTTTCCGACAACGGGATTGAATGGAGGTGGACTATCGGCTATTCGCTTTCTCTCGATTTTCGTGTTGTGTTTTGTTCTTTCTGTTCTCCTTCAGTTGCGTTTTATCCGTTTCAAGTTTCCGGCCGTAATCATGATGCTGGCTTGTCTGTAAATTTGTGCTTACGTTTCGTTAGAAAAATGTCGTTTTAGTCTTTTTTACATTTCTAATGGACGGTAAGTTACCAGGTTTGGATTTCCTTTCGACTCTCACCCACCCAGCCTCGACGGATGAGCAGCCTAAATTCCCTTTGGCTCCCGTATCAAAAGGCGGCAACACAAAATAGGTTGTAGGCCATTCAGTGATTTAGCCAATGTAGTTTATCATTGAGCAATTTGCCATCCCTTCGCATTCACAATGAAATCGAGAATTTTGCCTAAATTCTCGCTTCAATACTTTCCTGACACCAACCTAGTCTTCCTTCTTTTGACTTATGAAAATATGCTCTAATATCTAGCCTTTCATCCTGTGTGGACATATCTATTTTGATCAGTGCGGCTATGATTGCGATTCTGCTTCCGAATTTAGGTGCAACCAGTTTTGAATTATCTTTCACAGAAGTAACTTAATTTCTTGATCTAAGCTCGTTTTTGTCTGGAGTCTATTCTTGTCTCGCCCCAGAGCCCTAATTGAAGCTCCAGACAATTTTGCCCTATATTTGGCTGTTGTTAATGCGTCATTTTGACTCATCATGCTGAAATTCCAATATTCCAAACAATCATCATTTCCTTCTTGTTTTGATTTCGATGTGATCTAGTTAGCTTTTTGCATCTCTCAATTCTATCCCTGTCACATCTGATGATGCATATAGATCCAGCAACAATTGATAAGCTCCAAGCAACTCTCCTAAACTAACTTCGCCAATTGAGATAAGTCATAACTTGGGTTTACGTACCAAGTATCATTGAAGTTTTATTCCTCGTTCTGTGGTAAAAATTGAATACTAATTCGTTCACATGGTGATTATTTTTGATTCTACACGGACGGCTATCAAATGGAGCATCTATTCGCCCCTTGTATCTCTTGAATCCTCCTCCAGTTTGAAGGAAAAATGCCCCTTGGACTCCATCAGAAATGTGCAAATATCTGAGCAGTTTGTGCAGACTGCAAGGCACTTACGATGGGAAGATCAGAAGATGGGTGCATATTTGACCAAGTTGTAAATAATTTTTCTCTTCTTAACATTATGTTCTCCACCTTTTGCCTCCTCATTTGTGTTGTGTATTGAATTCACATCCTTACTGTTTTAACTATTTTCAGATATACAGTCATGGTGGGAAGTACCGTCTATAGCACATTTCTGTTCCTTATTTAGAGCAGCTTTTAACCTTCTCGATTTTGATATCGAAGTAAGTACCTTACTTATCAGCATTTAAATCCAGCATAACAATTTTGATTTCTGTTCAAACCTTGAAGGCACAAATTGTAATCTATCGTTAATTGATAATTGTGTTTATTCATTCCAATTTAGTCCCTAGGAAGTCATAAATCAATGATCCTTTGAACAAAAGAAATCATGATCGCAAGAAACACCTGAAAGAAATTGAATCCCTGTGGTATGGTCATGTGTCCATTTACTCTTGAATCATCTAAACTGCGATATCGAACTATGATGCAGCAACTAAATTAGTCAATAGAAAGAAAGAAATTTAAGTTAAAAATAAGTGAAGCAATTAAAATCACTAGATTAAATTTTCTTTCAGTCCTTTTCATGGGTGCTTCATCCCTTCCTAATGTTGTTGTATATTTATCATCGCAGGAGCTAGAAAATGCATTGCTGACTGATGGAATCGAAGATGCTGGAAGTTCTCTTCTACAAGAGTTAATAGTCAAACTATTAACCGGTTGTCTAAACAACAATGGCATCTCTACCTCTAATTATCAAATGTTTCTCCGCCGTCTCTTTCGACAGAAATGCAAAGTAAGTCTTGTCCTTTTGAATACCACCTCATCAGACCCATAATACTCATGTTAAAATTCAACCAGATTTAAATGTAGCGATGAAGAATTTAAGGTTGTCTAAAAGTTAATGATTCTATCAGAACTGCTAACTGCGCTAAGCCTCAAGAATGTTTAGAATCTTCAAATTCATAGGAGTCATAGAATGATAAGAGCCGCTTTAGTGACCAAATGCAAGGTGTTTCCAGCACATTTACGCTTTGGAATTCATCATTTTCCTATTTTTCATTTCTGGAAAGAAACAGTTTGAACAGTTAGTAAGTGCACTCATTTAAAGCAATCAAATTTTCCTCTATGAATTCTTCATTGATGAAAACTAAGAAATACCGTTTCCTATCAGACTATCTTATCTTTAAGTAATTAAAATCCCACCAGGTTTCCGTGGCTGCCCTATACTTAATTTAATTTTTTTTCTAACAATTTACACATATTCTGTCCGATTCTTCATGTTGCTTTATTCCTTCTGTTACGTTTTGATTTTTTTGTTTTGAAAATGCTGTGTTCTTTCATTTCAGGAGTATGGCCGAGAAAATCCATTTGATAATGACATTGACTTCCAGTTCTTGTCACTTCGAACCAAAGTCGAGATTCTGCATTCTCTTTGTGATTATAGACTGGATGCTGAAGATGTTATGGACTTACTTAAAGTAGGTATTATTTGTCTGTCTTGAGGAACTTATAATTTCCTATCACTAAGTAATAGCTTTGGGCTGTTGCAAGAGCCAGGAGTCTAGTGAGAAATGCATTTCCTAGTTTTTCAAAGATTCAGAGCGCTTTTTTGACTGAAAGAAACAGGCTCAAAGTGATAGGTTTAAACACAGTTTTTCTCATTGTCCTGAAGCTTACAACGTTTTACGAATTGATGGCCCATGGTTTCAATCACCTTAAATCCAATGCAACATGCAGGATTGCCACAGTCAGGGAATACCTGGAAATATCAGGGAATTTTAAAAAGTCAAGGAAAATGTTTAAAGTGTCAGGGAAAAAAAGTATTGATTTAAAATTATTTAAAATTATTAAAAATTATCATCTTGATTTCCTTTCTAGAATGAGTTTGATGTTTCCAACATTTTTGCCTGAATCCGATTTCAAATTATGTCTTTTGAACCATTTAGCGTTTCTTCAACTGTCTAAAAAATTTACCAAAATGTGTCCAAGATTTCGGGAAAGTACTAGGGAAACTCATTTTCTAAATTCTGTGGCAACCCTGAATATTGCCGCCACACAATTCAAATTATGAACAAACGATGTCATTCACAAAAACAACTAGCAAAAATATTTGCTTCAAACAATGCTAATAATTCAATCATGGGGAAAATATATAGCCTTTCATTAATCTTTCACTCTGATGGTGGTGAATTCTTCTTGTGACGTCTGAAATCTCCTGGCGCAACGTTTTTCCGTTTGAAGCAGGGTTGGATTGCTACAATTGGGAAAATAGTGGCTAGCCCAATTCACTTGATACTCTAAAAAGATGCAATTGAAACAATGAGTTATTGGTAGATAGATAACTAGATGGATAGTTGTCATTGTTGAAATAGACAAAATTTGACTCGGTCATACTTAACCGATTCAATACAGCAGAAAAACATTGATAACCTGATCTTTTCCTGTCCCTCTCCATCTACTTTTTTATTTCATTGATTCTATTGTTAATTTTTTTTTTGTTTTTTTCAGAACCTTGACTCTGACAGCTTACGTGTTTACCCATTGGGTCGAGACAGAAATAAGTCAGTATTCTGGTACTTCTACGGCACTCGTTTATACAGAGAGGATCATAATAAGGTAATTAGAATTAGGAACTTTGCTATTCTTTTAGACCTAATGGCCATGAAATCTCTAACAGTGACATGGAAAATTCTTGCTAATAATCCTCCACTTCAAGTTCTAACTCAAAGTTGTATTAGTTTAAACCATTCTCTATGTAGGTCATATCATCATCATTATCATCATCAATTCAAGAAAAGACTGGATGAAATATTAAGAAATTTAGCGCTGGTTAAATTTCAAGAGTTTCGGATATGATGTTTCTTACTATCTCCTGATTAAAATCAGCTTTTAAAATCGAATTTTTTATGTTCAATGTTAAACGCATTGTCAAGTGAAATAAAACAGGTGCGAGAAGCTTGCTTCTCTTCCCTTGACTGGCTCAGACCAGGGAAACAAGATGGCGCCTCAGCTCAGTTCAGAAAAAAAGGCTCTGCATCTTCAACTCAGTAGTCAGTCTTCTCAGACCTGATTTTCTCAAGATTGACAAGTAAAAAATTATATTTTATGAGCTTATTAACTCAGGAGATTGTAAGGACAATCATGTAAAAAAGTATCGAAATTTAACCAGTGCCAAATCTCTTTCTTTTAATGACAAAATCAAGTTCTACAGTAAGAAACCAACCATCAGACGCTGTCAATGAATTCTTGTCTCTTTTTTTTCATTGTCCATTTTTACTTTAAACGAGGAAAATTCGGCGCATACAGTCTGTATCTAACAATCAGTTCTGGCTGTCGCTATCTTAGGCCATCAAGAACTCAGGTCGCCCAGCCAGGAATTGAACCCGGTTCCACTCAGAACAGGAGGCCGACGAAAGTGCTTGTTTTAGAAATCCAAAATTTTTCAAGAAACAAAATAAACTCGAGATAAAGACCGTTAAAGAATTTTTATTTTTTTTTGGCAAATTAATCAATTCAAAAGAACTCAACATGGGCACTTTTCGAACCAAAATATTCAAACCAAGCAATGATACTTCGTGAACAATAAAATCAGTTGTTCTTTTATAGGGGATAGAAGTATGCAAGAGAAATACTTGTCTTGAAACCAGTGGAGAAGTGAGTTTTTTCTTAGATAAAATCTGGCGGTGCATCAATTAACTTTTTTTTCTTCTCTTAAATTTTTCAGCAAAAAGAGGTGGACAAGAAAGGTGAAAAACGTGGAAGAGGCCGGAAAAAAAGCAAAGAAAAAGGTAAAGGTGACAAGTTTGATGCAAACGAAATTGGAACCGGTGAATGGAATGTTGTTTGTTACTCAGAGTCAGATTGGGAGCGGCTCGTGCATGATACAGAAGGTTCTGGCGACAAAGAAGAAGAGTCCTTGCATCAAATTCTGGCGAAAGACTTCTTACCGGAAATACCCAGACTTTTTGAAGAAAAAGAAAGGCTTCAAAGGTAAAAATTGAAAATTCTTGAAAGCTTTTGGCAAGCAGAAATATGGAATTTACTGTTTATTTTGTAAACTACTATTGCTGATATCTCTTTTTCAAGTTATTTCTGGAAGTTTTTGATACGTTCAACGTTCCTATGTGTAGAATTTTGTCAAATAAACATGTTCTTTGGTGCTTAATCTTTAACTCAGTCTATTGGTCCACTGAACTGAGAACATAGTTTTCTTTTATTAGCTGACTCAAAATAAGATTAGTGTTTGTGGGTGACAATCAGATGAATGTCATACCAATTTTTGAACTTCTCAAATGAATTCAAGGGTCCAATTATTCCTCCTCTTAATTATCTCCCAGGGATTTTTTTTCGCTACTCCAATCCCAGCAATGTCCTAAAAATGGCGAAAATGAACTTTTGAACCCCATTACTAAAATAATGTTTTCTGGAAACAACGCCAAAATAAATTAATAGCCAAATTAAAAAATCTCAGTGCTAGGCTCAAGCAGCACAAAAATAATATGATGGCAGTGGCCAAGCTTTTTGAATTTTTTCAGTTGACCTTTTGAAATCTGTTGGAAATTTGTGATAATCAAATATTTATATCGTTTTATACTTTGATTGGCAAATAAAATCCTGGAATTAGAGAAGATCAATATTTTTTGCTTCTGTCGTGTCAGAAACAGATTATATGCATTACTGAGACAACATTGTTCTCTGGTCATCAGTGTCACTATTGGAAAGTATTTTCTCTTGGTATAGGTAGTCTGTTACTTATCCTTCTCCCTTTTTTTTCAGGAAACGGTTATTAGAAATGCAACCAAGGAGACAGTCATCACGAATTGAGAAACTGAAACATCAAAAGGAAGTGGAAAAACAAGTGGAAATGGAAAGGAGGAAGGAAGAAATCGAACGAAGGAAATTGGATGAAGAAACAGCCGCTCAGAATTCAGAAGAAGATGATACCAAGAAAAAGGAACGGATCAGGAAAGATAGAGAGAGGAGGAAACAAGAGAGGGATATGAGGTAAAAATTATGTTTCATCTCCCAAGTTTTTTGCTTTTAGAAACCTTGTTCGTGCAAGATTAATTTTCTTGATCATATCAATGCACAAACATTTTTTTAAAAATTAATATAAATCAGTCAATTAAAAAAAATTTGAATCTCATTGATATTCTCAAAAAAAAATTCATATAAAATCAAGTAAATAACAATAAATCAAAATCAATATATCGACGGTGAAAGTCGGCAATCACATAACTCGTTTGCGGTGTCTGAAAATCTCCGCCTCTACGTCATTTTTTTAAAGGAGAACAAATTGATATTATTTCTTGAAGTTTTTGCAGAATTTTCTTCGCATTGAGAAGAATAATCATGACAGTTTTAAAAAATTGCTGTTGAGTAGTTTTCCATTTAAAAAATAAAGTATGACAGGAAGTCTGCGACGTCGCAAACCGAGTTATGTGATTGCCGTCTTTCACCGTCGATATATCAGTTACTGTCCAAAACCCTTGGCAAAAGCAGGGTAAGTTTTCGTATGACAGCCAAGAGGAAATGAACAAATTCATTGTTACTTTGTTGAGGACCAAGATTGTGGACTTACAATGTTTCAGAACTGGTCTGTTGCATGCCAGAAGTATTGCCAAGTGGGTAGACTTTCTTCAGGTCAACTTACAAAAATATCGGTATGTTCACTAAAAAGAAGTCTTCAGTCCAATTTTTCGGTGTCATTTTTTATTTTTCGCACTACTCGCTGAGTTTGTTTTCTGGCCCAGAAAAAACAGACAAGCATGAAAATCAGAAGTGTAAAAAGTTGTTTTGAGCAAAAATTAGTCACAACCTCAGCTGTAAAATGAAGGTTGTTCTGATAAATCAGAACCGGAATGCTGAAGATTGAAAAATTGGCTGAAAAAATCAGACTGCTTGGATGGTTTTACTGTTCTGAATCAGTTTTGTCTGTAGCACGCTTGATGAAATTTTTGTAAGCTACAGCGACCTTGTCTCAAGCTACTATACGTCTTTTCTAGCACTAGAAATTGTCGTTGCACACTATTTTAACCTAATTAAATTTCTTCTTTCAGACGCGCGAGGTGGCATGCCTCCGATTCCTCCGATTGGAAATCCTCTTCAGATGAGGAGAGTGAAAAGCAGTATGAGAAAGTAATGTTGGCAGACGACAAGGGGAAACCCAAGGGACGGCAGACCAATAACTCTTTATCCTCCGCAACGGGACAAATTATCATTCAGTCCCAGCCAGTCCGCCAGAAAATCCGTACATCACAAGTGTAAGTATTTTAACTTTCATTTCCCTCAAATTTTTCCAAACCTTTTTAACATATTCGAATGTATGGGATAAATTGTACACTATAATCAAATCCTAATCTAACTTTCTAAATGGTACAGCTTTTTATCTCGCACTTGCTGTAAATAACGTGTGTTGTGCAACTTCTTATCTCTTGTCATTTCAGGTGTGCAGAAACTTCTTCAGTGTAATCCTGGGATGCAAATAATGCTTGACCTTGTGATCGGTCGGTCAAGGCCAAATTGTGGATATGAGCGGAGACTGCCCCCCCCCCCCCCCCTATCGTTTCCATCTTCGTTTCCTGCTAACATAAAATTGATGCAAATATCTGGATGAAAATTGTTAATCAAATAAAGAATTTGGCATAATCTTAATCAGCGTGTTGTATTAGCCATTTTGCAAAAACCCAGTGCGTTCTAAGAAATCATTCAGGCCAAGAACTGTTTGCACCCTTGGTTTACGCTTTTACCAGAAAAACTTGTCTAGGTACGATCGATTTTAACTGAATTCTTCTCAGCAAAACTAACCTTAATTTTCTGTAATACTGTGTTTGATCATCATTCTGTTGTGAGAAGGTACTAATTTTCCACGGACTTCTAGCTCAGTAGGAACGTTTAAAAAACCTCAGTACAGTACAGAGACTAAAATTCTGCTTTTTCCCGTCATCTACACAGCTCTTGTGCCTGGCAGAATGTTAGCACATTAAGTCCGTAACCTACATTTTTATTTTTATTTTTTTTTTATCTGAAACTATTGTAAAATAATGAAATTTGTCCTCAGGTTCCCCACATCTTTTGAGGATATCAAAATAGGGATGTACAAAATAATAGAAAAGATCAAGAACCATGAAGATGCGTGGCCCTTTCTGTACCCAGTTGAGTCGGAGGACGCTCCGCGATACTACAAAGTCATCAAAGAACCAATGGATTTGCAGACAATGGAAGATAAACTCGACAATCGAGAGTACTTCTCGGTTTCTCAATTCAAGCGAGATTTTCAGCTCATAGTTGAAAATTGCAAAAAATTCAACGGCCCAAGCAGTGGTAAGTGTCTATTATGACCAAAAGTATAAAAAGGTCAAGTCAATCTAGTCTGTCGTGAAATAAGTGACATATAATTTGAATGATAGTTTAATTGATCCCTCTGATAATGAAAGTTGTTTTGATTTTTCTAATGATAAAGGTATTTGCTCGATCCCTAATTTCATAACGTTCATTAATGGAGAATGCTCCACTCCCTATCTAATGAGATAGAAAGTGAATCCAGGGTGCGTCATGGTGTGTTTTATCCAAATTTACCGTGCAACGAAAATTACTGCATTTTATTCCTTACCAAGATATTAACGTTTATTATATTCGGCTTTAGTTACCAAAAATTTAAATTCTGGCTCACAATCAAGACCACAGTCTACTTGAATCAAATTGTGCCCTACAATGGTTTTGGCCAGCAGCTGAGCTAAAGCGCCAAGATAGTGGTTGTCATATTTTCATACTGCAAAAACTGTCATGGTAATGCTTATTGTGCTGTTCAACTCGTAAGTTGATTACGGTTTTTTTTATGAGTGAGGAGTTTGAATTTATTTATTGAGAAACGTTAATATCTTGGTTAGGGGGGGTTTCATTCCTGACGTGATCCCTTCTGGAAATACCAGCCAACCTACACCAGAAGTCCGTCCCTGTCGTCTCAATAATTTTCTTTCACAAATTGTCTTCTTCGTGATGAAGAAAAATATATCATAATTTTGAAACTCGCACCTCGGCTAGTGTTCCATTTTGAGTTCTCAATTGTCAATATTTCAAAAATTTCAAGTAACAGAGAAAGGAAGAAAGAAAATAAAAACAACTTTAGTCTCTGCCCAGCTAATTCTGTTTTGTTCTCGAGATCAGTTGCTTTTTCAATGACTTTTCCTCAGTGCTGTAGACATGACATGTGTTGAGGCAGGAAGGAATACGCCAAAGTTCAGAAAAATGATAATCGTCACATTTATTGTTGAGGCAGGAAGGAATACGCCAAAGTTCAGAAAAATGATAATCGTCACATTTATTTTCAGATTATTCTGGGATGGTGGTCAGTTTGGAGAAGGAATTCAATGCATTGGTGAGCAAGTATTTGGCGGAGTTATCGTCGGATGAGGAGTTGGCTGTAGAGTTTCCTGAAGAGCATCGCAAACACAAGAAGAAGCACCATAAGTCGTCAAACCACCACCGATCCTCTAGTTGGAGTAAGAAGCATCGTCATGATGAATATCTTGACGACAAAGAAAATGAAGACCGATCCTCAACCCCTCCAGAATCATCATATGTTACCAAGTATGAACTCACATATTTTATTCATCCATTATATTTTGAGATTTGAAATTCATCATTGGTGGAGAATGACTGAACTTACTGTGGAACTTGTTCCTGTGTTGCCAGTAACCATTCCTCAGATGTTCTCAGAACTAATGATCACTCTTTGAAAAAGAAATTGAGCAACCAATTCAAATAATTGGTTTTGTTTCCAGTTCAAAAATAAATCTTTCGTGTAATTTTTTTTGCGTTCAATCCAAAAAATATGAGTAAAACATAGCTTTGAAATGAATACTAATCACAATTATTCAAGTTATATGACATTGTCATCTTCTGGCCAAAGTATCACATGTGCCATTTACGCTCAGATGCTAACCGGACATCCCAACATTGTTACAAGTTTTTCTTTGAAACTCGTGCACATATGTTCATGAAAATTCTAGGGACTAATTTTGGCGTTTAAAAAAGTATTATGTACAATTTAAAAATGATTTTTTCATTAGTTTTCCTGTAAAAAAATTGGGCAAGTTTGCAAAGTTTGGCAACATAGTGCCCTAGCACAAATGGCACTTCTAATACTTAGGCTGAAAGGTGACAATAAGTGATCCTAATTGTAAATTAAAAACAATTGATGTATCTTTTTAAAGTCACTGTATCTCAATTGACCTTTGCTTCAAATTGAAAGTTTTGAAGCTCATTTTAAGAGGAGGATTTGCTCCATAGTAGACCAAACCCAGTTTGATTTATAGTCGTCAAAATGCATAGCTGTGACAACTTTGAAAGTTTCTTAAGTTTCCTCCAAACTTAGAACTCAGCATCTACTGTTTACACGTATATGGCTTCATTTGTTTTATAAACCTCATCTTTCTTTCTATTTTCAGGACCGCTCGGAGTGTGAGGAGTGTTTCAAGCAGTGTCGATGAAAAACTGGACGATTCGCAAGATGACGAATTAGAAGACACGCGTAGCTCAGATTCTAGAACGCGGAGGAAAAGTATGCACAGCAAGAAATCATCAGAGAAAGAACGGAGCAGTCAGAAAAAACCTCCCGTCAAAAACACTGTCAAAAGTGCGGCAGCCATCGAAGCGTTGGAACTAGCCACGGAGCAGACGTTGAAGGTGGGCCCTCTTGTTTTCTAGTAATGAAATAGTTTCTTGGGGTCTGATCAATCGAAATGATGGAATTATGAGTCCCATTTACAGGTAAAATATACATGCCTGGTGTGATAGAGATTTTGCTGGGACTAATGTGCATAGATGAGTTAATCAGCAGATTTGCTAGATAATTGTTTTGATCGTGTTTTCCAAGTTCCTGATAGATAACGCCGTGCGTCTCAGTGGGGTGGCGTGCTTTGTGATGAATCAATTGATTTTTCATTCAAACCTATGGAAAAGAATCGATTATCAGTATTGTTCTAAACATTAAAAACCCATGTCAAAACACAAAAGCATCACAAAGAGGGGTTGAAGAATTTGAATTTAGCGGTCACATATTTCATGGCCTCCATGATAATTTGGATCACATTCTGCAGAAGTGAACCAATGCGATTACGATTACAGTGTTTTTGAAATTGTGCATTTTCATCTTAATCTAGAAAAAACCTGAAGTAGAAGATAGTTTTTGTTTTTCTACCGAATACTTTTTAATTTTAAAGAAAAATTATCGTGGAAATTTCATCACTGCACAGATATGTAGTACTTTTCAAAGCAAATATAAACACTAACTGCGTTGGTTCCTTTCTGCTAAATGAAATCCATTTGGTTTTCATTTACACAATTTCTTTACCGAATTTCATTTTTTCGTTATATTGGCCAACTTCGTGGTTTTTTCGATTTTGACGGTCTCAAAGAAAAAAAATATGTAAAAGCTGCTCTTCGTCGTTTTGTGACCAAATTTATCGTTTTTGCCAAGAATCTCAATTTTCAGTATTATTGAATAAATTTGAGGACTATTTTGAAACATCCTAAGTTAAAGATTTAAGCCAAATTAGTTTATATTCGTGGAAGGGGCATGTGAAGAAATGCAAGTATGCGATTCGATGTATGCAATTTATGTTTAAACATTTTTGCAAGTGTTTTTTTCAGTTTCAGTGTTTTAAATTTTATGATCCCATGCTTGCAGGATATCAACAAATGGCTAGATGACACCCCGAAATTCTCCGACTACTCTTGTGATAATAGCTCCCCAGCCCACCATTTAGGAGTCGTGGACGATATTGAAGTCCAGAACCGAATCGAGTCTGAATACAGGAGATCTTTACTGGAAAAACCACCACGTCTCCAGAAGGTAACTTAAAAATGTTAAATTTATGATATGTAACTCTCTTTGATAAGGAAAACCTCGGAACCAAAATAAATTAACATTGAGATACTCGCTCCACTGCACAATGTTCTGTAAAAATACTGAGATCATTCAAATATGTCAAACAATAGAAGTAATGACATTTTGAATTTTGCAGTTCATAATAGACCGATAAAGTGGCCACGCCATAGTTTTATATCGTAGTCTTGATGATACAAATTTAAACAGACACCTAACTTTGTTGTATTCATGCCATTGATATGGCCCTGATAATGCTGGAATAATGTCATCAAGATATTTGTTTTACTTGAACAGAATTGTAAGTATTGAGTATTTTACTGCATGGAGATTAAGAAAAGTTCAATTTCACTGCTTGAGACTGATTCAAAGTTGAAACATCTAAAGTGGTAAATTTCATGAAATTAAGGGTAAAGTTTCACCGCGTATATTACAGTTTGAAGAACTAATTTTGCTTCCAGAATAGATAACTTGAAACTTGGTGTTTTTCAATCCCTAAAAGTAAAATAAAAAATACAGGAAAAAAATTGTATTGCATTTTGCAAAAGGGAACCAAGAATATTCCAATGTTGCTAAGATTTTGCACCTTTGTCACACTGCTAATGCAAACTGATTATCTAAAGAAGTTTCATCTTCACTCCCTATAAACTAAATTCAAGACGAAAATTACCTTTATAAAATTTAATTTTTTGCACGATTTCAGTAATTTTTTGCAAAGAATTCAAGTTGTACAATTCTAGCAACATCGAAATACTCTTGGTTCCTTTTCGCAAAATGCAATCCAATTAAGACTCAAAAACAAATGTACAGGGATCATCAATTGACGATGGATGTTAAATTGTCTGTTCCTAATTTTGCCCCAAATTATGTTTTCTAGCCCTGTTGAGACTTTGGTCTAGGACCTAGAGGAACCCAGAGAAGGGGGACCCTTAAATATTAATATTTCAAAATAAAAAAAGGTTCTTTACCCGAATGATATTCGTTTCCACCACCGGTTTTTGAATTTGGAAAACAATTTAAAAGCAAATCATCCTAATGCTCAGGCCCCTCATGATCAAATAAGTACATCCTCAATCTCTCTAATGACTCAAAAACGAGCAGCTATTTCTGTGGAATGATTGGCACAGTCATTAATTCAAAGTTTAAAAACCGAATCCTTGACTTAACTAAAATGATTCTTTTGAGTATCCTGCCTACTTCTAGATACCTTTTTCTATCGACGGCTTCGTAGATGTGTGTAAATGATAAGTGAGCCATTTTTGAACTATCTTGCTCATGCAACTTCTAAAAAAAAATTGTTTATCAAATGTATAAAATTAGTTAGTTTTTTTACATATCAAAGAAAAAAAAATAGAAAATAAGGAAGAGTGTTAGCCCTTTTTTCTGTATGATAAGTAATTTCACATTTATTTGAATTTCTTGTCTTATTTGCAGGAATCTTTGAAAAGGAGGCACTTGAAAGACCCTCAAAATGTCATAAAGAAGAAACGAGAAATTCAACGCAAAATCGATCGGTTACAACCAGGCAAAAGCAAGGGGAACCTCCTCTCGACCAACAAGCAACCTCCGGAGGAAACATCAGTAAGCGGAAGCAATAGTAAAGAAAGTATGAAAATAGACGAGACTGACTCGGATGCACCGAAATTGAGTTTAGGTACTGTATTGCTCTCTGGTGATATTGGCTTAGGCTCGCTTGGCTCTAAAAAACAATCATTTGGGGATAGTCCTCCTAGTGATACAAAATACTCTGACGATGAGAAATATGAAGTTTCATCTAAAATTAAAGAACCAAAATTAGATTATGTAGATAGCGATATAAAACTTGTGGATACATCAGATTTAAAACCAACGGAGACAGTAATTTCGGAAGAGAAGAAAGAAGAAGACGATCTTGAGGAAAAACCAGAAATTAAGTCAACGTCCAGTGTACCTGAAAAATCAAGCGCCAAAGCAGAATCTGCGAGTACCAAAGAAAAACCCAATCTCAGCGCCTGGTTCAAAGCGTTTGGTGCCCCCAAAACAGCAGCTGCGCCAAAGCGCAAGAGTGACACTGTGTTTGGCAATCCGCCGACGCCATCTCCTTCCGTAGACTTTAAAGACAGTAGTAACGATCTACAATCCTATTCCAAATTCAGGTATCTTGATGATAAACCATTAGATAGCCCGAACGACCTGCCACCAATGACTCCTGGCCGCTCTCTGAGTCCAGACGATAAAGATCGGAAAAATATCTACAACTCGCCTGAAGTTAGGCCGGGGACAAGGAAACGTAAAGTGAGCACTGGAAGTAGTGTTTCTGAGCGCTCATCTTTCAGTCAGGACCCGACTGACCCAATGTTGTCACCGCACCCTACTCTGTCCCCACATCCAAGCTTGGATGAACCTTATCTCTCACCCCAGCAAGATGCTGCTAAATCTTTCCATCACTCTCCTGTAAACGGAACCATCAAAGTAGGGTTTTATCAGGATACCTTCCCACGAGGAGGTTCTGATAAAAGCAACAGTTGCAGCCCACGAGAACAACTACCAAGTAATAGTCCACGGAATTTGGGTCTGAGTCCGAAAAATCCGCACCCGGACAGCCCAGACTATCACAGATATTCTGCGCCATCAACACCTGTGTATCAAGCCCCAGCGAGTCCTGCCCCAGCTTATAATTCTGCGCTGCCATTTTATCCGGGTCACTCATCATTGCTCTCTCAAAATATACCTTACTATGATGTGAATAAGTCAGTTACCGATCAGTACAACACCACTGCTACGTCCCACCAGAGAGCACCCTCACCAACTCCTTCTCCGCCCGTTCAAAAACCTCCCATCTCAACCCTGCCTGCGGTAAACGAGAAACCAGTCTCCGTCTACCCGGTGAAGAAACGAGCTTATTGCGAAGTTGAACCTGATCCTCCTCAGCAGCAGTCTGTAATCAAACCAGTGATGGAAAAATCTAGTGGCTTTACTCCACTAGCATCAGTGCGCGATCCTGAGAGAGTCTTTACGCCGACACCAGGTAGAATGCCCCAGTCAACAGAAAGAGCCATTGGTCTTCATCATCGCTATCCGAATGAGCTCTTACAATCGTCACCTTACTATGCGAATGACAACATCTTCAGCAAGAATGTTGCGCCGGTTTCGACGGTACCCCCACCCTCTTCTTACTCCAAAGCGGAAGATGTAGCCACGACTGCAAGTTATTGTCGCAACGTCGAATCCACTAATTCAAGTAGTTCGTACTCTGCATATAATCGTATCTCTGCACCTGTATACAATTATCCAAACCCTGTTGACCGTGTAAATCCGCGTCCAGAAAAACAAGTTCCTCTGAATTACTCAACCCCACCGAGTTCGTCCGAAATGCTCAGCAGTCGGAACACACCTGCTGTCAACTTTTCCAACGTTGCAGCTAATTCTCCAAATCTTATAAGCAAATCAACCGCGCCTACCTTAAATTACCTTGATCGGAGCAATCCTGAACTTCTGAATTTCTCGAAAATGCACCCTGCCTCGTCTGCGAGCGATTCAGGACGACAGACAGAACTCACCAGTCGCATGGTGGAAAATCCGGGCAGAAATAATCAACATTTAAGTTACCCGCAAAGCCGAGCAAGTTACAGCAAAGTAGATCTGAATCCGCCTCAGTCATCCCGTGTTCATTACTCGAATCCGATCACTGATCTTTCATCGAAAATTAATATTCCCTCCGGGCTTGGCTACCCGCCTAATCAGCCAGGCGCTTTGGCGTATTCACATCCCATGGGTGACATGCGCTATAACTATCCAGCGATGATGTCGGAAATGATGGCTGGCAAATCGTCTGTCAACTATCCACCTCACACGGCTGTCGGTTACAATGTGGATGCGTACAAACATCCGATGGTAGATCTCATGGCAGCAAACAAGACTCCAGTCAGTGAGCCGCAGCCAGCTGCCAAAACACCGAAGGTTGTTCCACCGAAGAAAGCCTCAAGAAGTAAAAAGAAAGCAACAGCAGAAGCAGAAGTCAGTCATCCTCATCCGGAATCAAATTTGAATCCAATCAGCTCCAGTGGGTATCAACAGTACTCAGGGCAGGCTTCTGCTGAGCCGATCTCATTAAAGACGACCAGTGTAGTTCCTGGAAGTGCCTTCAATTTTGGACCTGCTCCGCTCAAAGACGGCTACTCCTCCTATCTGGGAGAGATGTCCCGATCTGGTTATTACCTACCTCACTCCGGCGCAGGGATTCCGGAAGCCGGATCCAACGATGAAAAAGGTTCTGCGTCCTCCTCTCATGCAGCTCCTTCCTACCCCTTCCCTCGAGCACCGTATCCTCATCTAACACATCATTCGCCCGCCATCTATCAACAATATTTGCAGCGACATCAGCAAGATCTTCTCCGCCCGATGGGTCTTCATGGTCTCTTAGCTCCCCCCTCGGGTTATCCCCCAGGCTATATCATGCATGATCCTCTGAACAGGCCGCCCCCTTGGATGTAATCAGTCTCTCGTTCAATAACTCCGAGTCGTGATGTACAAACATAGTGTATTATGTTCTTTTGTTCAGTATTTTCAAAGTTGTGTCTTTGATCCTTAGTCAATTTTCTGTTGTGTTTCCTTAGTTCTGCTAAACTAAGGAGTCTTGAAAGTAATTTAGGAGAGACATGTCAAAGGAAGTTTGCTCCTCCCAAAATACGTCACTAATCAGCAGGGGTGGATTTCATGAGGATCGCACTAATTTCGGGCCTCATCAACAGTGATGCTGTCTCTCTCCCCTTTCCTCGCTCTTTACTAAGAACAAATGCTCAAGCGTGGAAGATGCTGGTTTTTTCATCAGTGAATAATAGCAAGGTTGTTGTCGTGAGTGGTAGGCCATAAAGTTTTCCCAGTCAAATCCACTCCTGATGATTAGTTACTTTGAGGGCAAACTACTTTGATTGAATTTCAAAAATGTGCCTATTTCTGACTGTTATTAGATGTTTAGTATATGTCTAAATAATATGTCTCCGTGTCAATATTATAGATCATCACTGAGGTTGAAAATCCTTCTCTCTGGTACTATGGGTCCTTTTTGCAGCAATGTATTCTAAATGGGTCATCACTGAAAAATTTAGGTTTCGTATAATTTTTTCCGCAGTGGAAATGTATTTTTCTACATCCTCTGGATCAGATGATAGTCCCTTTAATAAAAAAAAAAGATGCTAGAAGATTATGGAAACTCCTGCAATTCTAATTTGGTCCTCAGATGTCAGTTTACAAGGAATTTAATGCCCTTTCAACTTTTCTCATTTTTAATTTTCTAATTTTTTGCTTTTTAAATTATTGAAAGTGTCGCCAGTATTCAGATTCTCCAAGGGGTGAATTTATTTCCTAAAATCTAAGGGGACACAGGGAATTTCTTAAGTAAACCCAGAATTTTTTTCTCTTCCTCAATTTTTTAGTATACACATTTGTTTGAATGAAAATTTAGGAAAAATATGACCTTGGTTTGATAGAAAAATTGATTTTTTTCACGGATGAAGTTGATAAGCAATGGATGCTCTACATACATAGATAGACTGCTTTAGTATTAATTTGTCTCGGAGAGAACTTGGTCAATTTTAAAAGTATTGGCACATATTGCCTTTTTTATCAATGCATAATATTAAATTTTAATTGGAATAGTTGTTGAACATGTCATTGGAAAAATTAAAAAATTCAGAGGATATTTTCTTCTGATATCAATATGTTTTTGGAGACATCCAGTACAAATGCATACTATAGGCACTCATTCACAAGTATAAAAGAGAAAAACAACTGAAAATAAAATTGGAACAATTTAAATTCCTTCAGGAAGCTAATGGGCATTGAAGAAGTTGGTCCAAATCAAGTTATACTGTATTGTGACCTGCTAAAATCTTGACTCATAGTCCGCATCCTGTTTTTTAATTTTGCGAGAAACGGTTTTTTTTCTCAAATAATTAGAATTTTTGAAAGCATCACATCTCTCAGAAAATCATTGAAATTAGGACACTCTCCTTTCACTCCCCCTACTTCTATGCTTTAAAGAGAAGCAAAGGCCGAACATCTTCAGCAGGATCAAAGTTGTGGCAATTCTCACAAGTTGGTTCTACTGTTGGCAAAGCATCAACAACATCAACTAGGTGATTGACTTTCAGGAAGACTTAAAAGTAGATACCTCAGGGAGTTTACCAGTTTCCATATTTGGCATATTATAATGTGAAATAAAACTTTCCCCTGTTTAAATCTGCTATAAGTAATCAGTTCTAAGGAGGCAGCCTGCCTTGAAAATTATCGATTGTTTTACATGTATTGAAAGAGACAAAAACAGTGTTCCCAACTTGCAAGACTTGCCACGGGAATATTTTTATTTTTAAAAATGACTTCGATTCCCTCCAGAATAATCACACCCGAACTTACAAAGAATTAACATGAGCTAAAATCTTTCTTACGGGTATTCAAGCTTGGCAATGAGTGACTGGACGATACCATATCAAAGATTTTATAATTTCAATTTTGATTGGGTCAGCATTTTTTACTCAATTGCATCATAATTTTTACAATGAGTATTTTCTCTAAATTAATTTTCTCTTTCAAAATCTGTTGTAATAAGGAAGGATTTTTATCATGAAGCTGTGTATTTCATTTTTTAACGAAGCCGAAAACTAACTCTTTTCATGATGGCTTAACAAAATAACAGGATTTTTTTTATTTTTTTTTTTTAAGAAATTGATCATGCTTCATTTTAGTTGTAAGTATTTAGGTGCATTGAAGGGAGTTGTTTNGGGGGGGGGGGGGGGGGGGGGGGGGTAAGTTTTTGAACCACTATCTTTGAAGCTCACTGAATCCCTGAACGTTTTTGTACAGATGTAACTAGAATCATATACAATACATTTCCAATGATAATTAACTAACTTCAAATTGTTAGCCTCTTTAATCGTAAGAGATGTCTCATAAGTAAAAGTGATGAACATCACACTGAAAATTAATTTCATCTCTCTCTCTTTTACATCCAAAGCTTCTAAGTGGTACGTTTTTCGATGTACGTAAATAATTTACGTAAAATCACTCGTGCCTGCATGAAGACTCCTCTACCTCTGAAGAAAAAACTTTTTTTTCGATTTGCATGATCTTGTTTTCCCAAGAAAGTTTCATGAAGCCTCGTGTATTTCTTGTACATCTGAACCCATAGTTCGAAGTATGAATGTGACTCCAAAATGATTAAAATAAACTTAACTTGCTTGCTAAAATTAATGTGGTATCATGTTACGGCTGGAAGGGCTACGCACACAATACCATGGAATTCGGAGCCGGTCTTTCAACATTATCTCTCATGATGTTCTCCAAGACCTCCTCAGCACTATGAGCTTTTAAAATCAAACTCTCTAAAGTGAATTTTTCGGCCCTCTTATAGGCGTTTTCTAATGGAGATGTGGAACTGTTGCTGTGTGTGTGCGGATGTTGTGCTGCACGCTCTTATCATTCTGAGAAATTTGGTTCTTTTTGATATGGAAGGAAACTAAAAATCTTCTCGGTCACCGATAAGACATTGTAGCATTTCTTTTAAATGTTCCAAGTAAAAATGCCGAAAAACTCACTTTTCAGCTCTGCTATTACCTTGACACATGGAAAGTTCGATTTTAAAATTTCATCGTGCTCTGCAGTTCTTTAGGAACATCATAGCAACATTGAAATTTACTCAGGGCCGAATTTATTGGTATTGAGTTTGTAGTTTTTTCAGAGACAACTTACAAGCTATCATACAGCTTATAATGTTTAACGTATCTTCTCTTTCACCTCTACTTTGATAAAGTAATACAATGAATTTTACTTTTAGAAATTGACAATGTAGAATTCGGTACAACCTCATAAATTCTTCTCAGTGTTGATCCTCCTTTGGTAGACATTCAAATTATACATTTGTGGATCATTTATTGTGCAATTAGCTAGTTAATACAAAGTTTTGAAATTGTCAAATTTTACTTGTAATTCCTGTAAAAACTGTATGTTTTGTGTAAATATCCAAAAATGTACATATCTTTAAAGTTAAAACTTCTTTCTCTTCTGTTCACTTTTAACTATCTGCTTCAGTGAGTCTGTCTTCCTCAATGTTTAAGAGGGTTTTCACCGTGTTTCTTTTTTGTAATTTCATATCTCAGTGGGTCAGTTGCTCTGGTCATAGAATCTTGTTTCAATGCTTTCAGATTAAGATCAGCAAAAAGTAATTAGAGCTGTCCTAACATCAAGTTTCCAACCAAAATTAACCTACTTGTATGCATCGATGTATGCATGTTTCTGTGACTAGTGCAGCCAATCCATTCAAACCTCTCTTCTTCAGTTTTCTATGGACCTGTAATATTATTACACAAACACTTAAACTTGTTTGATTTGAGAGTGTTTTCATAGTATGCAATACATCAAGAAAAATTTGCTTAATTATTTCAGGTACTTATAAGTTTAAGTAAATCCGTTGTAGATGTCACAAAATCTTTGTTTTACGGTTGAATCTTGTTAATTAGTAGGAAATACAAAGATCCAGCCCTGTTCAACATGAAATTTTAACAGAAACACAGATATACAGCGAGCAACTTCATTAACCAAGCTTTGAGAAGTGTGGTATCTCTTTCATAATTGGAAGTTGAAATTTCGTTGTCAGGACGGATTTTTTATTTTCTGCCAATCTGAGAGCTTTCATCATGTTTATAACCTCTGACATGAACCCTCTTCTGCAAGCATTGCTTTGTGTGACCGCTCAAATTTCACCCTGATTTGAAATGATTTAGACGAACACATCTGAAGAAAAAAAGAAGACTTCAAAAAGCGTTTTGAGGTTTTCCATGAAAGCTCTCGGGGTGTAATTGTCAATTTACCAAAATTTTTCTCAAAAATCACTCGATCCATTCTGTGATATTTTTTCTAAAAACTTTTTCTTTTCTGTCAAAATTGAAATTTCGATCCGTTCGAATTTTGATTCTTATGTAGCTTTAACTTTCAAGTACTTCTATGAGAAGATCATTCAACTACTTAATGCTAGGTCAATATTCAAATCACCATCTAGAACTCTTATTTCTAAGGTGTTGTGAAAGAACCTCAACTAGACATGAAAGCTGTGTCCAAACATTGACTGGGTTGTCAGATAATACTACGTGAGTGTATCCATTTGAGGTAGACTTCTTCTGCTGCCAGAAAAAAATAACCGAGAGTTAGGATGTGAGGACCTGGTTTTGCAGCTGCATTTAACTTCAGTTTATGCGCCTCCCTGCTAGTTGTGTAAAAAAAACAAGGGGAGCTAGGAAGTAAAAAACAAAAACTTAAGTTGTTTTTTTTTTAACGGAGAATCTTCATAATATTAGTATTATTTTATGATAAAGACTGTAAAATTTACAGCGCTGTATTGCAAAATCAAGCTATGAACTGAAGCTAAAACTTTCACTGGAAGATTGTCCCATTATGAGGTTTCGTTTAGGTCACTCTTGAACAAAATCCTGGAGTTCTCCCGAATAGAGGCAATTTTCTGACCAGCCATTTTGTCAATGTTCATTACCACACCACATGAATGCAATTGAGTCACTTAGTTGAGACATTAATTCAATGCACCTCAAATACTTGATTCGCGATTTGAAGTGGAGTTATTGCATCAAGTTGAAAGACCAAAAATCTACCAAATTTTAGAAATTAGCTTAGTTTAGCTGCCCAACACATTTTTGGTTTTATTACTCAATTGTTTGTAATGCTTAGTCGCAAGCTCTATGATAAGTAATGTCTCCCGATCAAATTATAAACCAAAAATCAAGTATAATTTCTATGAGAGGGCTGAAAGTAACACTCGTAATCATTCTGCTAGCTGTATTTTGATTGTGTAACGAGAGCAGATAATGGGGGTTTCAAACTTCTGTGTGTTCATATTGTTTATTTTTTTCTTCTTATTTTTACCATAGGTTTCAAATTTAAAATGAATGTTTCTTTCTCAAGGTTTGACCCAATTTATTTTTTTTATCAACAGACGATTTTGAAGAAGAGAGGTACTTCATAGGATTTTTGTTTTAATTTTATTCTTTTTTCACAACATTCCTTCCCTAGTAAAAAGAAATTATCAGCAGAAAAGGACGGATCATTAAGAGATTTTTAATTTTGACACCTCAGTAAAGGTTAGAGAATAATTCATTTTAATGTTTTGAAAATTGTAAGTTGCTTTTACTTAGCCTGACTTGGTGCGTTCAGTCAAAACAAAAGTTTTTCTAATATTATCGATATACGTAACTTAGTGCTTTTAACTAGAAATCTCATTTTATTAATCTTGTTGACATTGGAATGTATTGATACTGCAGAGAAGAGAAGTTGGATAAAACTTGAACAAATCTTTTATATGGCCAGAGCTGGCTCATCACTTGTTGTGACACATTTTAAATCTTGTTCATATCATTTATGGTGCATTTCGTAACGTCAGCGGCAATTCTCGCAATTTGGTGACAGATCTCTCTCTATTTCAATCCATTGAAATTAATAAATTCCATCTAATGCAACCTGTCTCGATGAAATTAACCATTCTATGTACATTAAAATGAACAAATCCCAGTGCCGTCAACACCGAATAATTGCCTCTGACTAACATTTTATGGGAATTGATGTGAGGCGAATCAGAGATCAATTTCTGTTTCATCATGGAATGAGTGAGCTCTTGCTAACAGCATTTTGTACTTGTATAGCGTGCTTAAAAACTATAATTACGTGCCTTCTTTCATGATGAGAGCTTCTTTTCCTCTTTTTATTTTATTTGATTTACAATTAGTACCTAAACAGCAGATTTTGGTCTTCTCAACTTTTCTTCCCCCCCCCCTCTCTCTCTCCCCCCTTTAATACTCTCATGAATGGCAGAAAATACTCATTCTATCTTCAGAACTTATCTTTTTCAGGTTAATCAGAATATTATGTCCGTACTTAGATATTCATTTATTTACATTGTACAGATACCCGTGTAAAATTTCCCTCCAATTTGTACATTTCACTGAATGTTTAAAACAAATGAATCGATGATTGTCAATCACTTCGACGTACTGAGAAATATTTTATTATACAAAATAGCATTTGAATTTGTATCATAAATATATGATGTTGCTCTTTCGTAAAATGTTCGTTGTTCCTTCCGCTTTCATCAATACCCAATTTTTAAAGGACCCTCTCCATTCTTTAGACCAGGGAGTTCCAAGTCCTATAATGAGAGGCTCCAAGTTAGCATTAGTGAATAATATTAGGATAGGATACAAAACCCAAGTGATGCATTTGGATCAGAATTTTGCAAATTACGTTGATGTTCTGAGGGCCGATTTTTCAGTTACATTTTGTTGAATAGGGTAGAAATAGTGGGCAGGGGATGGAATATTACTATTACCATTGCACAATTTAATAATTTGCTTCTTTAAGTGCCCCACCCTTAAATATTCCACAGAACGTTAAAAAACTGGATTCATTCAAAAATATTGTGAGAAAAGAAAATGTTTTAGGTTCATGTGACTCAGTTCTCTGACAGAGCCCCATGACCAAAAATATGTAACGTTTCTGTCTTTTTGCATAGAAGTATGATCATTCTTAACCTCAGACTTGGGCACTTTTCGGCACAAACAAAATTCACGCCCAGCTTTTTAATGTGAAATGAAAAAAATTAAACTTAACTGCCAATGTGTCTACTGCAGGAAAAATTACGGAGTCTTCATGCAAAGATATCTAAAAATCAACAAAATGGACCACTAGACAAGGTACGAATTTCAGCATTCTGATACATATTTCCTAACCAAAATTTCACGTAGAACACGATACGCACAACGGAAATTACCAAAATTAACTCCTTACGAAGATATTTAATGATTCTTGATGCGTGAATTGAAACCACCCCATCATGAAAACTCAATGCTCTACGTGATTCACATCGCACGCTAAACGTTATCATGGCAGTCTCTGAGATATAAAAATCTGGCAACCTCATTCTTGACGCTTTGGCTCAGCTATAGCAAATTGCTTATAGTTTGAACAACACAAGGTGGGAAATGAACATTGCTCGATTGAGAAGCTTGCTGAAACCATTGTAGTGCGCAATTTGACTCACGTAGAGCTTTGAGTTTCTTGTGAGCGGGCCAGTTCACATTCCCCGTAACCAGTGTAAAATAAAAACGTTAATATCCCCGTTAGGCATTGGTTTCAGTAATTTTCGTTGTGTGAATCGTGTTCTTCGTGAAATTCTGGTTAAGAAACGTGTATCAGATTGCTTAAATTCGTACCCTGTCTAGTGGTCCATTATGAAACATAGACTCATTAGTCTGAACAAATTTTTTCTTCTCACTAAACAAGTTTCGGCCCCAGCTGGCCATTGTCTCAGACACAACTTGCTGTTATATTTTCAGTGACCTTGAAAATCTTGGGAGTTGTCCAGAAAAATGAAGAAAGTAGCTTTTGTTAACAGATTTTTAATGAGCGCTTACAAAATGTCAACATTCAAAAAAATTACAGGAGCTCTCGTGAGCTCCTAGTAAGATATATTATATATACTTGCTCAAGCAATTAAACTGCATATTTATAAAAGGACCTCAGTGACAAAAACCTTGTGAGGCTTGACAGGCGTGATTAAAAAAAGGAACTGAGGATCACAAGGTTATGGCACTCGGATCCTTCTCTAAATGAATAGTCGAGTTAATAGTTAAAACATCATGTGTCATACATCTTCTCATCATATAGGACATAATTGGACGTATTTCTGCCGAACAGAACTGTGCATTCAGACAAGAGCCCTGAGGCCCATTAGAATATATGCATAATAGGGCTCACGTCATAATGCACATGGTTCCGTTAGGCAGAAATACGTCCAATTGTTGCTTTCATTTACCTTATCAGAGGCAAAAGTCTGTAGCAAGCTAAAATTTAGGCTGCAAAATTTTACCCTTCCAAAATTCCTTACTCCTTCCAATTTGAAGGCCGTGAGTTTTCAAAGGATCTTAGAATTTTTAGGATCTACAAGTTTGCAACTTCACATGCATTATTCTCATAGCTGAGGACAGAGAGTACTACAAAAAATAGTTATACACGACAAAAAATTCCTCAGTTTCAGGTCCTACCAAGTTGAAAGGACGAAATTCCATTTGATACTGAAGGGCAAATTTGACTGGCTTTTTCCCTGAAAGTTGTGTGCCTTAAAGTTTCCGTACCGTTTCACAGACACAAAAAGGTAAGCTCCTTTCATAAAATTATTCTTGACCGCGCTCGTTGAATTTTATTATCCTTTATTCCTCCCTCCCGCTTTTTTTCTTGTCTTCTTCCTTCCCTTCCCTCTGCTTAACAGTTTTTCTGTCAACTTTTAGACTCCATCACATTCGCCTCAGATGGCGAGTGAAAAGTAATTAAAAATCTTCAGTCACGCGTCCGTTTTTCCTTAGTTTTCAGTTGTTCTTTGCTCATATCTCGTCTTCGTTTGTTGATTGGATTCCTGGGGTCGTAGATTTCAAACCAATCATCAGATTTTGTATTCGCATCCTTCGCAATGACGGGATCATTTGATTCGAAAACTAATTTATGACCCATCCTGTAACAAAGTAAAATAGAATAACATTATCTCCAGTAAACAAGCAACAATTCCACATTGAAACACGTTTTATTTTTGCGAACGTCAGCAGAAAACGAGAAGAGACAGCGATTTGACAGCTGTAGTACACTTCTGTAACTTTCCCGCCATTTCTGTGCGTTTGTAATTCCTTCAAGTCTGGGCTTTTTAAAAGCAGGCATGTCCAGGATTCTAGCTCCAAAAATACACAATAAATTACGACGTAACCTACTCATCTGGTATTTTCATAATAAACAAAAAACACAAGGTTTAGCGACCCATTTAAGTAAACTACGCTTTTAGGAATTTTTCATTTTTTTTTTTTTTTTTTACTGTAAATGGCAAAGAGACCCTGTTCTGAAAAGACCAAAAATGGAACCTGTTTATGAAAGTATCTTTGGCAGGCGCTGATGACGTAGCAAGTCGCAGGAAATGGCGCTTGCTGATTGGCTGAACTCAGCTTCAAGCATCACCTTACTATGTCATCTGGACTGTCGGAATTCGATGAGCCAAATTTGAGAATTCACCTGGCGGAAAAAGAGTATTTTTTGAATATCCAATCCCCCAAGATTTCAATGTTTTGAAGAATCACAAACAGTAATAAACTAAATAATACCAAGATTTGCCGTCGGTATCTGTTTCTAGATCTGTTTTCTCAGGTTCACTTTCACCATCTTCATTTGTGCTAACTTTCACAGTCGATAAGTCTTTCCTGAATTTTTTCAATAGAGATAAAGTATATTCTTCTCTTGCTGCTCCTGGATGGACACACAAAAAAAGACTTGTCAATGAATGACTGAGATAAATTAATAGATGTAAAAAACAGGGTTGAATAATACTTAGTCGTTCCTTAAACAGTTCCTTTTCTTAGGGGTCCCATCTGGTTTACATTGTGATTATGGGAGCTTTGAGAAGTTCCTTAAAGTAGCATCATAAAAAGGACAATTTCCACGAATCTCGGGTAAAAATTCAAGAGAATAACTTTGGTAGTAAGCCCTTTCAAAGGATAATAAGTGACGGGCATGGCAAAAAAAACACACACACACAAAATGTGGAGGAGAAAATTCTAAAAATTTGACCAACTTTATGGGTGCAATTCCCACAAGAACCTATTTTGAAATTTTTAAAACTTGCAACATTTTTTGTTTCATACTTACAATGTTTTTTAGGGGCAAACCATTGTAATCTCTTGCAAAGGTCTACTTCCAAAGTTATTCTGTTGAATTTTACTCAAGATTCATGGAAATTGACCTCTTCATGATGCTCGGTTGAAGACCTCAAACCTCCCTTAGCCACAGCGTAAACCAAATGGAACCCTAAGGAAAGGGGTTGTTAGGGAACAATGATAAATTCAACGTTTAGACATTAAATAAAAGTGTGAATAGACGGATATCAACCATCTTGAGAAGTTTTTTTTTTTAAAAAATCTTGCAAGTTCAGGCTTCATCACTAATCATCTTCATTTTCTAGGCAAAAGCAATCAGACAAAATAAAAGATCGTTTTGAGTTTATAAAGGAAGACTGGTTCTAATAGTCAGTTAATGCATGTGCAATGAGAAATATGTGTGTCTTGAGAATAATTTTTGAAGTTCAGGTCTATTTGCCCGCCTCACAACCTGGACTGGCAAAGCAAATATTCTTGTTATCACAAAATCACCCGAGTAAGTCATTTTGCAACAAATTTTTGATGATTTTGGCTTGAAAATCCACAGTCCCCAGCTCCTCCGACCATTGACGTATAATACAATCTAGACCGCGCATTAGGAATTTTGGCAAGACGACAGGCAATCCGGATTGTCTCGGTACATATAGCAATCCAATATGTACCGAGACAATGGAAATGCCAGTCTTGCCTGTGCCGTTGCCTGGTACGCTTCGTATATCCGGCCGTATCAACTAAGCTGAAGGCGCGTCTTTACCCTGATTTACCCCGCTAGCTGTCTTACCTCCCCCACCTAAAGTCGGGCCTAGTGCGCGGTCTAGATTGTGTTATAAGTCAATGCCTCCGACTTATTGAGATTCCACTATTCTGTTGCAGTTTTTTGTGTCAGGTTAAGTTAGGTTATTAGGTATATAGGTTATGTTTAGGCATTTTCCAAAAATCAATCCAACTCCAACTAACCATACTTCAAAGTTGGTGCAAAAAGCTTTAACAGAGGGAGAAAGTAATCTTGGCACTTTTTTTTTCATTCCTTGCAAAACTCATCTTAAGGTTACCGTTGCGAAAAAAAACTAGACTAAACAGCTTATTCTTTCACACTGTTAGATTTGAACCATAGTTAGCAGATGGCTGAAGTTCAAAACCACGTCCCTTCATTCCAGTGTTTCAAAATTACTGTTCCTATTTATTTTTTGAAGAAAAGCAAGCAAACTTTAGAGCTTGAAATTTACATGAAATATTTTGCTCACAGAGAAAAAAAATCAAGAAAGTATTCAAGAAACTACATTGATTAGTTTTCCAAAGAAAAATAGAGTATGACAGAAAGTTCGTCACGTCACAAACGGAGGTACGTGGTTCTACAATTAAGCCATCGATTTGTGAGTTAAGCTTCATTACAATTAATTTCTTAACATGAGAAGCTTTTTTCCTAAGAACAAGAAAATACCACTCAGCTTCTTCATCCAAGATACTTTTCCATGAATTACCTTTCAGAGGAACTTTTTCTTTCAATTTCTTGTACTTCTTTTGCTCTTCTCTATAAGCTGCAGTTGTCTCATCCACTTTCTGCGTTGTAACCGGTTTTTCAGACTGTCGATCTGGTGCCGAGTTTGATTTCTTGCTTTTCTGATAATCCTTCTTTAAATCTCGGATCTCTTTGGCTATCTCAGCCCTAAATTAACACATTACATGACATCTTTACATTATTTCAAAGAAAATAAATACAATATCAGTGTTTAAGGGCCAAAGAACCATTACTACGTTTTCACTGAATGGAGTAAATCACAGGAAAACAATTGCCTGCAGTGTATTTTGCACATTCAAGATCTCAGATGTGATGGTGTTAGATATCATGACCAATTTTTTTAAACATTCATATTCCATTTTTAAGTACATTGTGAATGCAAATAACTTAATTATTCCAAAATATCTGATTTAGTTTATCATAATTTTCTTGCTTATATGTAGACAACTCTTGAGCAATTACGCCGATAGAGGTTGACTGGTTCGCTTGATGATTCATCAACACGACTACCAAATTGTCAGACAGCAGAATGGAGATTACAGCTCTTGATCCTCAGCCCTTCACTCAAATTTGATAAAAAAATATAGAAAAATAGTTTCATTTAAAAGAAATTAAAAATATGATTTGATAAAGTTTATCGAGCCTACTGAGACAGTTTGTTGTAAGAATGTACGAAGAATTGAATAATAAGAATCTTACATTTTCCGTTTTTTTTCTTCTCGCAGTTCCTTGCCAAATTCGTACTCTTCATCTGAGCTGCTGTGATGAGCTTCTGCTTTGGCATTGCTCTCTTTCGATTTGGACGGTGCTAATTTCGCTTTGATTCTGTCTATCTTTTCCCTGAAAATAGCAAACCTAGATTTTAAACAGAATAATAGTAGATTCACCTTTGAAAAGGTATTGAATCATCACCAAGATGAGATAAAACAAAATGAATGGTGAGGAAGATCTGACAAAAAACTACTACTTTTCAAACTATCTTACGAATTATACAGATTTTCAAACGTAGCGCCTTTAGAAGTTCTTCACATTTGTAACTCGACAAACATTTTCTCCAAGAAAGTCTCTAAGATTCTTAGCTGTGTGACTGAAGTGCAAGATCACGTAAGCTCTTTTAAGTCCTACATATTCATTTGTCCGTCCATAGGCTTTCCCTGTTTTTCCCATCGACTTTCCATAAAATTTCCCCCCATTTCAAAAGGCATGACCATTACCTTCTTTTCCCCTTTGACATTTGGCTTTTGACCCTTAAAATTTGGTCCTCCTTCCTCATTTTTAGGGCCTTTCCCACATTCTCACGCGTCCACCCCAGAGATGCAAAATGAACACGAAATGCAATTTCAATGATTTTTCAGGGACTGCGTATGGAACCAACAATCATCCATGGATTCTGAAATAAACTTCAAAATTTGAGTCTTGAAGTTATGTGACAGAAATTCTTTAGTAGCAGAAAACGTCGTAGTTAGAGTGTTCGCAAAAAGTAAGGGAAAATTTTCTCCTAGAAGATAGGGTCCTTTTTCACAGATACCGGCACAAATTAGTAAAACTGTTCTGAGAATTTCGATTACATTAATGGCACATTATTGTTTCATCACCATGCAACTTTTTCGAGTAAAAGCCTCGGAAAATTTTAATCAAAACAAACCTGTATGAGTTTTGAGGATTCCCTAATTAATACTTACGGATCTCTTTTCGGGGACGTTTTTCCTTTAGGATCACTATCGCTGCCATGATCTATTTCAACAGCTAGCTCTTTGCTCAACGTTGGGTCTTCACTGATGTCATGACTAGATTTCCCTCTTGCCGAAAGCTTTTTGCTGATCTCAGAAGCTTCTTCTTCATCCTCTTCTGCTTCCTCACCAAAGGACAGAAGCTTATAATTCCTGTTATAACAATGAGAAAAATCATTGAAGCTTCCTTTCAGATGAAACATTCCAAGGGGAGGTTCGATTGCACACAGACAGTACCATATGTTTGAAGCTTGCAGAAAGGCTAAGCACATTAATATTAGTTGAGCGATGGTTCATCCTTGTGCAGTCACAACACAAAGATCGAGCCCACAGAAACAGGAAGTTTCGGCAATTTTCCCATCTACTGATTTTAAAAATGTTTGCTTTGGCAATGATTTTCCCCTTCAGCACTTGAAAGTCCTTTCTTTTGAAAACGGTTTTTTACATTTTTCCTTTGATGAGGGGCTTCATAAAAAGCTTTATGAAATGAATTAGTTTTAGGTTCAGAAAACTTGTTCATTACTTGTTTTGTTCCTTCAAAGAAATGGATGAAGAAGGGGGAGGGGGCATAAATATTGGACCATTGCAATGTTTAATGCAAGAGTGGATATACTGATGTATCTTTGATCGGCAGGAATTTTCATTAAAATATCATGAAACCGAGTCTGAATGGCTCATTTTGCCACTAGGTCTGAGAAGCGAAGATAGTGCTGGAGGATCCATAGATTACTGTCAAAGACAAAGATTATGTAACGTTTACTACTTGCATGTATTGATTTTGACAGCATTTTGCTCCAACCTGTTGAGCATCATCAGCGCAACTATAACATTTTTTTTTGTTTACTTTTGAATACTTATGCTGAATGATAATCAAAACAAATACTCACTTGACAGCTTTGGTTTTATCACTTTTGCTTTTCTTCTCTTCTTTGTCTGAAGACTTCTGTTTGGGCGTTACTCTAGGAACTATGTCAGGAAAAGGATTACTGATAACTTCTGTTTTGATGATTTTTGGAGGATAAATAGGCCTGTCATCCTGAAAGTAATGAAAAGAAGATGAAAACGAGAATAATCTTGCCCTTACAGGAAAAAATCTTTACAGATATATTTAAACTCGAACTGTGATGGAAATCACAGGTAGTTTAGACTATATCACTTTGGAATTCAAAAAAAAATTTGAGATAACAGCTCCCCGAATCGTCATTGCAATGGTGCTATTGAATAATGACATTTGCACCAATACCCACCAGAAAATTATGTGTAGAAACATAGGTAAAGCTCTCTAAATTGCTTCAGAAGAAAGCGGATTGTAACGGCACATGTTCCTTCATTGATCAATTGTCCTCATTTTCATTTCCAAAACTTATTTTTGCCTCATTTGTAGATAACAAGCTGGCTAAAATCTAGTACCTAGCACCTTTGCCAGTTAGATATTTAAAATTAGACCTCTTCTAACCTAAGAAACGAAACATCAATTGCACCAGAAAATGACACATTTCAAACAAATCAACGCTAAGTTCTGAGCAGCTACAATTGACAGCTCAACTTGACCACTATTAAAGCAGTAAACAACTAGATTGAAGAGTTGAAGGTTGAGGTGGGATCATATCATATTTGTATGAGGAGGAGACATAGTAAAATAAAATGTAAGTATAAAATGTAAGTGCTGCATTACTCAAGCTCTGGTTCAGCAGCAAGAAGCAGAGATGATGGTAACAGCTATTACAAAAATCGAAAACAGGTTGAGAGAATATTTGAGGGGCTTGAAGGATAAGACGCAGAAGTGCAGTTTTTGGAAAAATTGAGATATAACGATTTCAAGTAAAACTAGTTTTAACTAATTTTATTCTGTGAGATATTCACTTTCAAATTCCAATTTTTATGTATCAAAAAATCAGTTTGAACTTTCTGTCCACCATAAGGATTTATGTAATTTCGAAACTTCAAACACGTATTTCTCGAAATAGCAAAAACTGCACTTGTGAGCCTTGTCCTCCAAGCCCCTCATTTGTGTACGGGAATAGACCTTCCTCACGCAGTACAACTTTAAGTATAGAAAAGTAGAAGTCAGTAACCCATCAGAGCTCTTTGAAACTACAAACAAATATTTTTTGAGAGAGGTATCCACTTACATGATCCACAAGAGTGTCATCTAATTTTGGAAGATTATATATTGTTTCACCAGCAACCTTCCCAAAAATGGTGTGTTTGTTTTGCAGCTCAGGTGTTGAAGCAAGTGTGAAGAAAAACTGGGATCCATTGTCATCCTTCCCTGCGTTTGCCATGGCAACCAACCCGCGCCGATTGAATCGTAAACGAGAGTGGATCTCATCCTGAAAAAATGATTATCTACTTATATCCTGATCATATTTTGGTAATGCAAACACATCTTTCTACAACTTTAAAATCAAAGATCGAGGATTACCTTTTTTCATAAGAATGGATTTGTCTCTGTAAAATTTGTATGAAATTTTGTTCAGGTAATACTTATTAACTAATGCCGAAGTAATAAAATGGGATTCTAGTCAAAAAGAGAAAGGAGTAGCTCAATGCATTACAGACTGGCTCCAGCACCCGCGGTTTTTAGTTGGTACGCTACTTGTGAGCATACCAATTTCAATTCTTGGAGATTTCATCATGAGGAATTCCAAGACACCCCTTTCCACACACACACAGAAGAGGTGAATTTTAAAGACTTCTCTTTTGCTACCAAATTAAAGACAAAAGGAGAAGAAAAAATAAGCAGTTAGTTTTTGCTTTGTTTCATAGTAGGTACAAAAGATCTCTGCTAGAATACCAATGTCCAAGGCCAAAGAGTAGGACCCAGATTTCCATTGCAGTGTTTTAAAATTTCCACTCCTATTTTACTTTATTCAAGAGAGGGAAACCAACTTTACAGCTTGAAATCGATTGAGAATATTCTGCTAACAGAGTAGACAAATTTGAACCTTTTCAAGATATTACATTGATTAGTTTTCCACAGAAAAAAATAAGTATGACAGGAGATATGTAACATTGGAGACGAAGATTTGCTTTCAGTCATCGATATCTGTTTTTTACTGTTTAGGATAATTCAGCAATTATACTTTTCTTGAATATATCTTTATCTATCTAAAGTTGATTATAAACTTTGAATCTTCAGACATCACATGTTTGGTTAAGGATTTGTTTTTGTGTGCAGGACCTTGGGTTTTTTTTTTTTTTTTTTTTTTTTTTTTTTTTTTTTATTTGTATCTCAGAAATACATAATTTTACAAATAATTTACAAGTCTTATCATTTAAATATCATTCATATCATATTGGTCATTAATTCAAGATTCACTTCAATTAAATATTTGCATCCCAAGACACGCCGGAATTACCAACAGGTATATCATCGACCGGGGTTATTGTTACAGTCCTATTGTTACTAATACTATATACATTTCTAGGACCTTGCGTTGGGTTGTTCTATTTAGAGAGTTTCTGCCCTTTCCTCTGCAATTTTACTGTTTACCGTGTATTTTTCGTTAAACAGCATCACTTATGTTGGACACAAGTTTGAGTCAAGTTTTATCGTACCTATTTACAAAATTGTGATAAAAATATTGGCAATGGATTGCCAGTAGACAATTAAACTTACTTTAAAGGGTGCTCCATATATTGAATCTCCTCCACTGCCTGTTCCTGTAGGATCTCCTCCTTGGGCAATAAATCCTTTGACAATTCGATGAAAAATTGTGCCATTATAGTAGCCTTCCAAGCAGAGTTGAACAAAATTCCGGCACGCTTTCGGAGTTTCTTTTGACCAAAGCTCAATATCAATATCTCCGACAGTTGTTTTCAGCAGAACCTGGACCATACAAAATAGGCTCATTGAAAATTAAGTGTGATCGGTTAAGAACATACTGGAGTCCGTGCCAAATAGGTACATTTTCAGACTGTGACAGAAGATCTGCCATCTTATTTCTTGCATTTACTTTTCATGCCAAGCTGAGGACAGCTGACCTTCTGTCCCACTCTAAAGATGCATTGACTTACTTGTTATGGACTCTGTCCATTTTTTATGAAAACCAATGATCAAAGCAGAACCAAAGGCTTATATGATTCTGACTGTTCAATACTGGAATTCACTTGTAATTACACGCTAACATTGTGATGTGTTAAAATATATCCATTTAGGATCAAACTCATTACGTACCTATTTATAATTTACTCATGATCAAATGTCTGATCTACGAAGTATGCATGCGGAAATACCGCCTAAATCTGGTATTCTTTGCTTCCGTCAGATTGCTAAAATGCTGGTAGTTTATTACAATAGTCCCTCAAATTCCCCTTGTTAATAATTTCACGGTGGATGATGCTAAAGGCATTTGTGATAGATGGATCAAGAGCCTCCTTCAGACCACAAACCACTGTGTGATAGAACACAGTTCAAGCTCCAATTGAAATGTGATTGAATTCTCATTATGATGTCAGGTATAAGATGGATTGAATGTTTCTGACTTAAGAGTAATGACACATCAACGTCATAAGTTTGTGATCACATATCTCATTTGCAGTGTTTGAAAATCTTCGCCTCTTGTTATTTTTTTTAAGGATAACAAATTGACAGCATTCCTTGAAATTTTTGAGGCATTTTCTTTGCACAAAGAAAAAAAATTATGTCAGTTTTGGAGAATTGCCATTGAGTGGTTTTCCTCTTAAAAAATAAAGTATGACGGGAAGTCTGCGACGTCGCAAACCGAGTTATGTGATTGCAGACTTACACCGTTGATATGTACCTATAAGTTGCGCATTGAAGCTTCAGCCCCTGGATCAAAGAATTAGCTGTCATTTTCTAGTTCGGCCCAGAATTGTCAAGAAAGAGGAAGGAATACATAATTGAAATTATCAGTACCTTGCCCTGCGTTGGTGGCTCCTGAATGTAGATGTTACTCATCTTGAGATGCTGGTGTGTACTTTAATCAGACACTGTAAGACACATGAAAATCTCAGAAACAGTTGAAGACAGTCCAGTCAGGTAGCTTAGTGGATTATTCGATGTCCTTTGAAAAAATAACTACTCGAGGTACATGATAGACTTTTGTTGACAATAAATTAGGCATCATCAAATCACAGGTAGAATCAATTTGTGAAAAATTGTATGGAATATCGAAAAAAAAAAGACTTTTGGGACCATTTTGACAGTTGGTGTTCTTAGGTTAGAATCGAGTTTGTTTATTTCCGGTTCGATTTTATTCCACCTATTGGCAAATTCTGAGCCAGGCACTCTGATTGGTTGGAAGTGGTTCATCGGGCTCATCCCAATCATTCCTAGACCTGAAAGGTAACCCCCCCTCCCCTATTTTTTTCAATTATTCCTCTATTCGAACAAAAGGAATCTTAACCGCAAATTCTGAACCAGACGCTTTGATTGGTCCAGAGCGGTTCATTCCATTTATTCCGAGTTGAACCAAAATAAGCGGGAATTTCAAATAAGGCAGTGTTGTCAGTTTTACAAATTCCGGATATCCTGTTTGCCAAATCGTTTCCGTTTCCGATAAAACAGTGTTGTCAGTTTTACCCAACAAATTATTGGAAATTTGTCAACATTGTTTTACCGGAAACGGAAACCATTTAGTAAACAGGATATCCGGAATTATTTGAAATTCCCGCTTATTTTGGTTCAACTCGGAATAAATGGAATGAACCGCTCTGGACCAATCAAAACGTCTGGTTCAGAATTTGCGGTTAAGATTCCTTCTGTTCGAAAAGTGGAATAACTGGGAAAATGTAGCGATTTGAACCAATTTGGATCGTCATATCCCCTCTCATTCCTTCCGGTGTTTTAAAATTGACTTCTTTTTTTCTTGTAAACAATTTTTCTCTCAGCTTGTGTGCAAAGTGCTTGATGGTGTGTTTGTAGCATTGTAGACATCTCTCCAGTGCATAAATTATTAGGAGATTTATATCAGATTTTGAATCCATAAATATGTAACAGAACAGAACTCCTATATCATTCGCCTCATCTCCACGAATGCTATCGCAGGTTCTCCAAAGCCTTCAGAGCGACAGCGACAAGTCTCATCCTCTACTGAATGTCTGTGTGTTGTGGTTTTTCTTTTTTCGTACAGCTAATTCGAAATGAGTCTCTGTTTATCAAATGTTCTTCTAAGGTATTTTTCCAAGGCTACTAAGCCTTTGACTGATATACCATCTCCTCCATCTTGGCCTCTTGTTGGACATGCCCATCTTTTTACGAACCGAGGTCTGTCTAAATGTTTCATAACAGCAAGAAATGTACATACATGTTGCGCTTTTTGCTTTGTCTGTAAACTGTACATCCTCAACAGAATTTTATCCAGATACAAAGGACAGCAGAACTACTCTCTCAATGAGCATTGTCTCCATGATGATTCGTTATTTTGTTCCCCGAAGGGATGCTTCACAAATGGAAAGACACTTTGTTGTTTCCTCTTTCTCGATCATTCCTACATATAACTCTTGATCATTTAATCGACATTGCAATAGTTTGCATCGAGGAACCTTCTAGACTCCTTGGCAGACACTTAGTTGTTTACTCATCCGCGATCATTACTACATATAATTAATTGACATTGCAATCGCTCAGAGGAATCTTTTAGACTCCCTAGCTTGCACGCCTACCAATCAACTTCTGGCCAGCACTACCGATCATGTGAACATCATCACAAAGCAAGGTAATTTTATGAACCTGGATGAAACGTACGCAAAATATTACTCTTTATAACAAGTGTTAATCAATAGGGAGTTGGGAGGAAAGACTTGTTCTTATTGATATCTTATAATTAAGTTTATGGACTGCCTCATTGGTTAAGTTACATTCTGTTTGGTTTTAAGAGTTGTATCGGTTATTCATAGTTTGTCCTCGGTGATTTTTGAAATGGAGGTTTAAAGAATTCATAGAGAGCGTGATTACATGATTAAGAGGAACCATTGAAAATATCAAAATTAAAAAAAAAATAAAAATCCAACCATCACAAGCTAGATCCTCCTAGGGTTTTCTTGAATCTGTACCCTCTGGCAGAAGCACCTATCATAAAGTATTAGAATACTTCAACTCATTCCTTACTTAGAACTTAATGGAGAATTTGCACGCAATTTTTTTATTGCTTCATCTGAAAGTGCCTACTTAATGAGCTGAGTTCGCAATATTTTTCATAATTTTTTTCTGACATGGGAAATTGGAGAAAAATTGATTTAAAAGTGAGAAAATGTGCCGCCTTGTGACGTCATCTGGCGGCATTTCCCATTTAAACACATGTATTTTAGCAGAATTGGTTATTTTGTTATATCTCCTCTAATAGTTGCTCAATTTATGAATCAAGGGTATCTTCGTGTTCAGTTCACTCAGAGGATTCCACTTAAACAGGAAATTCATCAAATTTCAGACCCTTGCAAATTCTCCATTGGTTTAAAATCGTCATTTTAATGAAGCTCCTGTCTGATTATTAAAACTTAACAAACTGATCTCAATTTTTACAGGACCATACAGCTTTGAACAACTTCCAGAAGCTGTGGCAGACTTGACTGAAAAGTATGGTCCTATCTTTCGTTTGAAATTGGGACCTCAAGATATGATAGTGACAACTGATGCTGAAAATACCTGCACAATGTTCAGAAATGAAGGGATGTATCCACAAAGACCTGCATTTCCGGCTCTCTATCATCTTCGGAAGAAAGAGTTCGGCTCTGTTGGTCTTACACCCAGGTTAGCTCTATTTTTCTTTAATCCTTATGCACAGTACTACCTATAATTATTGGAGGCCGAAAATTAGAAAAATGAGTGATCTCATTGTCACACTGATCAGAGTGACCTGTTGGTAATTCCGGCGTGTCTCAGGACGCGAATACTTAATTGAAGTGAATCTGAATCTGGAACTACTGAAAAAATGCAGCAATTCCGCAAGAAGTTCCGGAATTTTTTCCTTCATACCATGCGTGTTTTTAATAAAGCCTGGAAAGCATGCAATCCCCTGCACGTTGATTCTTAGCATAGCATTTGGGTACAAGATTGTACATGATCTTGATTGTGCGGTCACTTAATCTTCAAGCCACTAATGAAATTTTATGTTTATGTCATTTTGTCTTGATTCGAGCAAGAATTCCAAATTTTCGAAATCCTTCGAATTTTGTCAAATGGAGGTACTGAAAAAGTACTGAATTTTTCTGTTCAATAGGTACTGAATTTTCTCGGAATGTACTGAAAAAGCTGCTTGTTAAAAGTGCTGATTTTTGGCCAGCCTGTCTTAGTAAACACCCTGAAGACATTACTTACGAAAAACTGCGCAACACAACTACTAAAATTCCTTGCCCCCGCTTCATTACTTTAGGATGACAATTTTATTGAGTAGAATTTTTCTCTTGTAGTTGACATCCGCAAAGAGATCATGCATACTTTTAGCAGATCATCTGAGAATTATTTTTTTCTTTTCCTTTTTTTTCAGCAATGGGAAAGAATGGCATCATTTTCGACCAGCAGTTAACCCTCTTCTGAAACCTGCTACTCTCAAGCCATATGTATCGCTGCTGGAAGAAGTTGCCTCTGATTTTGTAGACTACATCGAGCGAAATGTTTTAACCTGTCGAACTTTGTTTGATATTAGTAGTCATTTGTCAAAATTCAGTGTTGAAGGTGAGTAAATTTCTTCTCTAAAATATTTTTTCATAGTCCCTACCTTTTTGCCTTTACCATAATGTACTAGATTATCCAGAGTTGCCAAATTTTATCAAGATGTGATGCGGAAAGCAGGAAAATTTCATTTCCTAAATTCTGTGGCAACCCTGATTATCACCCTTCTCTGGGTCCCAGATCCCACATGGAGCAGTGTGCATCAAACCTGAAAGCACATATGTGGCAGGGCAGCTAAAGTGTTGCCATAGTAAACAAAATTAGCGCCTCAGAATGGTTGGCGAGTGAGATCACCCTCAAAATTAATTACCCATGTCTTGCTCACCAATATTCTGATGATCAAGAGAATTTGTTCCCCTGTTCCAGCTGTTTCCGTAGTTTGTCCAGGGATAAAGTACTCTGTCCTGTCACCTTCGCCAACAGCTGAAGCGATGAAGATTGTGGATGCAAATCAAGCTTTTTTGGACGGACTCTACCAAACGTTGATGGGAGCACCTCTTTGGAAAGTTTGGAAAACAAAACCCTACCTGCAGATAGAGCATGCACATCAGATATTTTATGAGTAAGTGTGATAATAGTTTATAGTTGGATTAAATTCAGCAACAAGGAATCATAAGACAAGAAATGGGAATTTTAAGCCTAATTTGAGGGGGATGACAATGAAGATTTAAAGAGGGGGGAAGAAAACAATAAAAGTTTGAAAGTTGGAATCTTATATCAAAAGACTCATGTGGGATTTTTTCAAGTAGATATTGGCAAATGAGCCTGTTGCAAACTTTTGCTGTAGCAAAAATAAGACTTGTTACTCATAGAAAGTGTCTGAAAAATAAAGATGAGCGCAACGGCCAAGTCTGAAATGCACTTCTTACTTCACAATTTGCATAAGAAATTTGCGTTTTTTCGAGCTTCCCGCTTCAAAAACGATACCGCAGCAAAGGTGAACATTTTGTTAGAGGAGTCATCCCATCCAACCCCTGCTCCCAAGGACACTACGCAATATTCAACATAGCCGACGCCAATCCGCCAAAACATATGTGACAGGACAATGATTATAACTAACTGATAACAATCTGCGTGTTTACATTCACATTTTTCTCACATTGATAGATATCCGGCTTGATTGACCTCGTACTCTCCTCAACTTGTGCGCGGAAGCGTCAGCCATGATTAGCAGGGATTAAATGGAACGACTCCTCTAACGAAATGTACACCGGTGCTGTAGTATCCTTTTTAAAGGGGGAAGCTTAAAAAAATGCAATTTTTTTTACGCAGATTGTGAAGTTAGGAGTGCATTTCAGAGTTTGCCAATGCGCTCATCGTGATTTTTAAGACATTATCTATAAGCAACAACTCTTATTTTCGCTCTAGCAAAAGTTTGCAACAGGCCCATTGTGCTGATTTATTCATTAATAAACTAAGCTCTGTATTCCCCTCTCTCTGTACTCACCTTAAGCAATCACTTGTAATAATTGTATTTCTAAATTCTGTTATTTCCTCAATACACATAACTGAACGATTTTTAACGGTCCAAGTTTGACTCTTCATTTAACTTTTTGATCCCTTGCCCAGAATAAGTCAGGTAAGAAGGTGAAAGGTGTTTTGGTTGTTGTGATATTCGACCCTCTTCATTTTTTTTTCCTCTCAACCAAGAAGGTGCAACCTAAATACTTCTCACAATATTAAGAGGAATTCTTCTCAGCCAGAGATTAGCATTCATGATGTTCTGCTCTCAATGCATGACATTGCTTGAGCCCCACTTGATCCTGAAAATCACTTCTTAAAAGGTAGTCTGTTCTAATGAAAGTGCCAAGTATTCTTTAAAAAAAATCTCCAGATGTAAATGGACGTATTTTATATAAGTTTGCACAGCTGCGAACTTGCAGGTGTCTGAAATAGGACAAATTTCATTCACAATTGGTAATTACTCAGTGAACTAAACTGGAGAAAATATTTAGTTTCCTAATCGATTTAAGGACCACCAGTCAATTTAATAAAATTAAGCGCCTTTGTTTTCAAATCAGAATTATACGTAGAATGCGACGAACGCATTACTACTTTCCGAGTTCAACTTTAAAAGTGAAAAATAAGGGTTTTTGTTAATTGGACTTATTTTGCAATCAGGAACAACAATTTCTGGCCCATCGGTAAAAACATTCACATGCATATGGAAACTACTGGTACATACGTTGTTTCTTATCTGAATCAGATATTGTAACTCCAAATAGCACAATGCAGTCTAGTTTGCACTTCCTGCTCACAGCAAAACCAGAGTTTACTCGAGTCAAATCGAGCACCGAACTGATTTTGGTTTATTTAACTGTGGAAGAATTTTCCTGCGCACTAACTTTCTTCTCTAAAAAATCAAAGATACCTTTTATTAGAGGAGGAAGGAAATATGTGTGAAATTAAGCCCTGGTTATTTGCCTAACGTATAGATTGATATTAGTGCCTAGTTTGGCCCACACTGATTTTTGCTTTTGCGCAAGTGGTAAGTTTAAAATTTCTGTTTACAATGTAAACTCTAAACGTTTATTTCTCAATTATGAGTTAATTTTGGAAAGATTTGACTTACGCAAAAGTATGGTAAGGAAGCATGCGCTATGGTGTTAAATTTCCTATCCTGTTTAGTGGCCCGTTATTAGAAGAGTGATGACAGAATGATATTATCTGCTGACTTACATACGTTTAAATAGGAGATGCCACCTCATGACGTCATGAGGTGGCATATTTCCTCACTTTTAAATAGATTCTACTCCAATTTCTCATAGCAGATTACAATTTTAAAAAATACTGTAAACTCAGCTCATCATGCAGTTTTGTATGACACAATAAAATTTACACCTGCAAACTCTCTATTGATTTGTGTACTCATTCACTACTCACATACTCTGTACACTGTACTCACGTAAAATTTCACCCCCAGCTCGTTAAAAGATGAACTTGATGTTGTCCGGGCAAAGCATGCGTCTGGATCACTCAAGGATTCACCAATTATGGAGCACCTATTTTCCTGTCCAAATCTAACTGTGAAAGATCAGTTTATTGTAGCCATGGAATTATTCACTGGAGCAATCGATGCTGTAAGTGGTTTATATTCCTTAGTCAAAGATGACATATGGTTTCTTGTTTTTTCAAAGCTAAATGTGTTCCATCAGCATCAACATTTTCAGAAATCGCTTTATTTTTTGAAAAATTACTTTTATCACTAATATCTCCAGCTTATCTTAGTTGCCCTCTATTCGAAGTGTATCATGGGACACTGCCACTCATCTGAATCTCAATCCGTGTGGCTAGTCTTTGATTTTTTACGTCAATTTCTAAAAAAGGAACTTATTGTGAATAAAAGATATGATAGCAAATAAAAATTCAAGTGAATTAAACTCTTCTCATTTTTACAAATCAAAGTTTTTAGCCCTATGTACATTCAGTTTATGCATTAATTTTACCACATTTTTTCAAAGAAATCATTGTTTAACCACATCAACTCAAAAACTTAATATTCTTGTCCGAAGATGGAGAAAATGCGTGATCTTACGATTATAAAATCACGGCAAATGAAGTGAAGCATATTTTGGGCAAAACAAATTTTAAAAAATCCTAAATTGTTTTCTTATTTTTTGCTTAGCACTAAAAAAGTGGGGCAAGTCGCATATATCACCACCAAATCTGACATTTTGCCATAAAATTAGACATTTGGCTGTGAGGCAAATCAGAAACATCATTGTGAGACAAAAACAATGGATCAAAGCGAACGGTCAACATTTGAGAACTTAATGCACCCTTGTGCCTGCCTCAGATTTGTTTGAATCGAAGATTCCTTGCTGTGAATATTATTTCTTTCTCGCTTTATTATTTGTTTTATTACCTGGTCCTTTACTGTTTTTTCTAGACAGTGACAACAATGACAATGCTGTTGCACTATCTAGCAAACAATAAGAAATGTCAAGAGGTAGCCTACGAAAATGCAAAAGCGGACAATTTTCGATTTTTCACAGCGTGTATAAAGGAAACTCTTCGCCTATCACCCACCTCTGTCGCCAATGGCAGAATCTTAGCCGCAGATGCTGTCATTGGGGGATATCTTATTCCGGCTGGGGTAAGTTACTTTCGCAGAACCTCAATTTGTTTCTATTTTTTATGTGGATAAGATATATATGTACATCACACCTAAAAAGTTGTTGATTTTACAGCCCGACCTGTCGAAGAAATTCTTAGAGAAAAATTGAGAGAAAGTCAATTTAAAGAAACTATTATGGAAAGAGAATACAAAATTGAAAGTTTTTCCGAAAAATCAAGCATTCTCTATTTTTCAAGGATTATCTTCAAGCAGTCTAAAAAGTTGGTCAGGAATGTGAAGGTAGAAAGCATTTATGATTTTTTTTTTTAAAAAAAAGGTTTAGTATGATTTCTTCATGTGAAAATTATTATATATGCACTGCAGTATACGTACTATACAGTATAATACTTTTTGCAAAAGGAACCATTAAATGAGTTTTTTTTCTTTAAGAAAGGAACTGAGATTCCACTCTGATGCTTTTGCTGTGGAAGTTTATTCTAGGTTTTAAATCGTTCATTTTTATTTTCCGTCTCTCCCTCAGAAATTCGTAACTTCGTTTCATCCAGTGATGGGGCTTTCGGAGAAGTATTTTACGGATCCCCATGAATTCCGGCCAGAAAGATGGTTGAAAGAAAATGAAACTGAAAAAAGTCATCCTTTTGCTTCACTTCCCTTTGGATTTGGATCGAGGATGTGTCCTGGAAAACGTTTCGCAGAACTGGAGATGACAATCTTACTGAAAGCGGTAATTACAAGTCTTATTTTTATTACTAAAGGAGCATAATGGCGGGNGTGGATTTTTTTTTTTTTTTTTTCATTTGTATCTCAGAAATGCCTAATTTTACAAGTACTTTACAAGTCTTATCATTTAAATATCATTCATATCATATTAATTCAAGATTTACTTCAATTAAGTGTTTGCGTCCTAAGACACGCTGGAATTACCAACAGGTCTATCATCGGCCGGGGTTATTGTTACAGTCTTACTGCTACTAATACTATATACATTCCTTTTAACAATTAAAATAGTCTTTATAAACTCACTTATACATTTCCACTTCATTTTACAACTAATCATTTCAGCTATTATGGTCTCTGGTGTTAAATTGATATCTAGTTCACATTCAATTTTCCTTCTGTCATCTACAAACCTGGATACTGGCGGAGATAGAAGTAGTATATTACAAGAACATGATAGAATCTATGTTGCTTTTTGCATTGTCAGAAGCTTGGGTCCAAGGACTCAGTGATCTTTTACGTCAAAGCGCCTCAATAGACCTTACCCCCTAGCTATGCTAAAGAGTGAATATGTCCCAAATAAATGGTCAAATTAGTCTATGCTTTAAAAAAAGGTCATTTTTTGGTGCATGTGCAGACCTCAAACCTAGATCATATATACCTAGTTTCGTAGATCCAATCCTTCAAAAGTAATGGGAGGAAAACTAAAATAAATGTGTAATTTGGAACAAGGTCAATATGTATCATATTTATAAAATTCTATGGTTTAATTACATTGCATTCTTATTAATATTCTCATCATCATTTGCATCATTTCTTACTTACTTTCTCCATCTCAAAAGTTCCTGTCTTTCAATAAGTCAAAGCTATTTTCGTTTGCTGTTTTTATTTTTCATGATACTTTTTTTCTTTGATAGATATTGAAAAAGTATGAGTTAGAAGATGATGGCAACCCAGCGCCTATCGAAATGGTGGTCAGAATGAATAGGATTCCCAACCGCAAAGTTAATGTCCGATTCGTCCCTCGATCCTGATACCAGTCTCGGTAAATTGCATTTTATATAAATTACTTTTTGTAAACTTTTTTGGCATTATTTTTCCTCTTTGGCCACTATTTTTCTAAAAAGAAAACTGTAAAATTTGATGAAGGGATAAAAATGAAGGTGTAAAATATTGAAGAGTTCAGTTGAAGCACTACAATCAGAGTAAAAACGTTCATTAATGTTGAAACAAGAAAAATATTTATGGTGATTATACAAAATGTTTCACATTTTTTATTTTTTCGAAAAAATTAAACAACATTTTAACATGAAACTTTTTGCAAATACTCTCAATGCACGAAGAATACCATTAAAAAGAGTTGCAAAGTTCAGATCAACTATCTAATTTCACCCTCGGAGTTAGAAAGGGATGGGAGCTCTGCAACCATTTAAATGTAGACCGATATTTCTCTTGTTATACCATGAGGTAATGGGTTTTTTTCATGTGGTATTAGCCAACGACGATTCCCTCCTGGTATCAACCATCACCCACAGTTGCCTTTCCTGCTGTAAGAATCCTTAGCTGCAGGAGTAGAACTTCGTATGATAGCATCGTGCCAACAATCTGAAAACAGTGAATTGAGTTATAATGATTATGTCGAGTACACATTTAAAAACTTCAGCACTTTTTCTTATTTATGCCAAAAAAATATCATAAAAATTGCCACAAAATCCTGCTCTAAAATAATCTCAAGAAAAAGTAAAATGTCATTAGAAATTTGAAATCCTAACAATAAGCACTTCAGTGTTGGAAACAAATGTGTTCATACTTTAATGGGTTTGTTGCACATAGCCAACAATGCAGTCTTCCCAAGTTTGAAATTGCTCAAAAATCATGTTGAGCACACTAAAAAATGTCCCAAATTCACTCCTTAATGCTCAGTTGACATGATCCATATTGAGCTTTTTGCAAATTTAATGTATCCTTGGACAGTTTTTTTAAGCATTCTTCTAATTTTTAAGCATCTATCTTCCGTATGGTTTTCATTTATTTAAAATGTTTGTTTTTGCAACATGAGAGAATGAGAAGGAAACAAACGCTTCAAAACTTTTAAAATCATAGTAAGAAACATGTTTACAAGATAGTTTGCTCATTTTCTAACGTACCTCCCTGGATAAACCTGATATTTGGTGACTGAGTCAAACTGTCTGTGGAAGAGGTAAATTTGAAAAAGCGCAATATAGACCGTACAAATTATGCATTAATGAGTAGATTTCAGACATTAATAATTTACTCAACCTAATTTTCGTGCGATTTTAATTGCAGAGAGGGTGCTCAGTTAACTAACTTTTTTGTGTGCACCAGACGCATTATTTGAGATGTAGCTTTTTTATCGGCGTAGATAATTTTTCTGGTTGTTTCTCTACCATTATATTTTCACCTGCCTATTCTAATCCAGTAGATTACTGCTGAATTTTTAAACTATCTATTATCAACTGTCTCTTATGTTAAGGCAGTTTTGTCCAGTTGTATTTAGGAATGAGTCCATTCATTGGTTTCATAGAAAGCTTTGAACTAGGTATTTTATTCATGCGGGGGGAAGAATATTTTTTACAATTTCGGACAAACTTTTTCTCACCGTCAACAAGAAGCGTCTAGTCATCGAAAATAAGTGACCTCCAGTCAGCACAACGTGATTTTTCAGAATTTGTAGAAGGAAAATCTCCACCTGTAACGAAAAATCAACGCCACACTTTTGAAAAGAAAATCAATCAAAAAACATTAATTGAAGAGATGACGTGTGCTGATAAGTGTTGATATGTGCTGATAAGTGTTGATATGTGTTGACATGAATCATCAGGGAAAAATATGAGATTCTCAGCTGTCGTACCTTTAATTTGAGGAAAAATTCATACATTAGGTTGTTCAGTTCTGTAATGAGCTCCCTGAAAAACTCGCATCGTCTTGTCACAAAATTCTAAACTTTCGTTTGACAAATTTCAAGTCAAGTAAATAAAGGTAAATAGAAGCAAAAACTCTTACCTTGTTGCAGCGGCATTTTTATTTTTATGAGAGTTTAATGCTGTAGGAAGGACTGTGTCCAACATGGCATTTTAAAATATTTTACCATCTTTGGGAAAAGGACCTTAGTAATCTAATTGGGACGAAATTTCCAGCCGAGCGATTTTTATCCAATAGAGTTAAAAGATCATATGTTGACTGGCAGAAATCTTTATTGTGTCCTGCCTGAAGAATAAGTTTTAAGCAATTTGGTTCATTTTTTTCTCCAAGAGTGGTTACAATAGCATTGTAATCTGAAAATCTTAGGCTTTGAATGTGGCAGATTTGGATTTTGACCAATTTTTGTCAATATTTCTTTTTTGGAACTGTAAACTTGAAAGCACCATAACTTTGGTTTGGTTGGCTTTGGGTGTTTTTTTTGTAATATAATCTTATGGAAACCCTTTATGCTCTGGTATCAGTTTCTGCTTGTATTTTACCCTCTGGTACACTAAGACCCCTGCTCCCTTGAATGGTCACAAATATCGGTGCCCCTCTGACGTAAGGGCATAACTCAATATCTACTTGACCCCTGTTTTACTTATGAATCCATGCTTTCTGAGGCTCATGCAGAAATCGAGATACGCCCTTACGTCAGAAAAGTGACAATATTTACGCCAAAATATCTCATCCACCTTCTTCCTCAATTTAAACAACACAATTTTGTATTCCAAGCCATTATCAATGATTTACTCATGTTCTCCCAATTTTTCTGCATTATAAGCTTACTTTCTTATCTTTGTTTTTTTCAGTTTTACAAAATGTGCAGTCCAGATCGATTACCTTTTGATGAGTATCAAACCTCAATATGTGTCAGAATCTGAGTGGATTGCATTCCCAGCATTTCGGTCATCAGAGGTGAAGATGTGCCCCACTTTCCTCTACGTTTCCTTACCTTAAATTTGAATTTAGATTCGAATGCTATATTTTTGTTATATTTTTCGCACCTGTCAGGCGGTATGATTAATACCGAACAATAATTTAATTTGGTGACCTCTTCAATGTTGTCAATGAGCACTTTTTGGTGAGAAAATGATGATTTAAAATGATAAAGATATTTTAATTAATGTCCGTCAGTTTTTGCCTAACATCACAAAATACGTTACCAGGAAATTCACAATATTTCAAATTTTTACATGTATGTGCTCACTTACCTCTTGACAGTAGGATATTGAAGGGACTGCATACAAGATGTTCAGTGGTTCTCTACTCTTATCGTGGACTCTAACTGTAAAGAAGCAAAGAGCGCATGCTTGTCCTCCAGCAATAATGAATGAAAATATGATATGACTTCGCTCCTCGCGATCTGCGCTCAACCTGTTAAAATGTCAAAAGATTGAACCTTTGCAATTTTCAGTAAAATTCCTCTAATCTAGTCAGAGCATACTACTAAATGCAATGAAAAAAAGAAATCCCAACTTAGTTCAAAATTTCCATAGACCCAAACACTGTCTGAAGAACCAGACAGATAAATTAATACCTCCATCATACTAGTAAGTAGCTGAGCAACAACCTATTTTGTAATATGCTTGTCTTGAATACGAAATCACTTTTGCTACTATCAGTTACTTTGGAATCTGTTGGCTTGCGTATTTTGCCTTAGAGCAATGTTCTTTGTGCAATTTTGCTGATGGCAAATTTAATGGTCTCGTTAGAAGTATAATACCGACGGTGAAACTACCAAACCATGTAACTTGTTTGCAGTGTTTAAAAATCACCGCACCCCATTTATTTTTTTAAGGGAGAACAAATCAGAATTATTTCCTGAAGTTTTTACAAAATTTCTCTCCCACAGAGAAAAAAAAATCTGTGAAGTTAGTAAGAATTGATGTTGAACAGTTTTTCATTAAAAAAATATAGTACCTATAACAAGAAGTTCGCAACATTGCAAACTGAGATCTGTGGTTTCGGAGTTTCAATGTACTTTTGTCAAACCAAGGCAAAAGGCATAGGTCCAATAGTGTTCCGAAATTCGGTTTATCACCTGTGGAAATCAGCGCAACAATGTTATGGAGTTAGTTGTAATGCTACTCAGCAGTTAAAAGTTGACTCCCTCAATTTGTTCGCTGTCAATAAAAACGTAAGTACTGAGAGAGCTAAGATAGAAGTTTGCTGTTAAAATGCTAATCATGTTGCATTTACAAATTGGCATTGCAACTATTAGATTTAAGAGGCTGTATGCTTACTTACAACATGCTATGATGAAGCTCAATACAAATAGTGAATAGATGCATGGCAAATGAGCTGAAGAGGAGGTGGCAAACACATCTATCAACAGAGGCAACAAGGTTGCATAAACGCGTGTAGTCCGTTCGGAATGTTCTCCATTCCCTGGGTTGTAGTTTCTGGAACAATGGTTGTCACTTCAATTGAGATATATCATTCCTTAAAATGTAATTAGACGCACTCATTCAATGAAAGTTTAACTAAATGGGTCAGTTGTGCTGGTCACAGAATCGTGTTTTGATGCTTGATTCTTGTAGATTAGCTTAAAAAAAGAAGATCCGTCCAAACAGCTACTTTCTGCGTTCAATATTATCCAAGATATTGCGCCTTAAAAAACTCGATTTATAACATCATCCACTGCAGTAGTACATACCATATTCTGATTTACTGCCGTGGATGACGTCAAAAACCCGACTTTTCAAAGAACAATATCTCGATTAATATTGAACTTAGAAAGTTGCTGTTCAGACAGAGCTTCTTATTTTTAGCTATTCTACAAAAATCAAGCATCAAAACACGATTCTATGACAAGCGCAACTGATCCATTGGAGGCGTTAAGAAAGAATTTTGATTTTAGGATCAAAGTTAAGAGACTTCTTTTGGCAAAATTCAAGGTAGCGTTGCATCAGCAAGAAAACAATCTGCAAGAAGATGTAGAGCTCTCCCTTCGCTCTGACTCTTAATTGAGTTTTCAGTGATTTCGGCCAACTTTTTGTCATCCGTATGCCTTCATCGCCATGCTTGCCCTTTACATTTTCATGTTGCATCCCTAGTTAGTAGATGTTACCAATCCTTGTTTAAACATACTTGATTTGAAGGGCGTGGAGAACAAGTTGCACAAGTGCAGTTTTTGTTATTTTCAGAAATACAAGTTTGAAGTGGCGATATTACATGGCTCTGTTTGGTGGCAAGAAAGTTCAAACTGACGTTTTGATGCTTAAAAATATGCATTAAGGCTAGTTTTACTTGAAATCAATAATATCTCAATTTTTTCAAAAACAGCTTTCATGCACCTTGACCTCCAAACCCCTCATTTCAAATCAAAGCAGATCAGAATGTCAGTTGAATTTCTTAAATTTCGTCTCACAAAACAATAAAAAAAAAAATTCAGATTAGTAAAGAGTTCAGCTTTATTTTCAGTCAATCTACTTGCCAAACATCATGACAGAATATCCATAATCTTCATTGTTTTTTTTTTTTAAATGGGTTCTTTGAATGTTCATAGTTTGTTTTTTTTTCTGGTGTGATATGCAATAATCTTTTTTGGTTGATTTTCTGTCCAAATTTTGACTATGCAAGATGTATTGTACGCTGTGATCAAAGTTACCTGTCTTCGCTCTTGTCCTATCCTCTTGTTGAAATCATCAAAAAACTCATCGAGGCCTATGCAGAACATTATAACAAGCTGGTCAACAAACGCGAAGGTATGACACGCTACCATGTTGATCATAAGGACGAGGAAGCCAATCCACACCTCGAATTCAACGTGCATAAATACTTGTGGAAATCGCGTGACACAGTAGTGCTTCATAATTTCTGTCGAGTCTTTCTTCACCGTAATGAGGCCCGTTATCAAAGAGCTGATATGCTCCACTGAAAATTTAGAAATGTATGCAATTTAGCCTGAAAGTTATTTTTGAAAATTTTGACAGAATTAAAGTAAATTAAAAGTACCCCATACATTTGAAACAGAAAATTTTAATTATTTCAAAAATAGAGCTTGGTTTTAAAATTGGCTCCTTTAAATAAAAGAAATAGGTAATAAAATGTGCAAGTTTGTAATTCCTTAATGTCATGACACTTCTAGAGCTCTCAAAGTCAAAAGTGAAGGTAGACCGATACTCACCAAAAGTGACAGCAATTATGGATAATGTTAGCACATTGTATTTGTAGCTTAAATATTTTCGATGTCCGTAGTATGTCTCTAGCACTTCCCATTTTTTTATCAGTTCTGGCCATTTCATGGACAAGCGAAGAAACTGAGTCATGGCAATCGTGGATACTCCAAAGAAAAAGATCGTGCCTGGATTGAAATTAAGAAAAGTTGATTTAACAATTTTAGGAAGGAATTCAATACCACCTCCTTCTTTTTCACCCTCTATTGCAAGGCGTCCTCTCTCTTCAATGGACACCTTGTAGCCAAAAAATTGACCTCACCATTTGAAAAAGAAAACTTCAGTAAATCGATTCAGTCTTTTCAGTCGATTCAATTTCAGTCAATAGATCTGAATGATATTTATGTTCAAAATTTGCAGAAAAGCAGCTGGTCGGCCAAGCAGAATTTGTTTTTTTTTTAGAGAAATCTGTGTCACGTTACTATTTGGACCCTTTGTTAAATCTAAAACACAGAGGGTCAATTTTACCGGGCCAAGTCCAGTGATGTTTGCCACTCATTACTCTGCATCGGTTTTTAGATTACGAGAATGGAATTACCTCCTTTAAGAATATTGGCTCCTGTATCCCGCAACCATAATATACTAGCGAGTGTCATCGCCGAGTTACAGAGGATGGCCCCAATTGAGAAAGCAACCCGGAAACTGAGCCATCTAAATTCCTCGTGGTTCAAGGGTATGAGACACATCCATTGGCCCAGGAAGATAAACAGACTAGACGCTTGGCGAAACGAATCTTTTGGGCAGTACTCCACATCGTCCCATTCCTCGATCCGTGGTGTGTCTAAATCCACGGCATTGGTACTTTTCGGTTTGATTTTTGCTTTACCTAAAAAGCGAATGAGCTAAGATTTACTACTTGCTGAAAACCATTCTCCTGAAAGTTTCATCAATGTTATTTGTTAAGTTTGATCTCATGATGTTCGTAAAAAAAATCCACGTCTTATTCTGTATAGAACTTTGATTGCATTTTGATGATTTCTCATCAATTTGGATTTCCATTTGCTGATCTAAAATGAATTGCTGATCAAACTACACATATTTCGAGCTTGCTCTCATTCTTCTCCGGTCATTGATTTCTTTTACTGTGATGATACCATAATACAGGTAATCATAAGTTCAGGGCCCATTTTCACTTAATAACGTTTTCTTTCGTAGTCTTTCTAACAATGAGGCAAAGATGAAAATGGGATATTTTTCTGTTTCTTTCAAATTAAATAGACTAATTTAATATGAGCCCTTCAATCTTGAGAAGGCTCTAATGTTTTAACATTTTCTACTGTCAGGGTCGGATTCACATTTTTAGCGCCCTAGGCTAAACTTAAAAGTAGCCCTTAAAAGTAGGCGCTCTCGTGGGGGGGGGGGTTCCCCTAGAAGCCCCTCCCCTCCAGGTCAGAAGGAGGATGTTAGGTGTCAAGAAAATGTTCAAATTCACTTTTAAAAAAACTTGATTTCAAACAGTTTTGAGGTACATTTTCGTTTGCAAGTTGGTTTTGGAAAATAAAAAGTAACAAAAGACTCGTTAAATTAAAAAAAAAAAAATTCTCAAAGATTTTGCGCCCCTCAGAATGTTGCGCCCTAGGCTACAGCCTATGTAGCCCATTGGTAAATCCGGCCATGTCCACTGTAAAGAAAAAGGAACAAATTGAAAGGAGCTCCTAAAAATTTTAGGAAGATTTTCCTATTTTGTATATACATCCAATCCCACAGTCTAAATTTGAAGTATTTTTTATTTTGTATATATTTGGGAGGGTACTTTTTTAAAAATTACTTTTATGTGTACATACTTGATTATGATCTTATTCTATTTTCTACTTTTGATTGAATAAAGAAGGATTTTTCTTTCCTCTTTCGTTATCTAATTATGTATGACTTTATTTCTGTCAAGCAGTTTCTCCTTTCTTTTAATCAGACAAATTAGCAAGTGTACAAGGAAATTGGGCATCGTCTCTTGTAGTAAGGCTCGTTCTGGTCAAATCTAACTATTGAAGTTTGAATTATTTTTAACGATCGTAAAATGGAATGCTTTAGAAGACAATTTACTTACTTGAAAGAAAATCAAAAGTAGTAGATCTCACCTTTTTTAGTCAGATGTTGGTAAAACTTCCCCAAAAATCCTCCCTCAGCAGGAACTTTAGTTTTATCAGCCAACATTCCAAGTTCACAATTATATCCAGCAAGGAATCACTTCATAAATTTATCATTAGTTCCGTTATCTAATTCAAATTTTAAGTTTTAGTCAAAAAGACTTCGGTTGACCTGCATTAACTGCGCATCAGATTTCGAGAAATAATCTTTAAAAGTAATTTGTCACCAAGATGCTCTAATCGATTTTACTCTATCCAAAGAATTGTCTCCTTTTGTGTGCTTTTAACATTTGACATGTTCTCTCAAGGGCTCAAATTAAAGCCTTGACTGAATAGAAGAGAGAGTGTCAGTCGCAAAAGTATTGTTTCACAGCCCCTCATTTGCTTCATAAATTATTCAAAGGGCTTTTAACTGTACAGTTTTATCTTACCATCTGCACAGCAAGCGTCGTTTCATGACAAGTAACCTGTCAATATAAGCATTTCATGCTTGGATCAAAATGGCCACAACCTGCAGGCTGATAATCGATATTGATAGACCAAGTGATGGGCAGCGGAAAAATGGAGCAATCCTACAGGTGGAAAAGGGTGATTGGTACAGACCATGCAAGGAGGAAAATAATGAATTGACTGTAAAGTCTCCTGTGATTTGCTATTAGTTTGACAAGAGACTAGGTAATAACTCATATTATTGTAAACATCCACTTCCACTAAAATGTGATTGCTGAATTCTGCCTTTGTCTATCAATTTCAATGATCAGCCTGCTGATCACGTTTTTCATAAGTCTTAATATTGGTTTAAAATTGAACTATATCAAATGCAGGGGCTGCAGAGTTCAAATTAAAGTACATCCATACCGGTAATACAAACTAGTAGTTACTAGTAGTTAATAACTACCAAAATATAGAATATCAACAGTGAAACTACCAGACCACGTATACCGGTTTGCGACGTCCTGTCATACTTTATTTTTTAGATGGAAAACTACTCAACGTCAATCCTTGATAACTTCCGTGATATTCATTTTCTGTGTGAAGAAAAAACTGTGAAAACTTCAAGGAATGATTTTAGTTTGTTCTCCTTCACAAAAATAAAATGGGGACGGAGATTTTTAAACACAATGAACGACATATGCGGTCTGGTAGTTTCACCGTCGATATACTTTGCTCAAGCACTGGTTTTGCTGTTAACTTTTAGGAAAGTACTGAACAGACCAATGTAATAGCGCAATCCAGCTGTTGTATTCTGAAAATCTCTAGCGGAAACTCTAGTGAAGAAGTATCTGAAGTTGTAAGAATTGTCTTCTATCCATCAATTTCATCTTTGAATTTTACCATTTGATTAAGGTCAGCTCCGAGTAGATAAGGGTTTTCACGAAATTTTTTTTGGATATGGACAGCTACAGTATGCTTCTTCACTTTTTTGTATCAAAGGACGTAGGTCAAAATGACCTTGAGGTTCAGAGCAGTTCAACTAAATATTTCAGAAAGTAAACCCTTCTGAATTTTCAAAACGCTCTCTTCTCAAAACTACAATTTTCATAATGCGCACTTTTGCTGAAGAATCCTTCAATTCATAGCTCAAAAATGCAAGCATTATTCCCAGAAAAAGCGTATGCTGAGTTATGACTTTTTTCATATTTCTTTTAACGCCCGAAAATAAGAATGAAGTGGAACAAGAATCTTGACGTACGGTGCAGAGCATTGTCTTGATGACGAGAATTTTGCAGTTTTTTGCTTAATTTGTTACAGGAAAGGAAAAAAAGCGAGGCTGACTAACAAATCATTATTATTTTTATTTCAAAATCAACAATCAGATATTCATTGAAATAACCTAGAACAAAAGGTAGTCAAATCGTGGTTTGTTCTTCCAACTTAATCCGAATGATGGGATGAAAAATATTTAAAAATATCCTTACAAAAATCAGGAGTAAATCACAGTGATTTAGAACCGAAACACAATTCGAACAGTTTAGAATTAAGGATCGAATCTTACGAACTAGTGAATAAGGACCTTAGGAAAACAACTAACCCCTTTTTTAAAAAAAAACGGATTGAAAAGTTCTGAGAAAGCCGAGATACAGGATGAAAAAAGTAGAAGGACGTAAGTTGCAAGAGCTGAGAGAGCAAACATATTTGAGGAGATTCTTGTAGATTATCAAGCTGACAATACTTTTACTCGTTACATTCACCTGATCAATCAGCACACTTTCAGTTTAGAGGAGCAAACCTTATTAGAAGGAAGAACAAGAAATGATAGTTGGACCGATTAGACTGAAATTGGCCTAACTGCAATCCTTTTTGCCTTAGTTTCCTCCTCATGTTGAATTTTTTTAGGAGAAATAGAGTAAATATCTGTAGTTACGGACTAAGGAACTGTTACTACATTTTCACCCATTCAAGGAATCAGGGGAAAACTATTCGCTGCACTACGCCACTTTAATTATTACTCCAGTAACTAGTATAAATCTGTGCAGATATAGTATATTAAAAAAGTGGAAAAATATAAAAACAAACATAATTAAAGAGAAAATTACTTGGACGATAAAAAGTTTTATTATTCTCTCCCTAACCCTATATCGACGGTGTAAGTCGGCAACCACGTAACTCGGTTTGTGACGTCGCAGTCTTCCCGTCATACTTTATTTTTTCAAACGAAAAACTACTCAACAGCAATTCTTTAAAACTGCCATGATTTTTCTTCTTTTGGCGAAGAAAATTCTGCAAAAACTTCAAGAAATGATGTCAATTTGTTTTCCTTTAAAATAATAACATGGAAGCGGAGATTTTTAGACACCGCAAACGAGATATGTGATTGCGGACTTACGCCGTCGATATTCTTTTCTTAAAGACAAATAAAAATTCCCTTGCCTGTAGCGCACTTCGCAAATTCAAGGGTCCTGTATATTGGGCATGGTGTTACTTGTCATGGCCATTCTTTATGCAAACCAGGATGTCTACTAAAATTTTATTTTAGGTTTTCCAGATATTTTGAACGAAATTCCTGATCTTTTGCACGAGCAAATTGACACTCTTGATTTTATGCCATCATAATGAATGAAGTGAATTAGACGTTCAACTTTTGCATTTGCTAAAATGCATGTAATTTAAAAATGTTTGAAGCACTTGGAATTTCCTGATTCACGACCGAATGCAAATAATATAACTTTCCTAAAATTGTCAGTTACATTCATTTGGCTTTCAACTAAAAATTTTGCCTTAAACCTTCTTGTGAATTTCTCTTTAATTATGTATACATACAGAAAGTGCACAATATTTCGAGGCTAAATGTTCCTAAAATTTCTATGGAAAAAATAGGATCAAGAGAGAAATCAGGCGACATTTGATGCAGTTAGACTGATTTTGGTTGAATCTGTCCAGTTTCGGGCAAAGCTCGGAAGTTTTAAAATTCCGTGGAGCAAAAAAATGTATCTGCAAAATAATTAAAAATCTGTAACTGGTATTGATTTTTAGTGCAGGTTTTTGCATGCTTCTTATTTCTTGGTTGCCATCTTGTCGTCTTCCTATACTGTACAAGTCTTTATTGAGTATATGTTACCGGACCAAAACTAATGAAAAGCCTTCTCACCAAAATTCTGATGTCATTGGACTCCATTTCCATAAATGTATCTAATTATAATGCTCTTCATAATATGGAATTAGGTTTGATTGAATGGGGCAGCGGCGAGGAATTTTTGCAAGGTTGTGTTTTGAATCTCTAACATAAAATTTTGAGATATAACCATGAAGTTCATTAAAAAGTTCAAAAAAGTATTATAAAGGGGAGAAAAAGCTAATAAAAATCTGGCAAATAAAAAGCTGACAGTCGAGTTAACGTAGCTAGGTGATGCCTAAAATTGAGTTCAACCGATCAGTTTCCGCAAGTCTACGACATTAGAGCTTGTCTAAAATATAATTTCAAAAGGGTCCCATTTTTGGCAGATTCCAAAAGGGATTTCTTGGCCATTTAGGGTTAAGAAAAATCTGAAGAATTCTTAAAAGCTTAATTCACTCCATAATTAAAACAATGAATTAAAAAAAAATGGATGCCACTGACCCATTGAGCACAGCTGGAGATCGTTCTTATACCTTGAGCATAACTTCCAGAATTTGGTACTTGTCAAAATTAAATGACCGGATTTGTTTTTTAATTAAAGCAATAAAAATATTATTCACAAAGAGAGCTAAAGGCTATTTTGAGAGCAGACTAAAGTTTGATGGTTGAGATTGATAATCCTCATCATATAATGCAATAGTGAGGTCCAACATGGGCAAAAAGTTTGATATTATGATTTTTAAGAAGAGGATTACCTCGGTGGAAAATTTGAATCGTTGTTGAAAATTAATTGATGATAAAAAGAATGTTGCCTTAACTTGCAAATAAGTAACTATAATTTTAAGATTCAGCCAGATTTTCAGTCAGTATACATATATTTCTTTCCTGTGTTTAAACTAAATCCTGAGGAGGTATTGAGCGATTCCAAATCCTACGATTGATTGATTTTCCTTAAACTCACTATGAAACATGACTTAATTTAAACACATCCAGGAATGTTGGCCGTTCCTTCATCAATTCTCCACTTTCAACTCATTGGGAAATGACTTGTCGTATTTAGCCAAGTTTAAGTTAAAGCTGCTCGTAGGGGTGTCTAAACAAATTCTTATTGATAAGCTATCGGTTACTACTCGTTTTAAAAAACGATACACTTCGTTAAGCCGCTTTTGTCAGAAACAGAGTCTTGTCTACTTTTGAACGGAGCTGTTTCAATAGCTTACTGAAAACCCCTAGCTGTTCACAGATAAATACGCAAACACCAGCTGAAGAACTTATCGATTAAAAATTTTGATCATGAAAGAATTGACATTAGAAAACTTTTTTGCAGTGGAAAACTAATCTTATCTAGCTGCTGGTGCTTCGGCATTGCACTATGCCCTACTGTTGCTAAGGTCATGCGAATTAGCAGTGCGGAATGGAAGGAGATCAAAATACAATATCAAATTTGAGTTACTCAATATATGAAAATGTTTTGAAACTTTAAAACGAAATCATAATAATGCACTTCACATCGAGATTGCACAAAAAGAACCGTGATTAAATCTCATTTCCACGCCACATGACTGATTGTGTTCAAAGCAATTTCTCCTGCAAATTATATTCTTGTTGTCTGAACGATACGAAAACAAGTGAAAAAAGAAAGATGCCTTCGTGAAAAAATGGAAAAAGTAAGAAAAAATAAAACTGTAGAAGATAATATAGTAATTGCCGTAGTCTTACTCAAGTAAGAAACACGATTCAAAATTTCGTTATGTTCTCACAGGCTTTTTACCCTTGATGACGGGAGGTTTTCCTGGAATTGAGCCTTTCTTTCTTCGGCTTGTCTGAAAAAAACAAAAAGTACATGTTAGAGAATAAAATATTTTCAAAATATGGGCTACATCTTAGCCCTTAATTGGGGATCATCTCACTTTGGGAACTTTTGCTTAGCCAAGAAATGACATGCTTCTTAGCCATGTGAAGAGATTCAATATTTGATGAAAATTTGACCAATGTTTGGTGAAATTCTGAGAGTTTCATAAAGGATGTCCTTCATACCATTAAAAATCAAGAATAATGTCATTGACCTTGACACCAATGAAACCAGTGAACTGTAAAAATTCCCTCTCTCGAAATATTTAACAATATTTTCTAATTTGTGTTGATTTTTAATGATACATGGAAAGAAGAGACAAAAATTGAAAAATTGAAATATTGGAGCATTGATCTACAAGAGGAGCATTTTGCAAAAATTCGAATACAAAAAATTCTCGAAAACAGTGCACCAAACCTGAGCTAAATGAGTTTGAAGTTTAGGATTGAAACTACGTTCACTTACTAATATTCATGAGGCTTCATAAGTATGGAAACATTGCAACTAGGTTAACTTATGAATAGAATTAATAGATAATTGGATGGCTTCAAGAAGAGAAAAATCTACCGACAAAGGGCCCTAGTACAATCAGTGGTCAGAAAGAAGTTGAAAAACTCATCAATTTCAAAGTGAAAACTCTTAAAAAGTAGCTAAAATATCCGAAATAGAAGACACTTTTAGTTCTTTTTGGAAATGTGCCACCTTACACTGTTGCAATTTTTTTCCCTTTAGTTCCGATAAATTTTAATAAAAATTTCACATGAAATTTAAGTTTATTTAAGTTGCCTATTCTACAGTTTATTTTGTGTTTAGCATCAATGTGAGAGCTTTTGGAGTTTATCAGATTTTAATGCCAGCTTTTTATTTCATGGATTTTCCTTTTTAACATAAATTTCACTTAAAAAAGAGCAGAAAAGGCTATCTAACTTGTACATTTTGACAATTTTTTTATGTTATTTCAAACAAGACAGTCAATGCTACTCTTGAATTTTATGAAAACACATACGATAGGTCACTTGTTGCTCATGGCGTCCTCTTTATATAGTTGTAACTCCTTATGACGTTTCTCGAAAAAAAAATTTCCCAAGAACAACGTTCATTTTTTCAAGTCCTGGCTTTTTGTTTCTTATTGTAACATTTCTCAAAATAACTTTTTTCAGGAAACAACATTCAACTTTTAATGCCCCTTCGAAAACGTTATTACCAGATACAACTAGGTATAGATAGATCCATCCTGCTGAGAGACAACCAATTGCTTTTATTAACGGGTAAAACGAAATTTTTGAATGAAATAAACGGTTAGGAAACAGAAGAACTTACTTTTTTGGTGATGTAGCTCTTTGTTCTAATCTTCCGATTTGAAAGCGGCAATCTTGGCCTATTGAAATCGGAGGGCTTTTTGACTCTATAGATTCTGACCAACCAGTGCTCCGTTGTGTATGCTTCGTCTAGGTAAGTGAGATCAAAGTTTTTATTTCCTATCACCACATTCCTTGTCCGATCGTAACCTGCTGGACTCCTGTAGTCAAGCTGTGAACATCAATACGCTAGGATCAGTCACCGAAGACAAATAATTTTTTAGGCCCACTTCTACATACTATTTTTGCGAATTACAGGCGCAAAAACGCAAAGTTTTCCCTCTTATTTGGGAGTTTTTGAGCTAAGCTATGGCATGAAGAAAATTGGGATAAGGAGATAATTAATTTTCAAAAGACTCCAAGTTTTAAAACCCCTAAAAGTAAATAGAGAATACAACATAAAATCAGTAATTATCAATTAACTACTTCAGTGAGTAACTGCGATAATCTGGTCTAAAAAGCCGTTTGAGGGTAGTAACGGATAAGATATTCAGATGAGATACTTTGTTCTGGAAAAAATGGATTAATTGGACCTACGTTGATATGGGTATCTTTGTGAGCAGGAAGCTTGAATCAATTAATTCCAATGTAAACAATAGACAGTAATTTATAACATGAAAGTTGATTTTTTCAACATATTTAGCATGTCATATAGAGGAACATGACTTCATTCAGTGTCAACTAAATAAACTCAAAATAGTTAATATTTTTTACGAGATTATGACGTAGTTTCTGTCCAAAATTTTGCTGATTTTTGCATGAAATAAGGAGAGAGCATCAGTGATTACCCCAAGAGTTTCCTGGTAAAAATACAATTTGAGAATGGAAATTTTGCAGCACTGAAATTGAGTTTCATTTGTCTGGAAAATTAATAATATAAATCTCACCCTGTTCGGTGGTCTATTAGTAAGCTGACCTTGACTGATAGTAGTTTACCTAGTCACCTTAATTCATACATGCCATTGTCCTATGAATAGCTAAACGTAAAAAACCCCTACTTCAATTCCAACGTTCAAAAATCCTCTGATGTTCCATTTTCCTCAAGGTAAACAAATCAAAAAGCGTCCTTGATACTTTTTGTGATTTTTTAAGATTGAGTGCAGAAAATTCACACAAAAATCCAATGAAAACTGTTGATTAGTTTTTCTTTAAAAAATGATAAAAAACAAGCGCAGACCTATGACATCGCAATCCAAGATAAGCATTGTTTGATTTAAATCATCCACATAGAGGTTCATCAAACAAGATAACTTGGTTAAGTTGAGGAAGCATTAAAATTGTGATGATCGCCCTAAACAAGTGTTCCTAGAGTGCGAGAAAACAAAGTAGGCACAAAAAAATAACATACCTTGAGCTCTCCAAATCTATAATAGCTTAATTTGTACATGAGACAGTTCAACAGCACAGGAGATCCCTCTTCATCGACTCGGAATTCGCCACGATCTGTGAAGTAATCACTTTCCTGGAAAACAAAGATTATCCATAATATTACTGCAGGTTGCCGGAAGAATTTTCTCCTTCAATTCAACAAAAAAAAATACATGGTCCTCCTTTGAGAGTAGAAACAGGATTAGGCAATACTCAAGTCTTTCGTCGGGCACTTAGGATAAGGAAGGTTTGAGGCTGTAATATGGGAGGGAAAGTAAAGGCTCCCGTTATAAGACAACAAAAAATTGAAAAAATTACAGCGGATTTTTTTTTGCATCATATTGGCATCAAAAAACTGATGAAAGTGGAGATGGGGAGGATATTCTGACTGACCTTCTATAATCCATTTTGGCGATTTGAGTTTACCGCGAATATGGATTTTAAGGCAAGAAGAGGTTTAAAAAATAGGAAACCCGACTTAGGTTGTTTACAGACACAAAGAGACTCAACACGAGTCAAAAATGATTATGCAGATTGAGTGAAAATAATCAGGGACACAGTGGAACTCAACATGAGTCAAACAAAGATTTCATGGAGTCGATAAAAATATGTAATTATAGTCCACTCTTTCTTCGTCCAGATTTTATTAAAAGGCTGATCGAATAAACACTGAATTAGGGTAATGAGTACATTCTGATGTGAAGTTCAACGAATGCAAATAATTTGGAACTTCTTATATCAGCCAAATCATTTTCATTATAAAATTTCCGAGTTGAAAACAAAACAAAAAAACATTAATTTGATTTGAATGAATACCGCCTCATTTCTTCAGCTACGAGAAAGGTCTGATGAAGAGTAAAAGACCTCGAGGGCATTGGGCGGAAAATTGGCCTCTGTCTTACCTTAATTTCTTTGGGATGTTCACCTTCAGCAATCCTCACCATCCACAGGAATTTGTTGATGTCGTCACCAGAGTATCCGATGACACCTCCAAAAATGACAAGAACGTAATCGACATCTAACGACAACATCACTTTGTAAGCTTCAATCTCAGTGGATGACATTGCTTTACCGACCTGAAAAGGAAGGACAAACATGACCATGGTTTCAATTCAGTGAAAAATTCTAGGAAAAATGTAAATCAAACCTTTTTGATTGAGAGGGATTTGCTTTCAGAGGTCCATCAGGGGGCAATATCATTGAACTTTGGTCAAAATGGACCGCGTTTAACAGAAAGGAACCAAGCCACATCAGCTTTTGCCAATTTTAACTGGGCAATTTAATTTTTTACGAGAAAACGTTTGTGCGGATCCCTTTGAAAATGTTAAGGAATTTGCTTCGTACTGTGGAGAAAATTCACTGAAATTTGCACGAAAATCCGCACAACTGTTTTCATGTGAAAAATTTAACTAGCCGATTAAAGTTGGCAAAAGCTGATGTGGCTTGATTCCTTTCTGTTTAATGCGGTCCAAATGATGTTTAACAACTTTTTTTGGGGGCTCTTTGGCGACACAAACCACCTCTAGTATATAAATTTTGAACTATTTGAACGTACTAGCATCTCTAAAAATCGAAGTATTAATTTTGTATGATCTTATGAAACAATAGATGAAAATACGATAGGCAAAGCCCTGTTGTGACAAATCTGGAAAAGCCACGGTACATAACAAGTTAACAGATTTGTGTTTTAAGTCAGAAACTTCAAAGAATTTCTGTTGAGTCACAAAATAAATTTTGAACTTCGAAGATAACAAAAGAGAGAAAAAAATAATTGATGCATACCAATGCAATATGTGAATTATTCCACGTGTTGTTATCCACTAGTGTTGTTCGATTTGCCATTCCAGCTATCTGATAGCCGTAATCCCACCAACTCATTATTCTTGCATCGTTGGCTGTGTTTTGGGATAACCAGTGGTACGCTTCTCGGAAGTCATCCAGAATCAACCTTGAGCTGAAAAATAGGCAAGGAAAATACTTTAAAATAAAGGCGTTTCCAAAAAAATTTTTCTTCTTTTTCAAAAAAAAAAAAAGAAAAGATGAAATCTGATACAAGTGCATGAAATTTTTAAAGAATAATCTTGATAGGAAAATCATACAAAATTATACAAGGAAAAACAAGGATTCATCATTATTACACATATAAAATACTACATGAGATCTCCTCCGTCACAAACTGACACATTTTTTCACATCATTTACTACTTTCACTTGTGTTCTAATAAAGACAATTTGACTTTTGAGACTGGGAAATGGTATACGGTATAGTGTCTTCTACTGAAACTTATTAACAAGCAAGGTAGCATGTATTCCTTCATTTCAAGGAAAAAAATTATGATTCAGTTCCTTTGCAGAGTTTTGATACTAATCTAAGTTTGTGCATGGAAATATTAATTGAACAAGGAGTTTTCAAACATGTTCAACTTTCTTGATTCAGTCCATTGAATGAGTTCAAGAAATTCTTACTGTCCATCTACTACTAATAATCTTACTTCAATTTTTTTACTCAAAGTTTAACTTTAATAATTTGTTAGCTCTCTTTGCATTCATTCTTACTGCCATAGTGTGTTTTTCTTCTTCTTCTCTGTTATTTACATTGTCGGTGTAGTTTTACTTTCTTTGTGCAAAACATCTCTGTACAAATGACTTCCAACATACTAAAAGCTAAATAAATGAAAATTAAATGAATACATTTTTTACCAAAATTCCAAATATTTTTGAAGACATGACTTGATACTGTTAAAATTGTAAAAATTAATTGTTGATGATAATATTAATTATATTGTTGATATTGTTATTGTTTGGTGAAAATAATTTTCAGAGCTTTTGTTTTGTTTTTGATGTTCCTCTAGATTGCCCATCACCCTGATGGAAACTACAGGACAGAAGGGATTAATCTAAGACTGAATTCCTGAAGAATAAGATTTCTTTTAACCAATTTGTGCAATTCGCTTTAGTTTGATCAGTTTTAATTTAGCATCAGGTAAATGAACCCAGAAAACAACAGTCAAAACCGAGCAATATTCAGGAGGCCCGTACTGGGTTGGGCTAAACTATGCTCAACTCACTAGGAAAAACATTTACTTAATGATCTATTCCTGACCCCGTAGAGTAAACAATGTGCTTGAACTTGTGTTTGAACAGATGTCACTGTGCACCAGCTTGAATATCAAAGCGCACTCAACAGCAATAATCCTACCGGTGTTCGAAGTTAAAAAATAGACATGGGGGAACTGATGTGTTTTTTTTTCTTCTCCTTGAGATTGTTGGATTCTAATACAACATTGCGCTCTCTGTTGGCAAATTATTGACTAAACTGCTCACAACTTGAGCTTTGGGATACAAGAGAGCATTTCCTGTTGGAAAATCAAGTTCTCATTTTGTCGGTCAACTTAGCGAAAATTGCTTTCTTGACAAATTTTTATCTGAACACTAAGGTTCTTTTGCTTGTGGACAATCACATTTCAATAAATTCTTTAAAAAAAGAAAATAGCAACGTACCCATCACTACTGTAGGAGGCTAAAACGATACTAGGACTGGAGTAGGCGTTGCTTGTTACCCAAGTGCAATGCATAGCAAACATCATCAACAAGATGAGCGTGACGATTACAACAATGCCTCTAACATTTGTTCCGATTTCATCGGACTCCTTCTCTTGCTCATGTTTCATTTTGCGCAGTTTTCCAGCCTGAAATGGAAAAAAAAATTATTTAAAAAGATAGCTACTAAAAATTATTAAAAACAAAGAGACATTTTGTTGCATTGTGAAGGATATCGTCACCTTCCTGCCAAAATATCACAATCCTAATTTAAGCTTTGGTGCTACGTTGCCAAACTTCACAAACTTTTTCAATTTTTTACAGGGAAACTGATGAACAGAATCACAAGGAAATGCTACCTAAAATTTCTTTTGTCATCATGGTTAATGTCTAAAATTATCATAAAAGTATGCGAAAAATTTTAGAATTAGAATTATAACAATATTGAGATATCTGGCAACGAAGCATCTGAGCGTGTTGCTTGTGATAATTTGGCCGGAAGGTACACATATATCTAAACAAAAACTTTCAGTCCTCAGAGTATTCTCATGATTGGAAAAAAAAAACAATACTTCTTTTATTGCTTTCAATCGGAAATAGACAAGGTTTCAAAGACATCTGGAGGTTGCAAAAAAAAAGGGGGAAAAAAGACAAGGATAATGTTACGGCTGCCAGTCTTTCAATTCAAATTATGAGAGAAAAGTAATTTAAATTGATGAAAGTACTATTCTGTATCCCAAGTCGTTTCTACTTTTTCGTTATGAATAGATAATGAAATCTGATTCCCATTATTTTAGACAAAGACGATTTTACAAGTTGGCGACATTGTTTTTCCTCCATTTTAATTCAATTAAATTATCGATTCTTAATGAGACAAGCTGCCTCACCAAGAATCGATTGATTTACATACATTTAAATGAAGGGAAAACAATGTTGCACACTTTCAAAAATCGCCACTGAGTCTTTAAAATGAATAAATTTAAAAAAGAAAAAAATTGTAACTACACTGATGAAAATATCTGGCAATAAATAAAAAATATTGTTGTATGGCGTGTGCCTGAGCCTGCAGCATTAACTTAGAGCCAAATGAAAAAAAACAATGTGACAATAGTTCTTACAACGTCAATGGTAGTTGAACTTTTTCAGGCTTTAAAATACTATAGGGTACACCAACCTTATCATAGAGATGAGCATTGCTCTCATTTTTGTTGTTTGATGGAACTTCCTCGTCGCGAAGATACAGTTCGAAGATTCTTGAGAAAGCAATTCCACTTAGCATACATACAACTGGCGTCAGTGTAAGCATGAGACGAACCATTACTCCAGCAAAATATACAGCTGTTAGAGCATAAAGAATGACTGAAAACAAAAAAATATTTTTTTACAATGCAGGAGAGGAGATGGACTGAGACAAAATTGATGCTCCCACTTTCTGTATTCTTACAAATACTTAGCCATCTTAGGTGATTGCGACTTCAGAGATTGTTGATCTTAAAGGAACTTGTAAGACTCATCAAAAGGAATTCTTGCGAGTTAATAAAATTGAGTTTTGTCTATTTAGCTGTATCTAAAGAAATTGAAGCGCTTATTTTGAAAAGGTGCCAACTCTGAAAAAAAATATTTTCAGGAGACAAGAAAACTACAAAAAGGGTGGAAAAAGATTACTTTTCTGTCAAAAACTAAATTTCGAAAAAAATCCGACTTGACACCATTTTAAAATGAGCACTTCATTAACAAGCAGGGCTACCTTGCTTAGAGTTGCTAATTTGTAATGGATTTGCATGAAGGAAAAACAGCAATACCAACTTACAAAAATTGCCACTAAAACTCTAACTAGAATCATGGGAGTGACACTAAAATTATAAAAGTCTACAAAACTTAAGAGCTCAGACCCTCACTAAAAAAATTAAAAAAATCGATGTGATATTGAGGAATAATTTGAGAAGATATTATTTGAAATGAAGATTGAAGAGAAATTGTCTTTTAAAATTCTTTAAAAAAATTCTTTTAAAATAACTGAACAGAATATAAAGATATGAAAGAGAGGATGGGAAAAAAAGGACAGGAACCTACCAAAAACGCGTTCATCATTGATCTTCTTGATGCAGTACCAAAGTCCGACAGGAAATGTTGTGATTAGGATATGAAGGTCAAAGAAGAACGAAAACCAAGTTGTTGGCTGATGTTCTGAGACAGAGGCAATGATTGGGATGTGAATCTTAGCGTAGGTTGTGTCCCACAGTGAATAAAACCTGTAAATAAAAAATTGAAACATGAATCAGATGTCGAGGCTTTGTTATTTTCCATTTTCATACTTTAACAAATCTTTCGATTCTGAAATCGATTGAAGCGAATTTTTTTGCATTTTTCATATCCCTTGATCTGAGTACAAAAATAGCAGAGGTTTGATTAGTGAAACTTATCACTCTTTCATCTTTTTGACTTGATCATGTGGTCAAATCTTCTAGCAATCAACATCATTCCCTGACTTTGAATAAAAGACTTCACTTAGAACTTTTTCCGTTTAATTCCGCTGTCTTTTGCGAAACTATGGACGAAAGCCCCACTTCTAGCAATTCGACTTGCGAAAGAGGGCACTTAGAAGTTGCTCAAACTCTCTTGAATAGCAACGCCTAAAGTTGCTGCGCACTACTTGCAAGATTTCCTGACTTTCCCTGAATTTTCCAAGTTGCTGTTGATTCCCTGGCTTCCCAGGTTTTTGAGACCAAGAAACCCTGTGGATATGAAGCTCTAGAAGCAACAAAAATGAATTAAAAATTTTTTAAGAGTCCATGCTGAATAAGTTTATCCATTTCTAAACTGCAACACAAGATTCCCCATCTTGATTCTTGCATTTACTTTCAAAATTAAAGTAACATCAGACAATCTTCTGTTGTAGTCTAAAAGTGCGTAAACTTATTGGGCATAGTCTAAAACCAATAAATTAGGAGACAATTTTTCTGACACTTGAGCCTGAAAAAGTGAATGCAATGGACAAAATATTTAATTAAAACTCCTCAAACCTTCGCTTTACTTTAATAAAAGCAAGCGGCTCATGAGACGGCTGAATAGTACTACTTAAACCCTACAACTAAGTATCCAGTCATTTTTCTCCGAGCCGATCTTCCGCTTGTGTCTTTCTCGTCACATAAAGTTCTATTCAGTAAAAGCTGTATTGCTTCTCATTTCGATCTTTACAGGCATTACAAGTTCTGAAACGTTCGTTATAACAGCACAATAAATTAAATGGTAAATAATGCAAACCTTCCACTCCACGGAGCAATGAAGCCGGCATAGGTGAGAACGACAACGGACAAAAACACTGTTCCTGCAGCGATTAGAGAGGACGCTATGAAAAAGTATTTGAACTCTGATTTTGAGAGGACACTTTGGAAGTATTTTAGACCTGCTACTGCCATCAGCAAAACAAACACCCCTGTAACGTAATAATTAACACATTAACTTGAATGAAACTAAAGTAATTCAATGTAATCATGGAATATGGTGTCTTCTTAGAATGTTCGATAAAGTAATCCTAACTATTTGCGTACCAAGAGAATTTATGTGCGTCTTTACCTACTTCTCCATTACGTCCTAACATATACACAAGAGATAACTGTCGTCAGAACCCTTAAAACCCAGGTTGCCTAGCTGAGGACTGGACTTAGGACCTCCTGATGATAGAACCAGCATTACAATCACATCACGGGAAGCTTACAAAGGTGTTTATTTCGGCAATTGAGGATTTTATTAGAAGAAACAAAGAACCTCAAGATAATTGACTGTATAGGATATTTTGTCACAAATAAATCAATTGGTCTGTTACCAGGGGCAGAAAAGGCAGAGAATTTTTCAAAATCTTTTAAACTGAAAGTCTGAAGAGGTGTTCCATCAACATTTGCGGTTCAATTTGCATATTAAATCTGCTATAATTTTATGCTGCTATGATTACTTGTCTATTCTTTAACTATTTCAACTCACTTGAAAAATTACCATGACTTTCCTTCGATTCTAAAAATGAACAGGTTGATTGAAAGCATTGATTAAAAGGTATATAACTTTAATACATAAAGTGCATAGAGTCGTGATGTAAGTGGGAAAGCTGGCGCCACTTTCAAGCATTTCCCAGGTCTCAAATTCCGAGACTCCTGTGTGATGCCGGGTCACTTTTTCCATACATGATCGATTTTTTTCGATAAACAGGTACCTGGCCATCCGATGTAAAAAAAGGAGATAGGAATTAGCACCTACTCCACCCTGCCATTTTAAATCAAACATGTATCGAAAAAGTGACCGAAGCTCGGAGCACACTGGGTCTGGAATTCGTCGAGCAGAACATGGTGCCAGCTCTCCCATTTACATTATGACTCTGTGTACTCTATGCTTTAATAGATACCACATGAATGCTATAACCACCTATCTTTCCTCATAAGTTGCCAGTTCAATGCGTCACTATTTTGGGTTAAAAATAATTGGGCTATTACAGTTTAAGAGATGAAACTTGACTAACCTAGGGCAGCCATGTGTTCACTTGTTCTGATCGGCTGGAAACCAACAAACGGAATCTGCATACTGAAGATCAAGCCAAGTATGTAGAACACGGAGTAGCTGACCAAAAGGCGATTTGAATACCGTCCCATGACAAGTAGGAAGAACACATGAAGAGGTATCAAATTTGTGATGAACACGTAACCACCCCATGCTGAGACCTGGAAACAGAATAAGCTTGATTACTGCCTGGATTTGATTATAAAATTTAGGGATGTAGTATACTTTATGACTGTTAACAGGAGATTATAAACTTTGAAAATGTAAATTGACCAAAAATGAGTCGTATCAAAAACTCTAACTTTCCAACAAATGACTGAATTTACAACACTGATTTTAACAAATTTGTCCTTTTTGTTAATATCAGGTAATGGGCCTGTTGCAAACTTTTGCTAGAGCAGAATGAAGAGTTGTTTCCTATAGATAATGCCTCAAAAATCACGATGAGCGCATCGGCAAAGTCTGAAATGCACTCATAAATTCACAATCTGCGTAAGAAATTTGCGTTATTTTGAGCTTCCCGCTTCAAAAACGATACTACTGCACAGGTGAACATTTTGTTAGAGGAGTCGCTCCATCGTCGGCAATATTCATCATGGCCGACGCTTGCGCAGTTCCTCGCGTAATTCAAGGAGAGTTCAAGGTCAATTAAGGCGGGCGAGGAAAATATGAACGTAAACACGCCGATTGTTATATGGTTTACTCCTGTTCAGTTGTTATCTCGTCCCATCACACGTGTTTTGGCGGACTGGCGTCGGCCATGATGAGTATTGTCGCCAATGGAACGACTCCTCTAACAAAATGTTCACCTGTACCGTAGTATCGTTTTCGAAGCGGGAAGCTCAAAAAACCGCAAAAATCTTACGCAGATTGTGAAGTTATGAGTGCATTTCAGACTTTGCCGATGCGCTCATCGTGATTTTTGAGGCATTATCTGCAGGAAACAACTCTTAGTTTTGCTCTAGCAAAAGTTTGCAACAGGCCCATTTGAAAGTACGAGTTTTTGATACGACTCATTTTTTGTCAATGTAGTGTAGTTACTTATAAAATAGGAAAAGAAAAGGCAGGGACGTGGCTGAAAAAACCCAATAATCTACAAAATACGAGACATTTCGACCAGTCTCCAATCATTATCAACCGCCGAACGACCAGTCGAAACGTCCCGTATTTTATAAATTATTGTTTACTTTTTCAGCCTTGTCCCGGCTTTTCTTTTCCTATTTTATATCTATGTTCTTGGGCTGCAATAGTGTACATTTATCTATATAGTTCTTTGTGGGTAAAATTTCGTGAAAATACAAAAACCAAACAAAATCATTTCTGAGAGGATGAAAAGCTGATTCAAATTTGACCAATCAAAAGCTGACAGCCGAGTTGACATTGCAAGGTGATGCCTGAAGCTGAATTCATCCAATCAGCAAACAGTGTTTCCCCCGCCTGGCAACGCCATCAGCCCCTGCCAAAAATATTTTTTTGATGGGTCCTAATGTTGGCATTTACAATAGATTGTTTCTTTGCATTTTAGGGTGAAAATTAATTTTAAAAAACTTTTATTAGCCAAGACAGCAGATGCTTGGGCAGAATCTGGAAGTGTGCTCATAAAGAATATGATTGTTGTAAATAATGTTAAAAATATGGAGATGTGCAGGTTATTATGTGCGTTGTGCAAAAAACTTACCATGTAAAAATATGAGAGAGCAGTGAGCGCAGCCCAATAAACTGAACCTAATTTAACCGATTTAACCTGCGATGGAACAGAGAAAAGACAGGAAAATTAAGACACTAAAAAATATGAAATAGGACGAAAAGATCTAAAATTTGATAATGTTAGGCAGCAAAAAAATATTAGCGACTTCAAAACTTGGAGCATTTTTAATTTAAATAATTTTGATCAAGCAGAAATGCACATGTGTGTCCCTTAAGATCAGGTCGAATTGATCTGACTCAATTCAACCAGTTATGCTTTTTACCCCCATTTATTTCTCATTTATTTACTTTATTAGTTCATCTTTTTAATAATGCAACAAAGGGTGCATCGTATGGTCTGGTAGATGCATACATAATTAAAGCTAGTATCAGTATCACAAAACATGAACGCAAGAGTCATTGTTTAACTTACCCATAAATAGTATGTGAACTGGAGTGCAAAAATGGCAATGCCTTCATTATCATAACTTCCAGCGACAGAACGACTTATATAACCAGGAACAATAGCAATAAAACAACAGGCAAACAAGCCAGCACCTGCTGACCAAAGCTCTTTCGTTAATAAATAAGTAGATATTGCAGTTAGACCGCTGAAAAGAGAAAGAAAAATTATGATAATTGTGTGTGATCTGAATCTAGTTGAATGGGAAAATTGGAATTTGATTATTCAACCTAAAAAATTCTGTTGTATTTCAACAATGAGAAAAGCGTGATTTGATCGATTCTTTGGACAAAGGAAGGTAGAAAATTGTCTTTTGTTCTGAAAATTTGGAGTTACGAACATAGCAAAATAAAAATTCAATACGCTTTTTATCTAAACTAGGTACATTTTTCAGCTGCAATCTTTGAACCGTCCAACCCCTGGTTCATTTGACATGCTTTGGCATTTCCATGCGGAGATATTTATGAAACATTACTATAAGCAGAAGTCCCAATGACTTGATTTTGAGTTTTTTGGCACTCATGTTCTCTGTTCAATGGACAGTCACAAACGAGTTTGGAAAAGTGCTTTCTTTGTCCACAAAACATACCTTAAGAGCTTTGAAGAAGAAAGCAGTAATTTGTAACTTTACTTACCTAAAAATAGGTGCGAGAAACACACAAATATCTCTAATGTGAATAGGAATGTTTAAGGAGTGTAGTATGTAGTGAATACTACCGGAGGTAATCATCAAACCAGGGTAGACTGTGCCTCCGACAATTCGTCCCAGAGGATACCAGGCCCGCTCGTCGAACCAATTGAGGAAATTGTAGAATCCATGTTCGACCATATAAGCAGTTGCTCGATAATTGAACCTGCGAACGAAAACAGCATTTATTAATATCCTTGAAAAAGTATGTACACTTGAAAATTTTCAGAAATCATTGATGGAATTCTTTATGATTGTACTTAAAGTATTGATATTTCTAATTAAGTAGCAGCGTTTCGTAGGGTGATGCAAGACGGGATACGCTCAAAGAGATGGGCAGCTACCTTTATATGTAGAATGTTTCACTACTTGCTTGTGGTAGTCGTCACTGCATGATAAAAGCCCTTGTACAACCTTTCGGTAGAGCTCACTTATAGCATGCTGAAACAAGGATTGATTCCTGCTGGAATCAACGCTTATCAGTGATATCATCTACGTGCGTAAATTAACAAGCTACCATTGTGCGGATATGCGACTGAGTTGGGAGATTTTCCAGTCAGAAACAGACTTTTGTCTCAACATGCATTCAGGAGCCCTACAAAGGTTGAGGCTGCTTACGTAAAAATCATCCTTCAGTTTCATAGCCATAAGTGGCACCTTAGGATTAATGAATTTCTAATGAGAAATTAGGCTGCATTTATTCAAATTGCGAGAGAAAATAGAACTTCTCGGTACAGTGAGAAGAAATTTGTCTTAAAATGTTTTCTAATTACCGCACTTGCATCTTTCCCACTGATTGTGATTGCGCTGCTGATAAGAGCAGAGCAGATGCTGCGTTGAATTTGAATTACTTTAAGGTTAAGAGTCATTATAAATGTGCGTACGAGAGCTGAAATTACTTTCTAAACGTAACAAATGTTCATTAGCCAGCAGTTCAAATGATCTAAGCTCGAAGAAGTGACCTCGATGTTGATAATAAACAAAAACTAATTAGCTATCCTTACCATGGATCGAATTCATGGATGATACTTTCAAAACGAATGACGGCGAATAATCGGCTGGAAAATCCTGAGACCCATGCTAGGAAAAGGATCGTGAACGTGATTAAACTTTTCCAAGCGGCGGAGTTAGAAAGAGGAGCTTGCATCGTGAACGAAAGTAAGTTCCTACAAAAAATTCATTGACAGAGGGGCGCACGGAAACTTGCACCTAACACAAAACAACTGGGAATAAATGATTAAAACTTATTCAAATTCGATGGATAGAGCGAAATTCATCGCATTTTGACGCGGTGAACTTCCATTCTTGCGGAAAAAATGAAGGAACACTGATTTCTAAGCCGGCAGCCCGGTGCTTTCGATAAAATAACCTGAAATTCCTGACAACAACTTCCACATCTGCCGTTCTGCCACTTCACCCGCACTTTACGAAGTTGCCAACACGTACAGATCACCAGCCAATCAGCGCATGGCTCGTTACCCCGGGCATCTCTCGTTAGTGCTTGCTATGCACTAGCACTAGTGATTCTCAAATTGTTTGATAAAACCGTGAGAAACTGCACACGAGTTCATTCGTCATGCAACTAGACGAAAACTTAAAAATCATGGGCGTTGAAGTAATGAAGAAGAGAAGCACGAGGCGAGTACATGTAGGCCGTAGAAAAAAAAAAACTCTGGGGTAATAAACTTGCCCGCTGCGGCGACGCGCATGTAGGGCCGTCAATAGTGCGACAAGAGGTGTTTGATAACAATATAATCAATAACCATTAAAGTGCTCAAATTATTCAGGATACAGAGTGCATTGCCATTGTTCCAGTATAATTCAATAATGGATGGATTCGGAAATACCTCACGCAGTATTTCACTTCGATGTAGCTCTCTGGTCTGGTGCGCGCGTGTGAGGGGCGGGGCGCGCCGTGTGAGAGTCTTTTTAGAGCTTTTCATCATTTCTCACGCTTCAATAAAACATTTTATGTCTTGACACCCTGTATGAGTCATCAAAACATTGACGAATGACATCCAGCGCAGGGTACGCTTGAGCGAAGATTCTATCGAATCTTGAACCTCGTGCCTTAGGGTTCATTGACCCCTCTGCAACCAGAAAGTCTCAGTTCGCCTTCAAATGAAGGGTTATGCCAACCGCCCTACCCGCCACTCGCACTCAATGAAGTTCTTGTCCTTGTCTGATCAAGCATGACTGCATTTGAACGTTGCAAAATTTCATTGCGGCAGGGGCGCAGAGAGTTCTTTGCCTTCCCATTTTCCAACCATTTTAAGTACCCCGTTTCCTTTAGAAATTCCACAAAAAAGATCTGTCCGGCTCTGTTCGAAAAAATTGCCATGATGTTGCGAAAAACACGTGATTCGAGCTGCGATTTAGCGAAAAAACGCAATTTCCGCCGCAATTTTGCAGAAACAACGCGATTTTTCCGACTTTTCCATCTACCTAGAATCACCGTTATCAGGGCCAATCCATTTTCACACGCAATTCGGCGCCGCGCCGCGCGCCGGTCGCGTGGTTGAGAAGTTTTGGCACCCCTGCATATTGCGGCCTTTTTATTCCTTGCATGCGAAGGGTTCAGAATTTAATTAGAAATTTTGGCCGACGTTTTGGAGTTCAAAAACGAACTATAAGTACGTCAGGTGCTCGGAAGGTACTAATCCTATCCTATATGATCAACTCCGATTCATTGTATCAAAAGTACCTAAGTACTAACTTCACACTCGATTTTTCAACCTTATGACCCATCCCTCTGGCTTCCTGAGTTTTTTTTTTTTTTTTTTTTTTTTGTATGATACACCCGGGGGATACTGCGGCCTTAGAAGGGATCTGAAATTGGAAATGAGAGTTCACTGATCGTGGACCAATCCCATCTCCCTCACTTTTGGCTCCAAGACTAGATGTCTAGATGTCCAGGGGAGTCATAAGTCATTTTTGGGTCCAAATAAGTATTTTTTCGAATTTATCTTATACGAATTCTACATACCTACCCTCAGCTGCAATTCCAGACCAAGTTTATTTAAAATCTGATCATGAGAACTTAAAAAAGGTTTTTTTTTTTTTTTTTTTTTTCAGAACAATGTTCATCGGCCTAAAGGTTCACTTTCCTCAGGATCTAGGTTCTGCATGGATTTTCAAAAACTTGTTTTTGTTTTTTCTTCAAATTTCGATTTTCAGAATTTCAAACAATCCTATCGTCTAAAGCTAGAAAGTCTTTGGAATCGAACAATGTTTTTGTTTTTTGAAAATCCATCCAGTAGAACTTGAAAAAAGAGTGGGTACCTTAGCATTGGTAAATTTGACATAGTGAAGATGAGGACTGATGGTCATGACTCCCCCGAAGATATAAAACTGGAAATTCGTCCTACAATACTGATAGGTACCTACATTGTTATGCACTCAATCTATTGACAGAATGAGTTTGAGTCTATTCGGTGGAGTTTTAAGGTGTTTTCAGAGTGGATTTTTTTAGTTTAACTGAAAGCAGTCTAAATATTGGAGTTATTTACTTGTGGGAAGATGTAAGAAAAACATGCATGTTAGTGTCTCTCTTCATTCCAACATCAGAATTAAAGTTTCAATGAATAGCTGTACTTATATTATACCAGCTGATTTTTTTCTCTAACCATCATTATAATTATAGGCATGAAAAAATTACGAACATCAAAATCTTGCTAAAAATTTTCAAGAAGTAATATTAAATATTCATCAATTCAGTTAGTAGCTGCTCTTCCGTCAAAAATAAAGCTACCTTTTAAGAATGCAGACTCGATGTCCTCAAGGATGCAAGAAAGCTCCTGTTTAAAGAGGTCTTTAACAATAGTGTTGATGAATTCATTGGAAAAAATTATATGAGCCATAATTGGTAATTAAAATGCTATTGCATTAATCGTTCGTTTAATTTTTTTTTTTTTTTCACTGGCACCATTGTTTCCTTGATAATAAGAGACTTTAGAGTTATTTTCTAAAAATAAAAAGAAATAAAAGAATCAAGGGGTAGGATTGAAATATTTCATCAACAAGCAAAGTACAAACAACAGATTTACTAATTCAATTTTTTTTTTTTACAGTAAAATTATTTTCAAATCAAACGAAACAAGTTTAAAGATAAAAATTTGTTTAAAAAAGAAAAAGAAAAAAAGAAATTCCAAGTAAAAAATAATAATTTTACAATGAGTTAAAAAGTTTTAGGTACTTACTACAGCGAGGATTCGAGGTTAAAAAAAAATAAAAAAATCAGTAGGCATTGACACACGAACAGATAAAATATGAAAACATTGGTGTGAAAAAGTATACGAACTTTAACATCTGAAAAAATAAAAACAGTACCTTTAAGGTACAAGAGAGGTTTATAAAATACTTATACTGTCATCCCAATGGTTCCCCTTATTTTCTTCTTCTATTGAGAGAGAGCAAAAGAGTTTCAATGTTTTCGACGCTGTCAGTGTAAATTTTCGGTGATAAACCCAACATTTTGATGGTGAAACTGCAAAAATGTGTATTTCCATTAAGCTGCTTCAAAATTTCCGCTTCTATTTAATTTTTTACAGGGTGACCAAACCAACATCGCTGCTTGAAATTTTTATAGATTGTTCTTCACATAGAGAGGAAAAATTATCGAAGTTTTCAAGAAATGAAATTGAGTAGTTTCCCATGCAGAAAATAAAGTATGACAAGAAGTCTGCAAAGCTTCAAACGTAGATAAACGTTTCTGCAGTCAAACCATCGATTTACAATGAGTTCTTCCCTGATGACAATGATTCTTTGGCTAAATTATTTTTCCAGAAAATAATGAATAATGATCACCGAAAAAAAAAAAAAAAAATTAGATACCAGTGCATATTCATGTTTGCACAAAGTCTCTTTAAAAGCAATGGTCTTTCTGATCTTTAAGACAATAAAATTTGAAAATCTACTATAATAATGGCATTGTCTTAATGATTCGAGTGAGAAAAACATTACAGTAAGATGAATATAGACTAGCAAATGGACAGCTTGAAGCAAACCAGTCACTTTTAAATTGAGAATTATGAGAATGCTGTAGTGTGGGACTGGTGACATATGCTAGAAAGGACTCTTCAAAACCACCCAAGGTTCTATGCAACTCCACAGCCACTTCGGTGTTTTTAATCGCTGACTTGTTTGGTGCTGTTTCTACTTGAGCACAATTTAGAAATAGGTATAAAGTAAAATCTGCAAAAATGTCAAAACTTCAATGTGATGTTTATTGTATAGAATTATCTCAACTCCTGCTTTCATACAACTGAGAGTAACTCGAATTTCTCTACTTAGCAGATATGCTTTTTTTCGACAAGCCCTGGTTACAACTGGTTTGCTTAGTGCTATCCAAATAATATTTTAAAAGTTCAACTATGATGGATTTCCTTGACTTAAAAATAAACACATGCAGGCGAACTGTACCAAATAAAATATACTTCCTATGCTCATTGAAACAAGTGAATTTTATGCTTTGTGATTCATATCTGAAATACTTAGAAATGAAACTGAATGATTTTCCATGTTCCAAAAGTATAAAAAAGAATTCAATTTGAAACAAAAACAAGACAAAAAAAAACCATTGATTCAAAAAATACAAATCTTGATGAAAAAGCTTATTGGAATGTTGTTGTTAAATCAAGTTATCAAACAAAATTTTTTGTTGCTGTCTTATTTTATTAAAATGCAAATTCTATTTGGACTTTGAATCGTAATACGTACATAGACAAACCGATGGAAAATTGAAATTTTGATGTCATCAAGTTGACATACATTACTAATCACTCACATGAAGTAGCAAGTACAAGAAGCTACACAAGAAGTCAAATTTCCAAGATATTCATACATTGTATCAGATTCTTCTTTGTTTCATTGAGGATGTTCTTGAGTTTCATGAAAGAAAGTAATGAAGACGCAAGTTCATTAGTAAGTTCATTTAGTTTCACCACTGAATTGCTGCAGCAAATAAAATTGAACTTTCAATTTCTCTACTCTTCATAAGATAATGGAATGTATGACAAATTACAAACTTAATAAATTAAATATACAAGGCAGCAAGCCATACATTAAAACTAATGAGATGGTTCATAGGAGATAATAAATTATTTTTGGAACTTAATAATGCTCTCCTCCAGTAACTTTCATGAATCTGGCCAAAATTAAGAGGGAAAAAGAAGCGATGCAAAGAGCAAAAAGTAAAATTCGTGAAATGAAATGAACAGGACAGAGGGTATAAACCACTACATCAAAAATAACACTCTGTTCATAACAATTGGGAAAAGAGAAATTCTGTGAAACAGCAAAATTATAATTCATTCCGACTCGCCTTGGTTGAAATTTTTGTGTCAGTTTTTTCCCCCTAGTTTTTGACTATTTTCAAAGGCACATCGACATGTTTGATGATTACATTTTTTGATGAAACATGTTACATTGGAAGTTGAAAATTAGAGTCAAATAATGTGCTTGTGAAATCTTATCACAACTCAAAGCAAAAATGTTGAACAGGAAACAGATGATCGCCTATACTACTTGAACGATTAAGAAGTGACCTTCGATTTTCTCGAGTACTTCCTGATAGCAAAAACACTTCTTTTTTTGTTCATTTGCATTGCACATTGAAAACATTTTACTACAAATTCGAAAGTAGAACTCCTTAGGAAGCGAAAACATGCATTGAATCGAATATACAAAAGCACTTTCATGATTGTATCAAAAGAGAATTGAAAGTTCAAACAATAATTTAAGATTTCTATTCAAACACCTCAGAGGAAGGTTCAAGCTTTAGTGGTAGAGGCTATTCATGATGCACACACTGAAAGTATCATTTTACGGAAGACAATTTTATACAAAACGAGGGTTGATTACATACTAGGACCTGCACGGATAAAGGAAATTTTCTGAGCAAGGTTAAAGCTTGACTTCTTTTACAGACATGTTGACAAGTTTACAGAACAGCAACAACTAAACTGTTTTTAAATGCAACCGAATGAGTCTTGAGGCTTTGCTTCCACAGGTAGAGTAGCATTGGTATAAACCCTCATCATAAAATTTCCTGAGCAACTGATCAGCTTGACAATTCTTTTTTACAAGTACTTCCATGCAGATCATGTCACAGCCAAGCAATTGAAGGCGGAAATTTTTCTTCTTTGAGTAACTGAAACAATATTTTTTTGAGAACTCGAGCACTAGAATCCAAGTTTTAAGAAAAATGGAGGAAGGTTTGTCATTTGGTACGCGTTCAGTTTTTTGAGCCCAATTTCAAAAGGTATTTCTTAGACACTTACACTTTTGGGGCTCAGAAGAAAGAATGTATGCTGAATCGCACAGTTTTCCTTGTTCTTGAAACTTTGATTTTGGCGCTTGGGCCTTTAAGAAAAATATTGGTTCAATTACGAGATTATTCAAAAGTAAATGTACAATTCAAGAAAATATTACAGGAGACTCCACCAAATTAAACTCAAAAATTCAATGCGGTGGCTGTTTGTTGAGGAACTCAGGTCAAAGGAACTATAATTAGGGCGCTTGAAGCACACACACACACACAAAAAAGGGAGGGAAACAGCATAGAAAATACAAAATTCATTTTTTGTCATCCAAGTTGACAGATCTTGGTTACATAGGAATAAAATGTATGATGATTCCTCAACACAATGTATCTTCCATCCCGTCTACACAATGAGTGCCCCTACCTTACTTAGTTACATGACCTGTAAATAATTCTCTGTGAACCTTTAGTTTTGTCTTAGGCTTTTTCTTAGTTTGGTGCATGATCCTCTCACCATTAAAACTAAAAAACCTTAACTCAACAGAAAAGTTAAATTCCTTAAAATTCAATTTGGTGGAATTCAATCACTGTCCTCCATATCCTTTTTTCCTTCCTTCTTTTTGTTTAAAGAAAAAAAAAGGTTATTACCTTCAGAATTTTCACATCGAAGAAACATTGAGTGTACACTACACAATTCGGAGATACCTAAAATCAATTATCACACAATGATAAGAGACCTTTGTTCCATGATTTTTTTTTCCAAAAAAACTTGGATTACAGATTCGGAGTCACGAACAGCTTCAAACTAAATCTCTAGGGAGAAAATCTAAATCACACTCTTATTCCTCAATATTTTGATGCTAAAGCTTAAGAATCTTACCATGCCTCAAAGATAAATTTTACAGAAATGGGAGAGCTATGAAATGGAGAATTAAAAGAAGAATTCACTTCAATCATTATCAAAGTCAGATTGAGTGTGCTCTTCATGCTGATAATTAGAACAAAAATATCTGATTTCAATCAAGCTAGATATAAAAGAAATATTGAAAAATTTGAGGGGAAAAAAAAGTGCAAGAACATCAAGCGTGGCTCACTGTGCATCAGCCTTCACGACAACGAAAAACAAGAGAAGGGTCCATCCAAAAACTTTAAAAGACTGCAAGTTAGGTTCATGTATTTCATTTTTTCCCGCACATTTTGTGAAATGCACATATTGCACATTTTTGAGAACATGTAACCATCGGTTTCATGAAAATTTACTTGGAATTTACATATTCGTTTGGGATACTCCTGAAGGACTCAGAGTACAGTTTTATGACTCATATTGCAAAAATTTGCACAATATATGATACCTTTCAGACACTGAATAAGAATTGCCACAACAAAACGAGAAACAGAAACAAAACAGCTAGCAATGTTTCATGATTGAACACTTTTAGGATTTGTTTTATTCCTATCATTTGGCAGTTATTTCAATTTACGAGATAACTTGGATTGGTTTCATGAGGCAGCTCAAAAAAATATAAATCCTCAAAACCAGATTTATCTTTGAAAAAAACTAAGTTTCCATCATAAACTTACAACATTCTTACAAACTTATTCCATTCTTTGATTGCAATATACGACCACAGAGTACATTCTATCAAAGAAGATTGCTCTGTAGTATCAAAGAATCTTTTCTCAATTGATTCGCTAGTTTGAATCCGAACATTTTTGAAAGTTATCTTTTCATTCCAAGAATATTAGAAGGAAAATCTTTGTATTACTATGATGGGCTATCTCAGGAAAAAAGAGAAATAATTAAGATGACCCATGTCTTAGTTTTTGACAGACTATTAGGATACTTGAATTGGAATAATAATAACAGAAAATCCACCCAAACTTCTATTAGATTACTCTCTTTATAATGTTCCGAGCTTTTGGAGCACCTGACCTTCATCAAATTGAGGTTGCAGAATTCAAATAGTTTAAAATTCGGCACCTATCTTAAACTAGATTGTAAGGCAAATTGAAATTAACTCACAGTAAAAGGACCCTGCACAGAGTACTAAGAAATTTAGTGCTGACTGAATTTTGTTTAAATATTTGATATGATGTTCTTCAGGACTCTCTGAGCACGATGAGACTTTAAAATCAAACTTTATACGTGTCAATGTTAAGAAAAGCAGGACTGGAAAGTGAATTTCTTAAATGGTGTCATCAAACAATACTGAAAATCAACCAACGTCTAATTCTTTGGTTTTCTGTGCAAAGTCCCTTTATCATTGAAACAAAACTTGTGAAAACCTATCAACTGTGAGTTACAAGGGTTTACTACATCGCAGTATAGTCAAGTTGAACATATAGTTGCTTTATACCAACTGATGCAAAGATTTTATGAGTATGACTAACTAAATATTTAGGATCAGCAGATTTAGAAACCTCTAATTTCAAAGCACCTACATATACATCACTACACAACGTCCAAAAATGCGGTTCTTGTATACTGTATACCCCTGCCAACTGCATAACTTTTTGATAGCACTGGGGTAATACATGATCTAACGCTATAGGTGTTCTTTGCATTAATACACAGTAGGAGTCTTTAATTAAAGAATAAATACTAAGGAAAATTAAAAGAGCGATGCAAATAGAGCAGATTGGATCAGCGATCATCCACCCAAACCACTGCATCAGAACAGTAGAGACAATTACACCTACACTCCCAAGAGTATCGGCAAGGACATGGAGGAAGACACCTTTCATAATTTGTGAATCATTTGAATCATGCGAATGTCCGTGCGAGAAGTGACTATGACCATGGTTTGCATCATGGTGATTGTGACTATGGCCACCAGAGTTATGGTTGTTCATAGGAGCGTAGCCGTGGGAATGACCGTGGCCACCACCGCCATGTGAGTGGCCATGCCCATGTTGAAAAGCGTAGATACCAACTAAATTAACTAGGAGCCCTAAGACAGAGACAATGAATAACCTCTCATGCTTAATTTCAGGTGGCTCAATGATTCGCTCAACAGCTTCTGACATGATGAATAATGCAATGAATATTAAAAACAAACTCTGTGTGAAGCCAGTCAGAACTTCGATACGGACATAGCCATATGAGAATTTTTCGTTGGCACGCCATTTCATTATAACGGAGGCTACAAGACCTAAGATTAAACCTAGGCAATCAAAAAACATATGGAAGGAGTCGGAGATGAGGCCGAGACTGTTCGACCATATTCCATACAATAGTTCAACAAAAGCAAATGAAATGTTGAGGAGGAAAAATAGGAATAAGTTACGAGAATTTTTATCAGAGAAAATAAGTCGAATATACCCTTGTAGCTTTTCTTTTGCTTGATAACTGAGCGAAGGGCCTGTGTCCCGATGTGATAATGGCAACATCTTTGCAAGAGTATAAAACCAGTAATCTGAAAAAAACAAAGAAAGTGTCATCAATTTGCTAAAAATGAAAGTAATATAATCTCACACAGTTGAATAAAATCGCTTTCCAAGAAACAAGAGCTATGATTCACTCATCACACATCATTTCCCAACTTGTTGGGTATTAGATGTAGCAGGGCACAAAAAGTCATAATGCAGCATCTTGCTATCTTTATACTTGAGTACTGATCATTCCAGCTCCCATCTTAAATCATGTCTGTACCTAAGATTCTGGGAAAATTGTTTCATTCTATTTGGGCTCAATGAGGTTTTTTTTTTCATTCTTCCGGTCACTTAACTACATTCTAAAACTGATTGATAGGTGATGACGTCACACCCGATGGAGCCACTGTCGATCGATTTATCATCCTGACCACTCCATTTAAAGGTTGGAGCTGACCTTTGGTACAATCATTCTTCACACTCTATCACATTCTTTGACCGTTTGTAGGTAAAACCAAACATCCAGAACAATAATAATGATCAAGAATGATTTATCGGAGGCAACTATGTGCCTAGATGAAGATAGATGAAGTACCACCAGTGGATTTGCAGATCAAAGATTAAAAAGAATCACTCACAAGATTTTTCCAGATGTAAATTTACTATTCTACAGAGGTTTGAACAACATATGCATTGACTAAATCAAGTCAAGAAACTGAAAATTCAAAGGTAAACTCCCAAAATGTTGACTGGTGCCATTACTGAGTCCTCCGGTGATAAAAATGTTGATTATGATAGGGCAGATTCACTAATTCGGAAAGCACCCATATGGGACCTTCAAAACAGTTTTATTTTTGTTTGCCTTGGTCCTTCTTCAACTTAGTATCCAAAAATAAGTTAAGATAACTAAAAAATGTGGAGCAGCCCTCGACTTACCAAAAAGAATTACTGTTTCCGTTAAAAGGTTTCAGAGGTCAGTTTTGGATCATCTCATTTTTAGTTCAGTTTTCTGCGGAAGAGATCAGAAACCAGATTCATTTGACAGTGCAACATTAATAATTCAGTTAAAAATTTCTCTTTGTAAATCTAACTTCAGCTAGGTATAAATGAAACCCACTGAAGAGCGAAAGAACTCAGTGCAACCTTCTTGGAGATTACAATATGTGAAGTAGACATTTATAATACGGCAGAGAATTCCAGAGGGAAATCATGTAAATGCTGCAGTCTGAATAAAAATTGATGAGGATTATTTCCCCATAAAACTAAGAGGCAGCTAAATTTTTACTTACAATAATTGTCAGCAACCATTTTTAATTAGAGCACTATTCTGAGATGAATACAGTCAGGAAAAACTCAGACTGAGCTGAACAAGCTAAATCCTTGAAAGCTGATAGCTTCATTAATTGTAAACAAATCTGAAGCAAGGTTACTTATCTCATCAATTCCAAAAAGAACAGATAAAAAGTGCATGCACACAAAAGGATAAAGGAAATAACTTCAACACTGTGAAAAATAAAAGATGGTTCTTATCTTTCACAGAATTTATGTGTTAATTAAATGTACTAAGGTGGGCATATTTTCAAAGTCCCCATCCGTAAACCCTGGACAATATGGTTCACACTCATTCTCGACCAGGAGCTCAATTTATTTTCCGACATACAGCAGGTCCCAGTAGCACTGATGACTGCAGAATTAGGAAGCTTTTGAACCTTATCATGAAGCAAATGACAAGAGTTTTCATTAGGTAACAATTAAACGATGCTGAATTGGTAACAGCATGTTGATCCATCGTCTACAGTCCTACTGTGTGGAAAATGTAAGTAAATGTCGGAGCTGAAAAACGTGATTTCATTAAAATACGCAGAAATGAGCATTAATTATAATAAAACTTACAAACTGATGAGAATTAATGGCTGGAAACTTCAAAGATTTGTTCTTTATCATTGGCAAAAGCTTCTCCTGCTTGGTTAGGTTAGGTTCACCGTACCGTTATCTCATCAATAATGAAATTCTTTACCGCCACCATCTGCAATTATATCAATTCTTGCTGATCTGAGACTTTAGACAGTACCAACTTAGGTAAAACATTAGAATATAGTGTTTTAAATAAATGGAAAAGTAGGAATGAAATTTGCCGACTGACAGAAGTTGAGATTTGTTTACGTACACGCGAATGATGACGTCACGGTTGTACCCTCCAATCTCTTTCACGGGGTAAATCCACACTGTTGTCACATTAATTCCCAACTACGCATTTTTTTTCCTGATAATCCTTCCTCACCAGGGTGGCATGAAACGTATGAGAGAAATGAAAGATTGGAAATTTCAGTGAAATATTTCATGAAATTTCACGAGACTGTGAAATTTAACATATTTTTTCAGGGGTAAGAGTGTGCTACCCGCACTACACACAAAAATAGAGTCACAATTTTTACACTTTACGAAACATGAAAAGGAACCGGCTTTTCTCAATATCTTTTAAAAATTTCTGAAATTTCATGAAATATTTCACGTGAAATTTCAAGATTTTATTTTTTCATGCAATATTACCACCCTGCTTCTCACCCCGCCTCATGCATGATGAGCAGGGGAAGTTTGCTAATATAGTTTTCGGTACCGTATCTATGATTTTGTGTTTCACGTCGTGCAATAATTGATTTGATCACCTTGTAGACCAGGTTCGAGGGACACCTTACTGTTAAGGGAAAACCCAGACCCACAAAATTTTTGAAGAAACTTCGAGATTGTCATACAATAATGGTGTTCTTGCATGTGTCAGGAATTTGCGATTTAAGTTATTGTTTTAGGTAAAATTTCTCAAGAAACACTGGAGCACGTACCACTGGTTTTCTCCGAAATCAATTCCCAAGCTCACTGATTGACTTTCCTACAATCTTACATCTCAATGATCGCATTTTATCAACTTTAAAATAAGTAAGTATCTGTTACCTCCATGTTTCTAAAATTTTATTCGAACTATCGAAGCAACAAGTTCAGTTTAGCAGTATAAATCTCTCCGAGACAACAGGACCGGATTTATAACTAGCTACCTGCCGCCCATATGGGCCGCCTGTATTTTGCCGCTCCCGTCTCATTTCCGTTTTGAAACATCATTAAGATCTGATAAGATCCATCACATGGATGTGTCGGAGGGGGGGGGGGGGTGTCAACATTAGAAAAAGTTCATGGAACATCGTGCGAAAGTTAAGATCTCCCTATCTCCCATCTCTGTGTGGACAGGGTCTTCATTGATGAGAAATAAACGAAAAAATTATGCAAGAACAAACATAAATGTAGTTTAATAGTTTTAGCTTCCGCCGCGCCGACCGCTCTGTGCATAGCGCAATGCGTGTAGTGTTCCTCTATTCTTGAAGGCGCTAATATGCGTTTCGCACCGATCGCCGACCGCATATTATGTTTGACGCAGTGCGTGATGTATTCATGCAGTCTTGTAGGCGCTAATATGCGTTCATTTGGTTTCTCTTTTAACGCGAATAATTAAAGGTGCTATCTCCTGTATCACTGGAGGATGACAAAATTACTACATTTTTACTCTCAGGAAATGAGAGATTTTGTCGCCTCTTCTCGTTGGTAAATTTTTCTACACCTGACTTTTTTTTTTTTTTTTTTTTTTTTTTTGATCCCAACATTTATAAAATCACACAATTTACCGCCATGGGCCGCTACCAATAAGGCTACCCGAGTCACAAGTCAGCAATTTTCAAAATGTTCATCGTTTAGTTTTTACGTTCTCTCAGGTTCCATTTGACACTAACAAGTTTTCTTCAATCTGACGATTAGAACGCTGTCAGCTGCCACTATAGTAAGCGTAGTCAATTAATAGCACCCATCCTCTGTTTGAACCCTCTTTTTTAATAATTGGGAATTTTCAAATCGTGCTCTTGAAAATGTTAATTTTAGCGGCTCTGGTGCTTGCACTAGAGCTGCTATTCCGGACGGTCCCAGCTGGGGAGTATCATTGGACCATGTTACATTGGAGAGACCGCGCGTTGGTTAATGGGAATCGGCGCCATTTTCGGCTATGTTCCTTGTCATGACTTTATTTTATTGCATCTTGTTTTATTGTTAGCCAATGCTATGTTGTGTAGTGTATTTTTGGAATCATGGTGATACAGTCAATAATTCAAAACTTGTCTGTGCTTTAATCTCGTGATGGAAAAAATGTACTTTACGTTCAAAATTTGAAAATTTGAATTTTAAAGTTTTCACGGTTAAGGAAGCTCCAACCACTGGGTTGGAGCTTCCTAGTCATATTACTCGATATCAGCTGATAACAAACAAAGGTTACCAAGGAAACCGTAAACGTCTAATGCCGTCTGCCCACGTAGCAAATGGGAGGCGAAAATGGAAGTCATCAGTGCATCGTTGAGTGTTGACGCCCGATCCCATTTTCAGACATGTTCGCACGTTTTGCTTGCAAAGAAAAAAGGCGGCAAATCAATTTTTATTATTGGACCAATGAGTGTTCTCCAATTTGAGTTTGTAAACATCGTGGTTTCTAGGTTAGGTTTTTGGCTGTGTGATAAATGATATTATGCCGTCTTTGATTTTGTTAAAATGACTCGATATATGTTATTTGATAAACGATTGGAGTTTTGATAAAGTAAGTTGATTTGAATTAAAAATTGTGTCCTTAAAAAATGGATGATGAGGTGATTTGGTTAACATGGGCATTTGTGGTACTTGCGGTGTATTGGGAGTTTGTATGGAAACGACGTGGCAGTAGTCCACACTTTTTACAAGAAACTATTTTGTACAAAGTTCTGTACAAATTTTACACTATTTATACAGTAATATAATACAAAAAAATTATGTACTTTATCACAACTCACATAGCTTCAAAACAAGATAGAAAATGATGGATGCTCAGCCCCGACACATCGATGATCGCGAAATTTGCGCGGCCCGCGCAATTTTCACGTTCAACACTCACCGATGCACTGATGACTTCCATTTTCGCCTCCCATTTGCTACGTGGGCAGACGGCACACAACTACCGTGGCCATCGGGGCGATTATTGAAATGACATCGACTCTATGTCGCCCATAGAGTACATAGAGTCGTAATGTAAATGGGAGAGCTGGCGCCATGTTCTGCTCGACGAGTTCCGAGCCCGGTGTGCGCCGAGTTCGGGTCACTTTTTCGATACATTTTCGATCCAAAATGGCGGTGTGGAATACATGGTGATTCCTATCTCCTTCGTTGTTGTTGTTGTTGTCATCGGATGGCCGGGTACCCGTGTATCGCAAACAATCGATTATGTATCGAAAAAGTGACCCGGCGTCACACAGGAGTCTCGGAATTCGGGACATGGAAAATGCTTAAAAGTGGCGCCAGCTCTCCCAATTACATTACGACTCTATGTACTCTATGATGTCGCCGCTTACGACAAGACATATAGCCCTATCTTAACCGTGTAATATATCGCAATTCGATATTCAAAACCATTACCTACAATTTCAGATATAAAAATGCAAATTTTTTGCAGCCTCGTTAAACGACTTATCAACCATGCATTCCAAAGTTTCTTATCACAGGGCTGTGAAAATATACAATCTAATAAATACAAAATGACCAAATATCTAAAAATACAAAATTTCAGTTACAGTCAGTTTCAGTCTTATTGTTGCACAAACTAGTTATTTGACAAAAAAAGAAGATGATCACTCAATTGAAAGAAATTGGCGCCCAATCACAACGACAAGTTAAAAAAAATACTGTGGGAGAAATTTTTTAGGATGCGGACCTCCAAAGAGCCTTCAAAATTAAAAGTATACAACAAGTGATAGTGCCATGCATTCTGCATATCAAGGGCCAATACACATTTATACACCGGCTACGTAAATCTGCTAAGTTACAAAACATGAATCGACAGTTGTCGGATTGTACATCAGTGACAAAATGTGTCTAGGCCCTCATTCTTGACTACAACTACTGTCGCCAGAGCCGCTCTCCGACGCGAATGCGTTGGAGCTTCCTGCTTGTTTTAACATTCGTGCGCCTTTTTCCGAGATCTAATCAAGATATTTTCAATTTTTTATTTTTGTTAGATTACCGATTCTCTGTAAAAAGCGTCTGTCCCACGCAAAAAAACTGGGGCTTTCAAACTCGCACTAATGGGCCTGTTGCAAACTTTTGCTAGAGCAAAACTAAGAGTTGTTTCTTATAGATAATGCCTCAAAAATCACGATGAGCGCATCGGCAAACTCTGAAATGCACTCATAACTTCACAAACTGCGTAAGAAATTTGCGGTTTTTTGAGCTTCCCGCTTCAAAAACGATACTACGGCACAGGTGAACATTTTGTAAGAGGAGTCGTTCCATTGTCGGCAATAATCATCATAGCCGCCGACGCCAATCCGCCAAAACACGTTTGATAGGACGAGATAACACCTGAACTGGATTAGACCAGATAACAATCGGTGTGTTAACGTTCATATTTTCCACGCCCGAATTGATTGACCTTGAACTCTCCTTGAATTACGCGCGGAACTGCGTGCAAGCGTCGGCCATGATGAATATCGCCGACGATGGAGCGACTCCTCTAACAAAATGTTCACCTATGCCGTAGTATCGTTTTTGAAGCGGGAAGCTTAAAAAACCGCAAATTTCTTACGCAGATTGTGAAGTTATGAGTGCATTTCAGACTTTGCCGATGCGCTCATCGTGATTTTTGAGGCATTATCAATAAGAAACAACTCTTATTTTTGCTCTAGCAAAAGTTTGCAACAGGCCCATTCTTCAATGTCTCAGTCAATTCTGCACGAAATTCCTTGAAAATCTCAAGATCTGCTCTGTGATGTGTCCTGAACACATCGGTTACCATCAATAATCGCCCGGCCGACGATTCTTGAATGCAAGTCAACAGTTCCATCCATGTGCTTCTTTGAAGCCCCTCCTTTGTGCGTGGGACAGAAGTTTAACACAGACGAAAGCGTTTTTTCAATTTCGTACAGTTAAATATAGAGGTTGCCGAAGTAAAAAAAAATGCATTATTAGGTACTTTGAAAAAGTTCCAAAACCGGTCAAAATTTGAATTTCAAAATTTTCAAAGAATAGTTTGTCCATTTATGTTGTAGGTTACCTAAAAAAAAAAAAAAAAAAAAAAAAAAAAAAAAAAAAAAAAAAAAAAAANAAAAAAAATCGTTCAAATATCTTCAATGGTTCTGGAGAAAGAGTTACATGAAGTTATGAAGATTTACATGCTTCAAGCTTCAGCATAAGGGGACTACCCTAAATCCGGTCTTTGATAGAACAGACGGGGAAAAAGAAAGAAAAAAGCGAGGAAGAGAATGGTGTGGACAGCATGACGAGCGCCATTAGCCAGCTGTATGTTCAACAGTTTCCCACTATTTTTGGGATCTTAAGGGGAGAGTCCGCCAAGCGTTCTTTAATTACTAAGAGGAGTGCGACCTCGGACTCCGAAGTTGCGTTACGAAGATTTACATGGGGGAGGGGGGTAAAAAATACCGAAAAAGTTTGTGAACGCTCCCTTAGAAAATTAAAGTGCAATTTAAACATATGAGGACTTTTTTTAGGTCTACTGAAGTGAAGGTGGCCATGAAAGCTACCTCAGGGAAATAGTGTACAGCTATTTATCTAAAGGTCATTCAAATTTCGCTGGCATGAATCATTATTTTTTCTACCTCCCATGAGAGTCAGGGCCGTTCCAAAATTTTTATGGAACGCTCTAGGGATGAGAGGGGTTGGGAAAAGCGCCATGTCATTTTTTTCTTGCGTGTCATAAGATACGAGCCTATGTCAGATGTCACATTCGTTNGGGGGGGGGGGGGGGTCGCAAGGTCCCAAATTCAGCTTCGCGTATTTTATTGTCAACCCTTATGTCCGTCCAGCACGAAGGTGAATCGTTTGAGACCTGGAATACATTATTTACTAAATTTTGACACACATTCGGCAACATCGGTTACGGGACATGCGCAAGTGATAACAGATTGAGGTGTGACCGTTGGTTAGGATATTCACCGATAGGGGGCGTAGCGTTATCAATCCTTTCCCGTGATGCTGGATAGTGCCGCAAGGCAAGGGGTTCTTTCCAAGAATCAATCGGCAGTGCAAAAACAGCTGATCCAGCAGTGTACTCGCGTCCGTGCGCCGTGGTGTTACGGTGTGATGTGTGCGTCTGAAGCGTTTGTGAAAACAAGCGTTCTATGCCTCAAATATCCAGAAACGCGATCGAAATTTCGTCTCGTCTCTCGTGTTTTCGGGCAATCGCGAGGTGTTTTCGGTTTTGTGTGATCTGCTGAGTGGAATAATCATCTTTTCCCATCCCAATTACCAGTTTGGAAGCACCGGTAGTGGTAACTTTTCTTGCGGTGATAAATCACGGGTGATATACTAGGTTAAGTCATTCGATTTTCGGTGTGCATTTTCCAAGTGCGTCCTTAGTTTTGTGATATCGTAAGCAATTTTGCAATTTTGTGTTCTCCAAGTGTGACATCTGCAGCTTTCACCATGGCAGACGAGATTCTTTTCGACGAAGTCTACGAACTCTGCGAGATCATTGGAAAGTGAGTAAATGCCTGATAGAATTTGTACAACTTTTTGTTTACATTGAAATACTACTGTCTGTCGTACCCGCGCCGTTTGTCAACTCAACCACCTCCTCCCTGCTGATTTTGTTCGAATCTCAGATGTCTAAGAGGGTTTTCTAATTTGCCCTGGTTCAGAGATTTGATGATTGTTCCCTTTTTTGCATCGACAAACCTTATCAGTAAGAATGTAACACAGACTTCGCACATCAGAATGTTACGAAGCGTCTGAATGTCAAGCAGCCTTTTTATTAATGAGTTTGCATTCAGTCAGAAAGGATCTATTGCAAAATATCTTTTACTTGATCTGTTGACTCCAATCCCTTAACTACATCCATTCACTTTTGGCTGGAAGAAATGGTCTAGTTCAACCAGGTTCTTGATAAGTCTGATAGTGATTCCAGCACAGTTGACAATTTCAAGCATCTAGTCAATGGTTAAATATTTATTTACGCATGTGTTCATGCAAATTGTGTGACTTGCACCTTTAAGTTCCCTGCCTTTCTTGTCAGACTGTCGAGTTTGACTGAAGGAAAATGTGTGGCTTGAAATCGCTCAGATGTTCTAAATCTCCACACCATCATTCCCATGCGAGACACTATGTATCGTTTCATGCATGTTCAGTTGAAGCTACAGAGAAATGTTACATATGTCATCCACAAAATTCACGATGACGCCTTATGGTTCTGGTCACTAAAATCTGTAAGAACTGGGTATTTTATGTATTGATGTGCATGGGTCTATCTGTTTACAATTTCAATCTTCGGCAGGATTTTATGGCCAGAACTGCAAGGCACTGGGGTATGATTTTGTCCTCATAATGAGAACAATATTATATCTGACCAAATGTCAGTAAAACCCCTCATCAAGAGATATTTGTTAGAAGTGGCAAGTGTAAATCTTGGGTCAACATTGAAGATCTTAGAAAGTTTTCAGTTCTTCAAAATCTTCAACTTTTACCTCGCTTTAATCCACTGCGTAAGCTTTTACCGCAAAATTGATAACACTGATTGATAGATCCCTCAAACTCTTGCATGTAGAGAAATGAATATTATCTCAGCATCCAAATTTATATCATAACTGCAAATTCACAAGTCTACTCAATTTCATTGCTCTAGAGAAACTGTTGAATGTCTGTTTGTATGTACATAGATTGGCACAACTCATGGTACATGCTCTAGAGTATGATGTGGGGCATTAGATATATGGAAATTATTGTGCTTTGCAAGGCTCCTCTGTAAATTTTGCTTAGTAGTGATTTTCAATTCTAATTTTGGAGGAGGAATCATCAATATGCGTTTGTGGGTTTAATGACGCAAGATAAAATGATGTAAAGATATTACTAACTTCCTTGACAAGTCAAAAACGATTCACTTCTTAATTTGTGACAAAGTTTTGAAGAAATTTTTTTCATCATTTACCGATTAATTTAATATCCTGGCAATCAACAGAACCAATGCTGATTTATAAAGCACCTACCTAAACAAGTAGTTGTTTCGCAAATCATTTGCTATTTACTGAGCGCCATGTACCTTTCAATCATGGGTAGGAATTGTTGGTAAAATTTTCAAACCACAAACCTTGGTCATTGGCGTTGAAGATATCCTGGCTACCGTGTGGTTCAGTGGAAAAACATGCGTCGATCCTTAAAAGCCCCAGCGATTTTCCTTCTCTGTGCGAAATATCACAAGTGAACATTTTAAGGCATGATGTTGATTTGTACTCCACTCCATATAAAAATAATTCAACAGAGGGAATTTTAAAACCCCATACTTAAGTAGGGTACTGGAGTTTTTCTCTGCATGTACACTTCCTTAGTCCATAGCATATTCCCAAAAAATTAATCTTCATGATTCAGAATTCGGAAGTTTTCCACCGTCAGGAAGCTGTAAACTTCTCATATCTAAATGAGCCGTCGATCATCTGTTCACTACTCGACAAACAACTGTTTGCTTGTAACTTTGAGGAAGCAAGTAGATTGAAAGTAAGCGTAAATAAACATTATCCAAAGAATAGTGTGCTTCCTAGCTCTAAATAAGTAGTAAAATTTTAGTAAATTTATAATACCTATAGTGAAATTTTAATAAATTTATAATATAGGAAAATTTTAGTAAATTTGTAATGTAGGTAATAGTAAAATTTTAGTAAATTTATAATGTAGTAAAATTTTAGTAAATTTAGAATGTAGTAAAATTTTAGTAAATTTAGAATGTAGTAAAATTTTAGTAAATTTATAATATAGTAAAATTTCAGAATGGTGACTAGTACCTAAGTAGTTCTATCCCAAGCAATGTAAATTCCACGAGGTGTCTATAATGATACAATTTTCTTTGAGAAGGAGTGGAGGATATAAATATTAAGGAGCCCTCTTTTTCTCTCATAGAATCTTTGAAATGATAAAAATCGTCAAATCGGTTACAATGGCCAATGAAAGTTTCTTTATCACAATTTAATTTACCATATCTCAGTTTGAAAGTCCCCAGTTCAGTAAAATTCCAGGTTAACTTATATAAAATACGCAAATGATCAGTTCCTAGTTGACTTTCAATGTCTGGTATACAATACACCCTACAGCAGTGGGGATTCTTGAAAGTTGGCAACACATTTTTATCTCCATTTAAACGTATGTAAAACAATCGATTCTTGGCGAAGCAGCTTGGCTCACCTGAAATCGATATATTTTATGGATTTAAATGAAGGAAAAACAGTGTTGCTAACTTGCAAAATTGCTGCTGCCCTTCAGTGCTGAGGAAGAACGTCGTTTGACTATTCGAGTGTGCCGTATATCCCCCGATAACTAAAGAATTTTTGAGAAAAGTTATCCATATTTTTCCTTCAATTTTTCAAGTACTCCGGATCCCCCCCCCCCTTAAATTGTCCCCTTTTTCGACGTTTTTCAGAGCCTTTCCACATGTCCGGCAGCCCGGGCGCGTGATCGAGCACGCCTGCACCAGTGGCGTGGCGGGAATTGCGATGTATCGATTGTTATGCCATTTAAACCTATGGTAAAGAATCTATTATTAAGTTGGTCGCTGCGCACACCCTAGTTATCGATCCTTTTCCATAGGTTTAAATGGCCTGAAAATCGATGTATCGCAAAACACGCCACGCCACTGGCCTGCACCTTTAAAAATCTTGTTGGCTACCCGCTCATTTAACTATCCATCCGAGATACCAAATGTTGATAATTGAAGAACACTATTAATCAGTGATTTTTCTAGTTTTGGCAGTGGCGTGGCGTGCTTTGCGATGTATCGATTGACCTGCCATTGTAACCCATGGAAAGGGATCGATGAACAGGTGTTCGCAACGATCACCGTACTAATCGATTCTTTACCTCAGCCTCAAGTAGAGGAAATATCGAAAATCGATCATTCACGCCTCGCCACTGAGTTTTGGATGTGGTCAAGAGGAGCGTAACTTATTTTAGTGTATTTTCCGAAGGAAATACACTATTGCATTCTCCCATGATGTCGGACCCAGACCTGAGACATTGTGAAGAGCACCGATCNGCGGAGCGCCGGTTTTTTTACTGTTATACGGGAGGGGCGTCAAATTTCGAGCGATTGAGATTTATCTCATGAAATTGAATAAGTTACCTATAATATGACGTGTGAGCCTTAGGCAAATTCGATGAGTAAATAATAATCAAACTGTGGATTGGGCGGGAATAAGTACACGATCTGAAAATTTCATTCTCGAAAATCACATCCGAACTGTTAGAAAAGTAGGTACACTAAAACATCGTGTGTTATGTATATCATACACTCGGTTAACCTCAATTCGAATTTTTTGTGGCGGTTGGGTGTCGCAGAGCGCACAGAAGCGCTATAAGAGCGACTTCTTTGGGAAAGAAAACACATTGGATCTAGAGTCCAGACTCTCAAAAACATCGACAAGAAAAAATACTCTTGATTCAATCGGATTTTTGCTTAAATCAAGAACCAAGCCTCTTAATTTGAGCGGATTTCTTTTTGATTTCAGCAAAAATCTGATTGAATCAAGAGTATTTTTTTTGTCAATGTTTTCAAGAGTCTGCACTCTAGATCCAATGTGTTTTTTTTTCCAGTGTTATTAGTGCTTAGTAGTAGAATTTAATTTGTGGGAATTTTAAATTGATGCACACGAAACATATGTTGTTGCATCTTTATGAGTTGCCTTTGGAAATGTTGCGTGTACTCTCCGTATGTTCCGTGAAATTTTGATGAAGATGTCTGAATTTTGGGCCGTGAAGTTTCAAGCATGCGGGAAAATGAGGGGTTTTTACACAAAACTAAGAACGGTCTGCACCCCTAAAGTCGGTTGAAAGGGTTGATGAACCGTGATCAGAACAACCAGCAATAATGCAGCAAGCAGCTCATTTACGCAGGAACGGAAGGGTATCACGGATGAAGAAGTCAAATGAAGCTGATGAGAATATTATGCCATCAGCCTGTCATTTCAAGCAAAACGCAAGGGGTATGCTTTCTGAAAACATCAAATACTATCTCGTAGGGCTGCAAACCTGATGGAATGGAGATGTTGCATGTGTGAGGGATTTGCGATTTGATTCGCGAAAAACACGATGGTGCCACTGGTTTTCTCTGAAATCAGCTTCCAAGCTCAAAAAAAGCTCTCAAGTTGAGGCCAAAATGGAGGGGATATCCCACGCTATCCTGAGAGTCCACGTCTACATCAAGACAAACTCTCGTGCAAAGATAGGGAGCAAATACATTTGCAGTGATGCCGTGTTTTCAGTTTTAGAGTCCCGAATGAAGTGGCAGCCCTGTCAATGTATTTTCTCCCTATCTTTGCATGGAGAGTTTGTCTTGATGTAGAGATGGACTCTCAACATAGGGTGGGATATCCCCTCCATTTTGGCCTCAACTTGAGAGCTGTTTTTGAGCTTGGGAGTTGATTTCAGAGAAAACCAGTGGCACCATCGTGTTTCTCGCGAACTTTTACGTAAGAAACAACAGTCAAATTGCAAATCCCTCACA